TTGAGTTATTGGTACAAGTTCTAAAAAATTTTAAACATCAAAATTACAGCATATACTGTAGACAAATTTCAAATGATTAGACAAAACTAAACATTTATTTGGCAAAAATAAACTGTGGCACAAAGCTATTAATGTTTATTTTCATTGCATAATGTAGGTAAGTGGAGCATATATTTTTTGGTTACATCAGTGGTTGCTCCAATGAAAATATCACTGTTTACATTTATAAACTTCTCCTGTTATAAAAAATGTATACCACATGCTTTAGTAAAAATGAATGGTGTCTATTGATTAAATTCAGTCTTTTTGTACTAGTAGAAAATTAGATGTGATGATGAATCTTTCTTACCTGTGCTATGGCATCTGGTAAGCCAGCTGCAATAGTCGGACCTTCTTTCATCTCCAGCGTCTTTGACATCAGTACTTCCAAGGTGGGGAGGAGGGTGCCATTGTAACAGTTCTCTTCTCCTTGTAGAATGTCCAAAGCAACTGTGAGTGGCTTCATGAATGCACAGTATTCTTTCAGAAACTGAAGCTCTTTCTCACTAAAACATTTTAACTCTAAACGATCAGAGAAGGTATTCAAGTCACTTGTAGGCATTTCAACAATCCTTGCCACAGCGTCGTGGAAAAAGTTCCATCTTGTAGAGCATGGCACCAGCAGCTTTTTGCCAACAGTATCTCCCACTATTTCTGAGGCCAAGGTCGATCTGCTAGCTTTACTCCACAGAGCTGTGCACTTGGCCGTCGCACTTCTATATATATTTTTTAGTAGTAGGATTCGAAAGCAGCCACTTGTCCACATCAGAACATGAAATCAAGTTGAGAGTGTGAGAGGCACACCTCAGGTGGGGAGGTAAAACAATTCCCTCATCTGCAGCGGTGCTGAGCACATCTGAAACATCAGTGAAGATGACGTCTTCACCATCTTCTTCATCATCATCGCCAGAGAGCGACTCAGGTTGGAACATTTGGAAGGCTTTCACAAAGTTGGAGCCGTTGTCAGTAACTGTACCTGTAACTTTCGTCGACAATCCAAACAATGAATGAATATGGTCATTCTCTGCAGCAATTATGTCATATGTGTGCCTACCTTTGATCCTTTTACAGGCCAGGGCAGCTTTCTGGCGTTTAAAGGTAGTGGTGTTAATCCAGTGAGAAGTTATCCCGAGGTAGCTCTTGTTGTGGACAGTCCAAATATCTGCTGTAGTGGAAATGTGATCAATCTCATCCAGTGCCGTTTTAAGCTCAGTTTCCATTTTCAAATACTCCTTATCCAGGTAGTCGGAAAAAGTATTTCTTCTCATTTGCAGTGTGCCGCTTGGACATGGTATCATACTTATCAGTTGCCGAAAAGCGGGCAATTCCACAGTTGAAACAGGCTGCATGTTCTCAACAATAAACCGTGCGACGGCCTTGTTTATCTCTCCTTGGCTAACACTAACAGTCCTGTTAAAATCAAACTGTTGTTGTTTAGTTGGCGGGGCATGGCTAGCTTCGCGAGTGGGGTTAGCATCCGACTTCTCAACTAGCTTTGTGGAAGCATGTCGTTTCTGGAGGTGCTTCGACAAATTGGAGTTGCTGTTTGCTGCCGTAGAAAGGATTTTTGATCCAGAAAGACATAGGTTGCACTTGACAAGAATATTCTTCTCTTTGTGCTCGATTAATGTGAAATAGTGAGCATATTTCCATGAGGAGAAACTCGGTTTGCTCCTGCTTTGATCTGCCATGACTGCAAGGTCTCCAAATCAAAGACTCCCGCAAGGCATCACCACTGTAAACAGGAAGTAGTGTGCAGCTGCCTTTTTTGCCAAACTCTATGAAGTTAGCTAGTAACGGACAAAAGCACCATAGTGTGACGATAACAGAGTTACTGTATTTAAAAACTAACGCACATGAGTATTAGTTACTGACAAATGTAACGGAGTTACAGTAACGCGTTATTAGTAACGCGTTACTGCACAACACTGGTTAGAACCACTGCTGTACGTTTCATTAAGGGAAAAAGAACTCCATAAAAGGCACCAATAATATTCATATAAGTTCTTTAAGTTCAACAACAGATGTTAGAGTCATTTTTAAACCGTTTTAGCTCACTGAGAACAAGAACAACTAACAAACCTACCTCTCCTCAGTATGGTCTCCCGCCGTCTGAGGAGAGTGCCGGAAAAACACAAGAAGCGGCCGCAATACCATTTTTCAAAATAAAATACAAAAACACATAAAATAATAAGCATCAGTACTTCCAAGGTGGGGAGGAGGGTGCCATACTAACAGTTCTCTTCTCCTTGTAGAATGTCCAAAGCAACTGTGAGTGGCTTCATGAATGCACAGTATTCTTTCAGAAACTGAAGCTCTTTCTCACTAAAACATTTTAACTCTAAACAATCAGAGATGGTATTCAAGTCACTTGCAGGCATTTTAACGATCCTTGCCACAGCGTCGTAGAAAGAGTTCCATCTTGTAGAGCATGGCACCAGCAGCTTTTTGCCAACAGTATCTCCCACTATTTCTGAGGCCAAGGTCGATCTGCTAGCTTTACTCCACAGAGCTGTGCACTTGGCCGTCGCACTTCCATATATATTTTAGTAGTAGAACTTGAAAGCAGCCACTTGTCCACATCAGAAGATGAAATCAAGTTGAGAGTGTGAGAGGCACACCTCAGGTGGGGAGGTAAAACAAACACAGGAAGCGGCCGCAATACCATTTTCCAAAATAAAATACAAAAACACGTAAAATAAATATCGAGACAGATAACAGCTTGATAAAATGAACACAAAGACCGAGGAAGGACTTTTGGTGAATTATAAATATCAACAGAACACCTCTGTTACATAAAGTTAAAGTTTTTATTAAGTGGGATTTAATTGATTATCAGCAATAGTTTCCATATGCTTTCATTAGAAAGGTGTCACCTGACAGTGAGTTTGTAGAGAAGACAATAAATCCTAAGAGCTGTGGAGAATGAGTTTCAGTGATGTCGTCTACCATTTTAACTGATTTTACTTTACTTTTCTCCAAACAAACTTAAAACCTCTACTGCTCAGAATGTTACTTATTTATTCAGCTATTACAGATAAAATACAACAAAACCTCAATGACATCTAATCTGTCAGTGGTAGTCCTCAACAGAAACTAAACCCAGTGGCAACCTGGAGAGAAACGTCTGTATCACAAAAGACATGCAACTGAAATGCAGGAGCTCTATATAGTGTTTTTTTTTTCTATGTCTTGAAACTCCTCAAAATAAATAGAGATCGGCCTACCCAGCTGTTTAAAGCGATGGAAGACATAATTTTATACTGACATTTATTCAGCATTTTAACCATTTTTAATATAATTTTATGATCTAAATAAAATGCTATTTAAAAGTTGTAAAGTAACCCAAACGCTGCCACTGTTAAAGAGAATGTAGAGAATAAAATAGCATGAATAAAATATACAGAAATACATGCAGATACTGAGCATAACTAACTAACTTTTAAGAACTCAATTAGCCAACTTATGAGCTAATTGTTGTACTTATTTCACGCTGAAAATATCAGATAAGGTAAGGAGGGTGGTAGCTAGCTTAAAACATGACAAAGGTTTCAAAGATAATGAAAAACATTGAAATCAGTTAATAGCGAATATTTAAACATAGAAAAAATAGCTGAGACTGAGTTCAAACTTGGTATTAATGAAGAAATAAGAAGATATTTTGTTAAAAAGTGTACATACTTGACAAGGGCTGGAGCGAAATAAAATGGCTGTTAACGTCTTCTCTGAAAATCTTGAAAATTTACCAATTGACAATTACGTCAACTTTTGATGCATGAAAAAATGCCTAAACTAAAACCCATAAGTAAGCAGAATTGATTTCTAATCTCATTTGTTGTTGTTGTTTTTAAATGTTTTTTCAACAAATACCATTAGATTGTAACTGATGTTGAGTTCAGTAAAAATGATTACATTTGTCCACATATCTAAAACCTCAAATAATTTTTCACAGTGCAGGACCTCAGGAAGAGTACTAATAGAGATCCAAATAATAAAACAAATAAACAAATTTATAACAACCTTATTTTAAAATATGCATTTCACGTAACAATTATACTGTTTTATTGATGCTGGCTATATGGTAAATGGTCTGTACTTGTATAGCACCTTTTTAGGGTACTACAACCCCTCAAGGCACTTCACAGCACAATCAGTCATTCACCCATTCACACACACACTCAAATTCTGATGGGGATGAGCTACGATGTAGCCACAGCTGCCCTGGTGCGCACTGACCGAGGCGAGGCTGCAAGGCACTGGCGCCACCGGTCCCTCTCACCACCACCAGCAGGCAAGGCGGGTTAAGTTTCTTGCCAAAGGACACAACAGCAGCATTCTCTGGTCGGAGCCGGGATCGAACCTGCAACCTTCCGATTACTGGACAACCCGCTCTACCTTTTTTCTCACGCCAAACCCTCTGTCAGGATTCTTGGTGTGACATTTGACCCAGCTCTCATCATGGAGTCTCATGTCAGTTACTCTACCTCCTGCTACTGCTGTCCCTTTATATTGAACGTGTGGTTCACTGAAAAGTCATTTCTAAATGTATATTTCTAATAATAATCTACCACGCTCATCTACCTGCAGCACCAGGCTCTGACTCACCTCGAGATGCAAAAAAGCACTGTGAGAATCATGTTCTTCGACTTCTCAAGTGCCTTCAACACCATCCAGCTTTGTCTACTGCAGCAGAAGATGAAGGCTGCACGAGTTGACAAACATCTGACTGCATGGACTATCAACTACCTCACCAACAGACCACAGTGCATGAGGCTGCACAACTGTATGTCCGAGGTGGTGAGGTGGTTGTGTCCAGTATAGGGGCTCAGCAGGGTATGGTGCTCTCACCCTTTCTTTTCACCTTGAACACCAGCAGCTGTCACCTCCAGAAGTTCTCTGATGACTCAGCCATTGTCGGCTGTGTCTGGGGGGAATGACCTGGAGGACAGGTCCGTCATCATGGCTTTTGTGGACTGGTGTGAGCATAACCACCTTAGTGGTGCAACACTGACAGTTTTAGGCAGAATATTTAAATTTGAACTAAGATGCGATAAAGTGCCATATTATTGACTACATGTTTCTACAACACGATTAGACACACATTTATATAATTTATCAGCAAGAAAAGTTGAAATGGGATGAGTTGCTCTTAGGTTGTAGTTTATTGTATTGCATTCTTTAAATTATTGCAGTTTGCTTTTAATGTTCAATATTTTAAAAAGGTATGAGATGTAAATTAAACTTCAATGGAAATTGAAAATGGGGCGCGGGTGTGCAAACATTTTCTTGTGCACCACAGTGAGCTTTCATTTATATAATCAAAGTTTTATTGACAATGTCATGCAAGAACTTCAAAATCACTCATTTATTATAAGGTCACATATGATTAAAGTTTGTATAAAAGTAAAATATCATGTAGGCAAAACCAACAAATTATTTACAAGAACTCAAATACAAATTATTACAATAATATATAATTAAAAAGAACATTCAAGATACACCTTATAAACTTTACATACAAATAATGTGTATCACATTAACATTTCTTTAAAGAGTTTGGTGCTGACTGGTTCCCTTATTGACTATTTAATGGCCATATTTGTAAAGTAGAATTCTTTCCATTTAAATCATGATTTTTTATTAGAACCTTCGTTGTCTGATGGATGAAGGCAGGCAACAAAAAATGTAGAAATTGGTCTTTTTTTTAAATGTGAAAATGGACGTTTCAGGTATACCTAGGGGAGCAATGAGCTGGTGAACCAGCTGTCAGGATGAGAGAATTTGTGCATTTGGGAGAAGTAGTGTAGGATGGTGGGTTGTCAAGTTCAGAAGGAGATCCGATGCTGTTGCTGGAAGAGTCATCCATGGAGGGATCCTATGAAACACAGAAACTACCGATTTATCAATATCATGTGGTATTTAGATCTTAATTATTTTGGGGTTCTGATGTAAATAATCAAAAATAGATTAAAGAGGTCAACATTCTTGTGTTCATCTCACAGAACTAATTAGTGCAAGCCATTATTTGCAAATGTGTTGAATCCCCATTTCCTGCCAAAGACACAGATGGGTTCCTGGAGGAAATGATTTTCAATTTAATGTCCAATATCTTTCAGTTTCCTGTTAAAGAAGCCTTTTTGCAACATTTTTAGCATACAGGAGTTTGTGCCAAAACCATATTTCCAAGATTTGAGAGTCCAGTCAAATTAGTTTGCACTGATATATTATGAGTAAATGCTCATTACAGTCACCTTATGAATTTAACCCTTAACCCTCTGGAGGCAGGCGTTGCAGATTAGCAACGTTAAAACCTACCTACTTGGTTACTCCACATACGTATTTCATGAGCATTGTTTAACTCAGAAGTACCCCTGAAGAACTTAGTTGTTCGTCCTTTTATCAAAACTTATTTTGAGCCTGAGAGGGTTAAGTGTCAAACCCACCAGTGAGCTACAGTAAACAATGAAAGCAGAGCGGTGAAGAGAGACATACTTTTTGCTGCAGAATGTAGAGTGATGTCACTGCATTTATCCCGTTATGCGCCGTCATTTTTGGAGCCATATCATCTGTGACAAAGCACAATACGTGATATTTATTAAGCACAACTTTATTCTGCCTTACCATGAATTTTATATAAAATACCATTTTGATTTAGTGGTTTGTGACGAGAGTGGCCGTAAATCCTGGACATAGATTTTCTGGGCTGCTTTTTGGACCTAAGTGGAAAATGGGCATATAATTTTAATATTTGCTTCTTTTCATTTTCAATTTGTTTTAATAAACAGTTATTGGGTAATATATTCAAAATTATGGTTATACTTTTTAGGAGTCCAACAGGCACACACGGTCACCAAGGCGATGAGGAGGAAGATTCCTCCAGTAGAAAGAAAGATGTAGAGGGAACTTCTTCCTAATGGGACACACAAAAGTATTGTTATTTATCAAAATATCAGCCATCTTTGTGCACAAGACATGATTTTACGCTATAAATACTGTCAGTGCACCCCAGGGCAGCTGTGGCTACATCGTAGCTCATCACCACCAGAATGTGAATGTTTGTGTAAATGGATGAGTGATACACTGTAGTGTAAAGTGCTTTTGAGTCGTCTGACTCTGACAGGCGCTATACAAGTGCAGGTCATTAATCATGAGATTTTGTGAGTCAATTTACATGTAATCAAGCAGTACTGTATCTTTCGTATCTCATTCCTGAGAGTGACACTCACTGTACACAGACAGTCTAACGGGCAGGCTGGTCATGCTGCCCACAGGATTCTCCACTGTGCAGCTGTAGATGTCATCATCGGCCATCAACACTCTCATGATGGTCAGCAGCTTCTGATCCGGCGACAACAAGAACCTTGTTTCGTTGGTCAGGGGCTTGCCACCTTTAAACCACCTGTATGTGGTCCTGGTTCCGTTGTCATGGGAACAATTGAGGAGGAAGTTTTCACTGAGCTCCAGCACAGAAGAGGCTTCCATGTGGATGTATGGCCTGGATATGGGCTCTGGGTGAAGGTGATAGTAGATGTTATCAGTGAAAGTAGACATAAAAACTAAAATAAAATAAAGACATGATTTGGGTATTTAGTGCAGTAAAATTGAACTAAAATACATTTTAGATTTGCAGAATGATAAACAGATTCTGATGAACTCCAGCGTTCCTTCTCCCACAGTAGCTGGAACAGATGTCTCTTGAGCCAAAGAGGAAGTACCTCAGTGTAAGTGAGACCTTTAGAGCTTGACTACTTTAGAACAAGTTTGGAAAAAAGTTTGGTGGGAAATCTTTGGAGAAAAAATTGTTTGCCGTCACGTTTTTGTAGGAGGTCAAATTATTTCTATTTGGAATTTGCATCATTCTGGAATTCTAAAACCTCATCTCTTTAGGATAAAATCCTAATTAAACTTGATTTATCCTTTTGCACAGATGCATGATTCCAATAGTGGATGGGGAGAAGAAACCCTACCATCCACAGTAAGCACGATGCTGCCCTCGCCTGTAAAAATGTCATCTGTGATGGAGATCTCCACATCATAAGTTCCATCATCCGAGAGCCTGAGGTTGTGGAGGAGCAGCGTCCCATTCTCGAATACCAGGATTCGATCTTGATACTCGGGCCTCAAGGTCCCAATGATGTCCGTTCCAATCGTCTGGACAACGGTAACAGACTTTTCCCTCTTGAGCTGCCACTTGATGACCGGCAAATCGAGGCTGAAACTACTGTAGCGGACCGACAGAAGGGCCTCCCCTCCGACCACTCCTCTGATCAGAGTGTTAGGGATTGTCATGTTTACCGCCAGCACTTCTACTGTGGAGAAGAAAGAAAACAAAATGTCCCAGAATGTGTCAGCTCCAGTTAGAAGGCAAGGGTTGTTCTGCCTTGCTGCTTGAGAGCCACTATCCTTCATGCTTTAGATAAGGGGTGCCCAATCCTTGTTGTGGAGGATTGGTATCCAGCAGGATTTAGTTTTAACTCTGCTTCAACACACCTGATTTCAATCAGCAGGCGATTAGCAGAGCTTGAACCTCTGAATCAAGTGTGTTGAAGCACAGAAACAGCAAAACTTGCTGGATACCGGCCCTCTAGGACCAGGATTGGGCACCCCTGCTTTAGATGCTTCTCTGTTTCAACTCACCTGATGTCAGTCAGTAATGATTGACAGGCGAATGGACACTGAACATGCATCAATTAAATCAGGTGAAATGCAGAAGAAGCCAAAACATTCAGCACAGTAACCTTTGGGCACACACTCTCAACACCAAACTAAAATATTCTAACATCACGTCGTGCACATCATTTTCTCGTTCTACCAAGTAATGTCACTGCATCGTTTTAGAACCAGCCATTATTGTAGGTCAACATTGCCATGGTAACTGTTGTCTATCTCTGGGATGGGCCTGCATAAATGGACAAAAGTGACCATTGTTTGGTCAGATGTCCCTCTTGGCAGTTCATGAACAGAGCACCGGGAGCAAGCCAGAGTTGCAAGCTTTGCAGAAACAGAGCAGCTCAGTGAATCGGCTGCTAAAGGCAACAATGGCAGGACAGAAATGACGCGCACTAAACACAGCTGAAAGCATGTGAAAATGCTGGTTTCTGGTACAGCCTGTTGGAATGATTATTGTGTTACTTACAAAGAGAGGGCACAAGACTGTAAAAATGCCCACACAGCCTGATCAAACCCATGACATCAACAAAAATACAGCTTCTTTGAAGGTTTCATTTAGTTTAACAAGTTGTGATGATACTGAACGAGCTCATAACAGGAAACAAATGGAAGCTTTTGCGTTCTTTACATATTTTAAAACATTTGTTCTTCCTTCACTTCAGCAAACTTTTATAAGGAGTTGATTCTCTCATCTTGCATCAGGCAGAATGCAAAATCTAATGAAAATTTCTATTTACCATGATAAAGCACAGATCAAGATTAGCCTCGCTTGATGATGAATGAATTTTCAGTTTAGGTAAAGGTTACTTACTGAAATTGAAGAAACTGAAACACGCAAGCAATAAAAACTTGTGAGTTGTTTTGACTTTCGTAGAAGCGTCCGTCTCTGGCTGCATCTTGGGTTAAAAGCTTTGTTTTTGTCCCAGACAGTCAGCATGATTTGTGTCTCTGGGCTGGACGGAGGACACAGTCGTTCATTCATGCCGTTCTGGCACCAAGGACATGTTGTTCTCAAACAGTAGAAACAGGTCTCGATATCCGTAATGTGTGCTCAGTTGGATTTACGCTTCTATCTGAATGGGAAAATGTTGCGTATTAAAACAACATGCGATAATTGGGTTTTAACTTCCTACAAAATTCCTTCAAAAACAGGGAAACATTCATAAAGCTATATAAATCAACTGCATTTTGCTTTTAGTGAGAAGCAGGTCTCTCCAAATTATTAGAAATCATTACGAAGAAACATTCTGTAAAGAATACAAATGAGCATGTGCTCTAAACCTAAAACAAGTTCAAGGTAACTGAGAAATTCTGATTAAAAAAAACATCTGAGTCATATAAAAAGCATTTTTACATTCATTCATGTCTCATAAGGCGGAGATCGGGCATGTATTTTGGTCCCATGCCATTGAGTGATTTATAAACTAGTAGGAGCACTTTGAAATCTATTCTGTAGTTTACTGGTAACCAGTGTAGGGATCTAAGAACAGGAGTGGTGTGCTCCGTTCTCTTAGTTCTTGTTAAGACTCTAGCAGCAGCGTTCTGAACAAGCTGCAGTTGCTTTGCAGCTTTTTTGGAAAGACCAGTTAGGAGACCATTGCGGTAGTCCAGCCGACTAGAAATGAAAGCATGAATAAGTTTCTCCAAGTCTGGTCTTGACATGAGACCTCTGACTCTTGCTATTTGATGAAGGTGATAAACGCTGATTTAGTTAAAGCCTTAATATGTCCAGAGAAGTTCAGGTCAGAGTCAATGATAACACCAAGATTTCCAACCTGAGTCTTTGTCTTTATTCCCCTGGAGTCTAAATAGATTAAAGGTTCCTCTTCATCCGCTTTAAGAATGCCTGCATCAGCCGTTGAAATGTTGTAAAGATTTATTAACCCTTTGACGTTCTGGCACAGAAAAGTAGAAAAAGTGGGGTCCTTTAGGTTCACTGGGGTCATGATGACTGATGAATTCTCATGGTCAGTGAACACCACACCCATAGTGAAGAGAGCTCATCAGAGACTCCACTTCCTGAGGGTTTTAAAGAAAACCAAGATGGAAGAAAGGCTGCTGGTGTTATACAGGGATTCAGCTGATCCTTTCCTGATGTATGGCCTTTCAGGGTGGTGCTGGAGTTGTTCTGCAGCGGACAAGAAGCGTCTCCAAAGAGTAGTGACAATGGCAGAAAGATTGTTGGCTGTCAGCGGTCTCCTCTGGAGGACATTGCCAAACCCTGCTTACCTCTGCAGGGTAAAGACAACTTCATCAGACAAGTATCACCTGGATTGCTTATTCATAACTATTGTTTATTACTTCTTTTAGCATAAACCAACAATTTTGTTGTAAGTGTTGGTTATTGATCCAGTCCGTAGCTGGCTGCAGCCAGGTTGGTACTGGCCGGCACCGTCCTGGAGGGACAATCAGCGAGCGCTTCAACTATGACAACTCACTTTAACACAGCATAATAGAAACAATGAGGCAGTGAGTCTATTTTAATTGATTTATAGATGAAAAGCAAATTGAATGGTACAAGTAACACACTGCCCTGGACTTTCTGAATAGCATTAAAAAAAATCTAATAACCCTCTCCAGGGCCCTGCCATCTCAGCAGTCCTGAATGGATGAGAAACCAGAAGACTTCACCACGCCTATGCTATTCAGTTCAATGCAATTCAATTCAAAAATACTTTATTAATCCCAGAGGGAAATTAGCATTTCAGTACACACAATTCTGAGATCAGACACACATACATAGACACATGACAAGAATTGGTGACTGTGGTCATTTGCAACCCGAGTCGCCCTACCGTAATAGATCAAAAGGGTTTATATGAGGATAGAGTCGGGAGAGGGAAAAAAAGGCACTTCAGAGTTACCCTGAACAGAGAGGGCAGCTTTGCTATGCAAAAAAAAAAAACACCTCAGACAGATATGCGCACAGACTTCAGACATTACACAACATAAGTGTCCACTAGGTGGGGAGGTGGGGTTGGGACTAGAGGTGGGAAAAATGATCGATTCTAAGATGCATCACGATTCGGTCGAGCATGATTCTGCATCGATGCAGCAACGTGACATAATGAGATTTTCTCCCTATGTCTATGTCGATGTTCTGGACGTGCTGGGACAATAAAGTCTTGAGGTTTTACGACTACTTCCGGGGGCGGAGTTGCAATGACATGCGCGCTGTGTTGCCCTAGCGCCAATTTAAAACAGAAATGGCAGACAGGGATACAGGGCGAACATTACCAGTAATCAAAGATGCACCCGTTACATTTAAATGGGATGTCTGAGCTAATTTTGGCTTTTATGAGCGAGACGGAAAGCTTGACAAGACGCACACTGTGTGTAAGGTGTGTCACACAAAACTAAAGTACTTTTGGAACACAACTAATATGACCAAACATTTTGAACGTTTCCACCCTGCGAGGACTTCTTCAACAATAGCCACAAAAACAGCGAGCACATCCCAGCCAACGATTGAAGAAGCGCTGACATTTTTACCGTCTGCTTCGGAGGGAGGGAAGATCACCCATTCTGTTGCATGCTTTATTGCTAAGGATCTACAACCATATTCTGTGGTAGAGCATGCTGGGTTTCACTACCTCCTGAAGACGCTCGAGTCTCTGTATAACCTACCGACAAGAAGACACTTCACAGAAACTGCTGTGCCTGCATTGTACAACGAAACCAAAGCCCAGGTAATGAAATCAATGAGTAAAGCTAGCCGCGTAGCCGTTACATGTGATTCATGGACGTCAACTGCAACGGAGTCGTACGTAACATTAACAGCACATTACATAAGCAACTGCTTTTATTAAGTAATGAAAAATTTTGTGTGAAGAATCGGATTTCAGACTCAAATTGAATCTTTAGGCAGATAATCGGAATCGGATCGAATCGTGAGGCGGGTAGAGATGCACACCACTAGTTGGGACTCTCCTCACTTCAGTGCGTACAGCCGCATGGAGCAGCACTCATGACCGCCGTTTGGACAGGGGAGGGAGATAATGGGTTAGAGGGCACATTGACTCCTAGATACGGTTCCACGGCCTTCACCGGTCACAGTCCCGCCCAGGCTGGGATAGGGAGAAAGAGTTTCCATAGCGACGGCAGCATTCTACATTTCTTCTGAGGGGGGAGTTATCACTTCAGCCTCACAGGCTCCAAGGGCACCAGATTCAGATAAGAATTGTTTTGGGGACAGACAGAGATAATTTCCTCTCTGCCTTAAGAGTTCTGTTGGTCTTCAACCCCTCTAGATCCAGTAATGGCATAATTAATCTATCCCAATCCGTGCTGACCTGTCCACAGCTCTGTCCTTGATGGAATCCACCTTCTGTGCCAGAGCCTGAATCTCAGCCAAAGTTCCAAGCTTACGACTCATCTCGACAATTTTATGAGTTTGTGCATTCCATCCCTGAGCTCCGGGATTGAGCCAATATTCCTCGAATAGGTAACCGCTCAGGCCAAACAGCAGGAATCCCGACACCAAAATGACGAACATCCAGACATCTTCAGAATCCTCCACAGACAGTTGAGAGAGGCAGATCAGGTTCCACTGTTTCCAGGAGTCCATGATATACCCAGCTGGCTCTGTCCCAGAGGGGCATCCGGGAGCCCTTTCTCCCGTTCTCATCGTTGAAAAAATGTTGTCAATCGCGTTGAGAGACCAAATGACCAGATCCATTTTTAATAATTTCCAGTTTCCAGAAAAAATGCAGAAAGCGCCGTGCACAAGACAGGACAAAGAGCCTTGGGATAAGAAGGGAGGGAGAGGAGAAAAAAGTGTCTGTACTCTCCAAGAGCTGGAAGAACAACAGATAGTAAATTATTTGGTGTTTGTGCCTGAAGCAAGTGATTATGGAACAAGATCAAGGATATTCCAGCCTGCTCTGACCACCAGATTGTATTTCAAAAGTCAGATACCTGCAGCAAAGTGACCCAGGTCAATTATATCACAAATAATCCATCATGGGTTTTTTTTACAGTGACAAATAAACATACCTACTTTTACATGTAAAATTGCAAACAAAATAAATCACAGCAGACTCCACCCATCCAGGGCCATGAACTATTCACCCTTTCCTTCAGGCTGAGACTCATGACCCCAGACCCTAAAGCTGCATTACCAAATTATCTGAGTAATCTATAGGTTTACTATGAAATGTTTTATGTTAAATGTAAAACCCAGAAATGGTAAAAGGATTAAGCTTTTAGGTGCTTCTATAAAAGAATGAACTTACTCAAGAGTACTTTGTGGAATAGAGGCAAAGCTTTATTTAAATTTCAGAGTGATAGAAGCTTTTCATTAACAACACCACAAACACCATAACTGGACCACACCACAACTCGGGCCTATAGGTGTTAGCGCTACCGCACAATGCCAACATCAGGTTATAACGACACCACATTATTAAAACACAGGTTTGATCCTAAGAGAATTATTGGTCCTGTGAGTTGCATTTTGGCCAATTTCAAAAAGTTTACACTGGCATGAATATTAAAAAAATAAAACATCAGCATTTAGAAGATAAAGGAATCATAACTGAAGCTACTGACACAATCAACATGTGGAGGTAGATGCAAATAAATAGGAATGATAAGTGAATAAAGCCATGAGAAAACAACTACAGTTGCAGTAAACAGGGCGATAAGACAGGGTTTTAAGTAAAATGGAGTGGAATGGGTGTTTCAACACAACAGCTGGCAATCAGTCATATTGGTCACTAGAAGCTGTTTAACTGGGTTCTGCAGATGTTTAGGATTTTCCTTTAGGAATAATCTAATATTTGTCTTTCATTTGCATTTATGTGCTTTTATATGCAATAATGAGTTAAAAAAACACTTGATGAAAGATGAAAAAAGCTGCAGCTACAACCAGCATGAAGAAGTGATTATTTTTTATGCATGCATCTCCGTTTCAAACAAAACACAAAAAGTAAACACCAAAATCTAAAATTTCACCAGAGTTACTTACAGCTCTTACGTCACTTGTTTTTTAAAAATGTCTGAATGTTTTCATGAATTATTCTTATACCGTTACAGAAAATAAAGGTACTGTTGGCAAATAAATGCAGCACATATTTGGGTAAATCTACTAAACATGCTGTGGGTTTAAATCATGACAGGGAATAAAAAAAAAACAGCGGTAGCTTCAGTTTGCAGACATCCTCACACAATAATGGCAAAAGGGAACACTGGCGTCTTTGTGGAGGTTCGGCTGAAGTAAAGCCAGTTTAAAAAATAAACTTTTAAAATAAAACAGATCACAAAACAAAGAAAATGGCTTCATTAACTGAAACTGTTTCGACATCACTCACAACATTAAGATACCTAGTTAAGAATGGAATGTTAGCAAGGTTTCACAGAGAAGTAAACACAAATAAGGAGTGTAATCAAAGCGATGGAGACTGTTTTTAACTGCCAGAAAAAGGGATAAAACTGTTTCAACTACAAATCACTTCCAATCAAACTGTATTGACTGATTTTTACCCTACAAGTATCTTGGGGGGTGTACATCAAATATTTTTGATCATTTATTATCTGCTTGGATTTTTTATTTATTTTTTATTTTTTTGCTGTGGCAATCAGCTGCAGATAAGAGAAAATGAAGAAACACTGAAGGTTGTTGCCAGGGTGAAGGAGAGTCTCGGTCAGGTCAGTTCTTCAGTATGGAGTCGTACATCTGGTAGACATACTGAGACACCTCAGGGGCCCGACACTTAAGGGACAGCTGTAAAAACAGAACAGGTGCTGTGTTTTATTATAAAAAAAAAACCTCCACACACACGTTTAAAAGGTTTTATTACTGGTAAAAATTATTGGTTTGTTTCTAATTTTATAAAACAAAAGCTGCAATATGGAGTATTCCTAGTTCAGGAATTATGTAAGATTTTTTAGAAATCCGTAAAGGCAATATGTTAGTTTTTGCTAAGCCCACTCCCCCGTCCCGTAGAGCTCCAAGCAATATGAACTGAGCTCCAGTCAGCATTAACCAACAGCCCTGGGCTACCACTTGCGTACAGACACAGAACGTGCTTGTGCGTTTGAGGACCTACTTTGGCTGACGCAGAGTTGGCTACCTTTCTCATGTACAAGTAAGTCTTTAAACTATAAATATATTAATGCACAACATGACATGAGCATAATAATAGCAAAACAATGTTTTCTAGCTGTTTGGTCAGCTTGAGGAGTGCATTTATGAACGAAAAGCGTTGCTTTTGGCCGTGAACAAGGAAGTAAAAACATGAATTAGTGCAATTCATTTGTCAGCCACTAGATGGTGCCATAAAAAAAGAATAATCCGAAGTTCTCCTTTAAATGATCATAAAGGAAACTATTACTACATTCCAATGATCATATATCTGAGCTGTTTTCTGAATCTGTTCAAAAAGGTTTGTGAATAGCGGGTCTGACCACACAAGTAGACATTTATCTGTTGTAAGAAATTTAATGTTTTTCTTTTAGTAAGATTTACTTTGAGCTCTTTAAAGGGGATTGTTAATTGCAGCATTTAAAAAGCACACTTACTCAATACACACTATGAACACTTAAAATCTACCAGCCTTCAGATGTTTTCTTAAGAGTTTCAGAATCTGTTTTACAAGTGACGAGAGAAGTTTAGCAATATGATCATTTGGGTTAGCATCAACATCCTCAGTGCAGGTGGATTACGAACAAAAATACCCAGAATTCAACACAGCGTGACCTTTTCTACAACCCACCGTGTAATTGGGATTCCCAGGCTGAATGCGGAGCTCAGCCAAGATCCAGATGCCGTTGGTTAGCTTCAGGGACTGGTAGAGCATGTCCTGGCCTTCTACGTTTCTTTTAGCGATGGTGTAGATGTTGTTATTCTGCAGCTTCCCTGATACTGTGTCTGCAAGGCCAGAATCAACACCACTCCATGTTAGGAAAACGCCTCTTTGTATGACACTATGTTACAGGGAGGCAGTAATCGCTACAGCTACCAACGCTAACATGTAGATGAATGATAACAATCCTACTGCTAAAGACGCAGCTACGTCTATGTCAGGGTTTTAATAAACTCTGATTAGAACCTTCATATTTCAGTAAAGTTTTTCAGCAGTGGCTCAGGGTTGCACCGATCAGCTGCAGGGAAAAATTTAGGGAAAGAATGTGAAGAAAGGTTAGTTACAAGCAAAAAGAAATAGAGGAATCCAAAGAGGCATGTGAGAACACACAAGAAGAGGTCATCTCTTTGATGGAGCTGGTAGAAGATGTGACAAATCAGGCATCAAAACCAGAGACAGCGACCGGGTGGAGGTTCTGAAGAAGTTGCCCACCTGCGTTTAGGTGACATTCTTTTATCTGGTACTGAAGCTCGTTCTCATTGGGGATGTCCTTCCAGGTAGCCAAGAACACCTGTCGCTCTGCAGAATTCGTAAACATTAACATTATTGGAATTCGGTTTTTAACATGACAAAAACTATGAATATAACTGATCTTCACAATTAGGCAATGAGATTCTTGTAATATAAAAAAAGACATTTACTACTAGACTGATATTTATTGTTGCTTCTGAATGTTCTGTTATCTAACATACCCATTTTTCCATCCTCAACGAAGAATATGTTGAGAGGGATGAGAACGCTGAAGTAGAACACGTCAATGTTGTTCTTCACTGCCACCTGTTCACAGAAAGGGCAGAAGCAGGTATTTAGACAGCACCAGACTGTTTTACAGTTTTAATGAAACCATAATAAAAGACAGCAGTGAAGAATCAAAGCTACTCTCTCACTAAACGCTGACATAGAACATATGATCAAAGTTGGCTCACATTTCTGTTACTTCCTGACCGAGGAGAGTTCCAAACACTCGTGATGATCCGGATTATTTTGAGAAATCACATTTCACCAGCAAGCACCATCTTACATTGGTGATCTTCTTAGTCCCTACACCCCCAGCAGGTCCCTGAGGTCCAGTGATCAAAGCCTACTGGTTGTGCAGCACCAGGCTAAAGACCAAAGGTGACAGATCTTTTGCTGCTGTGGCCCCCAGACTCTGGAACTCTCTCCCTTCTGAGCCTGAGATCAGTGGACTCAGTGGTCTCCTTTAAAAAGCAGCTGAAAACTAACCTGTTCAGGCTGGATTTGTGTGACCTGTTAATTCTTCATCACTACCTTCTCATTCAGGTCTTTTTACCAATTCTGCCTTTACTGGTTTCCATGGATGACCTTTTTTGTTATTTGTCGTCTCTTTCCCTTTCCTCACATTTTTTTTTATCTCAAATTTTCTTTCACTTTTCTCATTTTTTTAATCTTTTGTATTTTTTTAAGTACCTCGTGATTTTTATCTTGAGGCTCTCTAAAAGATTGTTTCTTCTTCAAAATTTGTGGAGTATTTTCAGAGTCACACAATCATTGGCTCATAAGAGGAGACTGAGAACACTCAAACGTTTTGACGCCCTCACAAAAAAAAAAAAAAAAAAAACGCTTACTGCTCAGTTAGCTCTTGGTTCTGTACCTGTAGATTATTGAGAGGATCCATCTTCATTACAGGTCCGATGGTGTTCAGAGGAAGAGAGGCGTCGATACTTTGATTGGGCATCAGCGGAGTGTGAATAGGAAGAGGGCTGGTGGGGATCATCCCAAAACTACAGGAAAGAAATAAACCAAATGAGTGTGTCTCCAGCTGTGAGTTTCTGACTGAAATCAGAGCAGCAGGTAGGATTTTTTTGTCATTAACCTATTCTTGTTGAACTGGATTGCAAAATCATTCATGTGCTGCAGAGCCTTGTTGGTGAAAGACATGTCCATGTACATGTGTCCCTGACGACGAGAGAAGGTTCCGGAGATCTCCAGTCCCTTTGCTTTAGCTGCAGGAAGCCACACCTGTAAAAGCCACCACACAAGTCACCTCTACCATTTAATGAAACGTACACCTCTGGGATTAGGTTGTGTTCACTCACTGCTTTTTGCGGTATGTAGCCTCCGGTGGTGGTGGCCATGCCCGTGGAGAGTTCGAACAGGTCATTGAGGCCGCTGCTGCTGACAGCTGGAGGTGCGGGTGTGGGAGATGGAGCAAACGTACTGGGGACAGATGAAGGGATGAAGTTTTGCCCCACCTAAAAAAAATCACACAAGAACAGAAACAAAAAATAAACACATTTTAATTAGCAATTTTTTGGATGAAGCACCTCTGGCAAGTTTGATTAATAAAAACTGCTAAAAGCTCATTAAACAAATCCCACACAGAACCTTAAAGCAGCAATCTGGAGTTTTCCCTCCTTTCAGGAATTATGTAAGATTTTTTTTTTAGAAATCCGTAGAAGTGATATTCTTACTCTGATACAATGTAGGTAATACAATTTTTGGGTAAGCCCTTCCCCCGTCCCATAGAGACCCATGGAATTTGAATTGAGCACTGCTTAGCACTAGCCAATAGCGTGAACCCGGGTTTCCACGGGAGCCGTCAGCAGCACGTTACTGCAGCAGCACGTCTTGCTCGCGTAAACTGCTGCTTGGCCCTTCCCACGAGACGCGAAGCAGCAGGGGAGCAGCTGTCACCGACCGAGCACGAAGTCACACGAGTGACTTTGTCAGTAAACACAACAACAAGCAGGAGAAAACTACAACATGGTTTGTGTTTTATGTTCTGTCCGTTTTATAATCGCCAATACTGACCTGAAAAACAAAGGAGACCGCTAGCTAGGTGATAACTTCTCACGGGGACGCACTGTTAGTAACTGTTTTTAAAAGTAAAGCAACCGGAAAGCAGTACGTTCTTTATTCTGAAAATCTCGGTAGATTCTCTCCATTTCCGCGTCCGATTTCCTGTCTTTCCTTCCCCAAAAATGTCGAACTTGACCCGTTTCAGAGGCGTCACGCGTAGAAAATAGAACCGGCGCGTAAGGGCCGCGACATGCTGCTCCTGAGACGCGGCCGACTCGCGCTGCTGACGGCTGCCGACGGCTCCAGTGGAAAAGGTTCTGTTGACCACAGCGGTTCCTATCAGCAGCTATGACGTGCTGCTGCAGTAACGTGCTGCTGACGGCTCCTGTGGAAAGCCGGGGTGAGACATCCACTTACCTACAGATGTCAATCACAGAGCGTGCGAGAGTGAGAGGATATCCCTAGACAGATGCAGAGTTGGCACTACTTACAGTTAAACAGTATATAGTAAAGTCTACTGGTTGTGCAGCACCAGGCTAAAGACCAAAGGTGACAGATCATCTGCTGCTGTGGCCCCCAGACTCTGGAACTCTCTCCCCCTGAGCCTGAGATCAGTGGACTCAGTGGTCTCCTTTAAAAAGCAGCTGAAGACTCACTTGTTCAAGCTGGCTTTTGTATGACCTTCTTCACCACTCTCTCTTTATTCTGCTCTCCCCACCTATTCCACCTTCCTCAGGATCCACTGATTTCCCTCTTTCCTGTTCACTCTCTCTCTTTCTTTACATTTTTTTAATCACAATTGCCTATTTTTGCTCATTTTAATATATTTTAAACAATTTCTAAATGCTTATTTATATTTTTACATTTTTTGTTTTTGTGAAGCGCCTCGTGATTTTTATCTTGAGAGGCGCTATAGAAATGGTATTTTCTTCTTCTTCTACTTCTTCTATATATTCTGCCTCTAGATGGTGCACTATGAGGAAAAGCTCCAGATTTCTGCTTTAATGCTCAGAAGGAAGGAGGAATGTTATTATGAGAAGCTAATGCTACTTAGAACAAAAACCAGGCAGGTAACAAAGAACGGTGTGTGTGTGTGTGTGTTTTAGCCCATTTCCTGCAGAACTATTGGCACCCGAGGCTAAATCACTAGAGCTCATTAAATTAGATTTTCAGAAAAGTTCAATTATTAATATATTGTGGATTAAAACAAAAATTATAAACAAAACAGAACATGATTAAGATAACCCAGCTATTCATACACATGGAAGCAGCTAAATCAAAAGGCTTAAAGTCGGGAAGGAACCGCTCAGCTCCTGTTGCTGTTTTTTATGTTTTATGTAACAATTACATGAATTTCTGAAACCAAATATGCTTTTTTTTTTTCATTTTAATAAAATTTTGTCCACGAACTAGACTAGAACATTAATTAGATGGATTCTCCTGTAATGGGTTAATTCATTTTCATTACCAGTAAATGGGCTGAAACATTACAAGCATGCATGTAAGTGTGTCATCCACAAAAAGCTGAAGGTGTCAGCTTAAGAGTGTGATGATGACTATATTCAGGACGCGTGCAGCATGCAGACGGTCAAACAGAAGGTCTCCACTTACTGCTGGACTTCCCCCAACACCTCCGCCCAGGTCTCCTCCCAGCTACAGCCCCCCAAACATCGCAGACACACCGAACACACAAACAAAGACAGAGAGAGACTTTCTTAGCGACCAATCAAAAGGAACCTCTCACTGCGTTCTGGGAAAATACTAAATCTCTGATGCATCTATAAAAAATACTCTGGAAGACATTTAGATTGCAGCCTGAAACAAGCTGGTGTGAGAAGAAATTTCTGAATATTATTAAATTATAATTATCTACAGTAGATATTAACTCATATATAAGAAGTGTTACACCAGATATTTTTATTTTAAAACTGAAGGACTAAGCAGTAATAACTACTACTAGTGTTTCCTCCTCCAGTGGACAGTGTGTGTTCATTACTGTATTTCTAACAAAACCAGGCTGTTGCTGATGTGTCATTTGAATTTGAAAAGACAAATGTCTAATTATCTGGATTCACTGTAAAAATCAGCATGAGCTCACCAGACTATCCAGGCCTCCACCCAGAAGATCCACCGCACCCATCTGCATGGAGGACACTTGGGGAACATTGACTGGAGGGCCCAGGTCCAGGTTCAGCAGGTCACCCAGTAAGTCTCCCTGACTGGGGATCACGTGTGGCTGATCCATGGCAGTGGCCGGCCCACCGCTCACGGGGCTCTCACCTGTGTCGATGCTGTTAACAGGAGAAAGGAGCAGACAGACAACCTAAAATCACTTATTTACGATAAGATTCAAAACTAAAACTCCAACTTCCTACAGTCAAAGTAGGACATAATTCACATATAATGGCCAATACAACAACAAAGTACTGTGGCTCTAAGCAAATGCTGTGAAAAGAACTTTTTCTTTAAGTTTTTATTGGAAACCTGGATTTCCTGTTCTGCAGATCAATTAGTGAAGCAGATGTAATATTAATACGGACTGAAGAGCTCCTGCGTTTAGATTGCTCCTTGAATTAAAAAAGCAGGGACCAACATGTTGAAAGTTCTCCAGAGATGTCATAATATTTTTGAATCCTTAAGTACATAAACCGTTTTAAGGTGTGGAGGCAGAGATGTCCAGAAACCTGGATCAGTGTTTTTAAAGCTCCCTCATCGTTGAACAAGGTTAAAATGCTTTCTGGTGAATAATACGAGGCGCATGGATGTGTGATGTATATGCTCAGTGTGTCCTACCTGCTGTGCTGGACAGGAAGGTGTTTGCGGTGGACACCGTGGCTTCCCTCCACAAAGGCACTGGGTGGTTTGTGATAGACGGAGGCCAGCGAGCCGATGTGGCAGATCAGCTCATCCAACAAGGTGGGCTCGATCAAGTCAGTCTCCTCGGAGATCAGAGGCTTTTCTGACAGCACCACCTCTTTGGCTGTCACAGGGTCAGTAGAGAGCAGGCGCCAATAAATATAACCCCTGTCACGGAGGTCGGGGTTGTCGGAGTCCTGCGGAGGAATGAAACCAGGATCAACAGTTGGTGAAACTTTTTCTGCAGAAGTGGCATAATGTGTGTGGAGTTCTTCTAAAGCTTCAGGACAAAAGTTGATGCTCACCTGAGTGGCCAAACTGAGGACCTGCTGCACCAGCTCCTGAGTCTCTGATGGCTTCTTAAGGAACAGTTTGACGATGGCGGTCAGCAGAGTGAGCTGCACCTGCGAACCAAAGCAAACACGTTCAGAGGAAAGAGCTCTATGACCCATTTTTTATCTCAGCTTTCCTACAACTGACAAAAGCCAACTCACCTGGGTGCTCTCATCATGGAAGCCCTCAAGGAAACTCTCCAGCAGCTCATCAGCATTGTCGATCCTCTCTGCGTACTCGCCCACGATCCAGATCATAGCACCTCGTGCGTCGGGCTCATCCAGGGAGTCCAGATTCTCACACAGTGTGGCGATGATGCTCTCATACCTAAAGAGCATCAGAGTCTCGATGGTCAGATTTAAACTAAACTACATAAATAAACAATAACTCATGTCAGACAGACAGATCTGTTTGCCAAACTGGTCTCAGAGACTCTGCGGTGAACCGTACTTGTTGGGGTACTTGCGGAAAATGTCCCTGATGACCACAATGGCCTCCTGAACCACGTAGTTGACCTTAGTTTGGATCAGATCTAGAAGAGTGCTGACACAGCGCTCAGCTGATTGCTGAAGAGGAAGCAAATAAAACATGCAGATTTTCAGCAAGGAGGACAAGAGCCAAGAAGCAAATCTCTCCAATGAGAAGTCTTTCAGGATTAATGATAATATCCTAAAATTAACTAGTGAACACAGGTCACAGCATTAAACAAAAAATACTTTTAAAAAACTGACTGAAATTAGTGAATGAGCATTTCTTACCTCCACTTTGATGGCACAGCGTCCGATGGCTCGTACGGCCTTGCGTACAAAGTCAACGTCTACCTCTGTGGCGTACTCCTTCAATTCAGCCAAAACCTGCAAGAATCCACAGAAATAAAGACACATTTTTCTATTGGGTACATTTCCTTCTGCTCGATCACAAACATTTAAAAAGTATTTTTATGTTATAAACTATTATCCTATGGTACCTGGGCAATGTTGGCCTGAGAGGCCAAGCGGATCATGATGTCCAATTTCTCCAGTTTCACATAAATCGGGTCGTTATACTTAACGAAAAACACCTTAATCTCCTGCTTCAGGATCTCAGGTCTGCACAAGATGTTGGATTGTAGGTGAGCATTTAAAATAAGAATAAGTTGATAGTTTTCAGGATGTTTTCTTCACCACATTCTAAATATTAATTATAAACTTTATCCCATTCATTTTGCTCCAATTACACACCTCTTCTGAACAATGAGGTTGATGTTCCTGAGAGCTACATACTGGACCTCCGGCTCTCCAGACAGCAAGGTAACCAACGGGGGGGATAATTTCTTCAGCAGCGTGTTGTAATAATCCGAGTCTTTAGGCAGTAGCTCTAAGAACTTCATCAGGACCTTAACAGCTGACAGAACAACGGCTGAGTTGGCATGAGACAGTCGAGGAGTGACACGCTCACAGATGCTGTGAAACATAATTGAGAAAAAGTTAAAGTGAGTTAAAATTTAATGAAGATGTTTGATTAAGATGATTTTATTCCCGAGGGGAGGATAAAAAAAAGCTGGATCAATGGGATTTATACCTTTGAGCCTCACGCTCATCCTTGGGGTTATAGTTGGACAGGCAGTCCAGAATGAAGATCTGCCCCCACTCCGTGCACTCGTTGAGGGCCGTCAGCAGCTTGTTGATGTTCTGAGGATTCAGGTCCAGCAGGTTGCTGTTGGGGTGAGACTCGCTGATCTCAGACAGAGCAGCAACCGCATTGGCCACCACCTTAACACAGATTTTCAGGATTTGCATTAAAATAAAGCGCCTAAATATTTTCTCTTTTAGAATACAAGAATAAACACAACCATAGAAGACCAACCATTGGATTTGAGTCAGCAATGAGATCTCTCAGAGAGTCCAGGAAGCCCTGGTCTTCCACCATCTGAGCATTGATGTCATGCAGCTTAGCCACACAAACAGCTGCAGTCTTCCTCACATATGGGTCCTCATCCTTTAAACACTTCCTCAGTGGCTCACACAGGTACTCTGTTATCTTATCCACGCGGATGCAGCCCATGGTACGGACGGCCAGAGCCCGGATCAGAGGGTTGGGGTCCTCACAGTCCTGTATGGCCAGATTTATTTTTTAAAAAGTATTTTAAAAAGTCTTGAAATTTTCAACTTTTCTTTTCTCAAACTAAAGTTTTTAAATGGCCAGACACTCCTCTGGCTACAAGAAAACGTTGTGTGGAATGTTAACATAATACTAATGAATCCAAACCGTGTGAGATAAAATTCAAGCCCTTGCCTTGACAAAGCTGTTCACGGCCATGATGGCCATGTCAGGCTGGCTTTTGGCATAGTTCATCAAGTACAGATAGACCAACTTCTTCAGCTCCAGGTTGTCAGTCTGCATGCAGTTAACCACATCTGGGAACAAAGAGCTGATAACAAACAAAGAACACTCAGTACTGTTTACAGTTGAAGGGGTATGGTGACTTATCCTATGTTCCCATGGTGATCAGAAGTTTAAAGGCTTACAACCCAAGTTTAATATGCTAATGTACCTAACATCTTTGCCCACAGTCATGGCAGCGATGACCTTCTTCACTGCCTCTTTTCTCTTCTCCTTCTTCTCATTGTTCAGCTCTGCCTTCAGCTCAAAGATCTCCCCTGAAAAATGAACCATAGAGAGTAAATGGCTGAACAGCATGAATGTACTATCAAGTGGAAATAATCTGTGGAATTTTAGGGTTTTCTTACTCAATTTTGGCCCATTTCTATAACATTTCCCAACTCACCTTTTTTGTTTGTGGTGAAATATTTGGAGTCTGTCATGATTCTGGCCCTTTAAGCCTGCAAACAACATCAATAGGGAAAACGGCATCATTTGTTTTCCAAAAGACGGACAGTTAATAAATCTCAAATCTTTTGATTTTTACTGTCATCATCATTCACTCTGATCTGCATTGCATTAATGATCATGTCATCATTAAAATTCAAACAATATACAGCAATTTGGAACGGCGTCTAATGCATGTTGGTATATGCATACATAAGAAAACTTCTAGAATGTTAACCCAGATAATGATATGAATCATTTCATAGTGTTTGGTGCAAAACACCTGCATGTTCCAACTTGTAATAGAAGAATTGTTAGCATGGTTGCTTTCTAACATCATGAAGAACCACCTTAAATCCTGAGGCAAGGCCTCCTTAAGCTTTACTAAGGGGATCAGGGCAAACAAAAATAAAGGAATCTGGCATTATGAGTTTAGTCTGTAAAGAAAAGATTGGTTTAATGTACAAATGTTATGAGAGACCGACCGATATGGTTTTTTTAAGGCCGATGCATATTTTTAAAGAATTTTGTTGCTGATCGCCGACATTTAAAGCCAATTATTAAGGCCGATATATACGTGTTTTAGCAGCACATTTATTGTGAAAGACAACTGAACACTCACTATGTGCAATATAAATTAAATAGGTCAATAAATCTATTTTTATTCAACTTCAAATACAAAACAAACTCAAAACATTAAAGAACAGGTCACCCCCTACCAGAGTATTACGCCGGGGACACACCGGCCGCGGAAGCGACGCAAAAATGGGACCGCCTTCATTCGGCGCCCTTGTTAAAACTATTCTATAGACCACATGAGCCGCTGAAGCGCCGCGAATCGCCTCGGGCCGGCGCGCGCCGGCGCTCCAGCCCACGCCGTGCAGCGATCATTTCGGCGTCGGCTCTATTTTTTTCGCAAGCCACGGGTGAATCGCGTCAATTCTGGCAGGAAGTCAAACCTAGACATAAGAGGCAGGCCGGTAAAGTTAACAAAATAAAGCATTTCAAAATAAAATTCCGCAATAGTCAAATGTGTTCGTAATCAGACACTGCAGAAAAACCACACGAACACACACAGACATACACACACATTGAACTTGTGTGCGTGTGTGAGCACGTGAAGGGGGTGTGGTTTTGGGTGTCTTTTCACCGGAGCAAACAGGACAGAGAGGCAGAAAGTCTGAGGCAAGCAGTTAAGATGGATGACTTTAAATTAATTATGGAAGTTGAGAAACACAAGGAGCTGTACGACCCCCGAAAAACATGGTTATTTACGAACCCATTTCGGAAGAAACTGCTAGGATACAGCTGCAGAATTGGAGCGGGTTCCAAGAGATTCAACAGACAGAAACAACTCATACCATAGGTTCACACACACACACACACACTCAAACGTAGATGAAAAGAGCTGAGAAAAGGCAGAGAGGAAATGGAGGACACCAAGTGTTTAAAAGAAAAACTACAGCTGAGCCGAGGCGCGCCTCGACTGGAGCGCGTCTGATCTGAACTGAGGAGCGGCGAGCAGCGGCCGAATTTCGTGAGCGATTCGCTTCTCGGCGCTTCCGCGGCCGGTGTGTCCCCGGCGTTACTCCACTCCCACTTCCTGTTTGAAATATGCAACAAATGCAGTTGCCTAGCAGACCGAGGGTGGAGCCGCTAACAAATACACACACACAGGCTCACAACAACATTGTAACATCATATGGTACCAGCTAACATTTTAGGGTACCTCTTAGCCAATAGTGATGGCAGATTTAAATTCAAATGCAGTGCAGAGTTTTTACCTGACAACGGCACAACACTGACAGTTATAGGCCGAAAGTTATAATTGTAACTAAAATGCACTAAAGCGCTAAACTTTCGACTACACGTGTCTGCAGCATGATGAGACTCACATTTATATCAGAAAACATAAAAAATTGATTTGGGGGTGACTTGCTCTTTAAAAAACGGTGTGTTGGGTCCTTTCTTCAGTCTAGTAGTAGTGGCAGTTGGTCATACAGGTGCCCGATTTATTTATTTTTTTCTTAAATCTGCTTTTAAAAATAATTTCGTCCGACATAGAAAAGATAGAAAATATCGGCCGATATATTGGTTGGCCTCTAAATGTTATCATCCTTGGCGTTTATTTCTAACCTCATTTAAAAGGGCTACAACAATTCACAGCAGCTAGATTTGTAAGTAAATCCTTGCTGCAGGAAGAAATGATTCACATGAGCTGCATTTGAATTATTTTATTTTTGCCTCAACAAATACAAAACATTCACACAATCATTAAAAAAGTCCTTAGGCGTGTGTTTCCATAAGATCTGTTACACTTTTTGAAAAAATTTGCAGGCTTTTTGTAAAAATCTGCAGGACACATAAGTGATCCGACATCAGATTTGACCTTGTTCTGTTTGTTTATGACGCTGGTGGCTCGCGAGCGTTTCAATGAGGAGCCCGTTGCCAAATATACGTTATGGCTTCAGAGACATTTAAGCAACTATTTGCCTCAAACTGTACACCTCTATTAAATATTTACGATAATCCCACAGGCACTAGTCGCGACAGTTCACTGTTTCAGGGCGTGACACTTTTAATCCAGAAACATCAATTTAATACATAATTCCCCTTAGCTAACATTGGTTAGCTTAACGGCTATGTACGAAAAAAAGCATCAACACTCATTCCGCAGTAAACAGCCCCAAACAGTGAATCTAAATAACCACCAGGGTTTTAGTTTCAGAAAACCGATTTCAGTTTTCGTTTGAGCATTAGGCTAAATCTGACACAAAAAAGAGAAAAGCGACCAGCGGCCCAGTTCCCATCGCTACATGCCTACTAGAGATACGCTAAAGCAGCCATACATTGACTAAGACACACAATTTACACATCAAAAAATTACACGATTGCAAAATTAACGTGAAATATGTGTACTTAAGTACCTGGTCGTGTGTGAAACTGAGAGGGAAAATCGCTGAACGGTCCTTTCCCTGGTTGGAGGAAGATGGAGAATGGTGCGTTTACAGTCATGGAAAATTGGACTACTTCCCTTTGGAGCTAAAACGAATGCTACGTTGGAGGACAACCCGCAGTCAGATAATGCGGGTTTCAGTCCATTTGTTTTGTTTTAAAAATGGGGAAAATATACCACTTCATTGCATATTTAATTTTTATTTAGTTAACCTTTATTTCAGATAAGAAAAATAAACAGTAAAATAAATAATAAAAGAAAACAGTACCTTGAATTTTGTAAAAAAAAAAACTGCTGGTATTATAGTACATTTATTAGACAAGTGTTATGCTCCATCTCCTAATGTTGGTGTAATAAATCGTTTCTGATGATTTTTTAAGTTAATAACATTTGTCAATAAAATGTCAGTTACAGTCTGAGAAGAACAGAAGATGACTTGAGACAAACTTTTCAGTTTTGGAAGCTTGTGCAGGATCTAAAATGCATCTTGAAATGTCAGTTTTAGTGTGTTTTTGGTTTTTATGCAGAAAATTCCAGCTCGAGTTGGGAAGTAGAGTTGATGGCTTTTTGTGGGAACGTTTCTCTGGCCTCTTGTAGCTTTTTGTATGCTCTTTGAAAGGCCTCTGAAGGGAAATAAAACAAACAAACAAACAGAAAATACAAATTAAATTAACCCTGCAGAAAAATTCCCTGTTCTTTCTACATTTTTGTCTACTTTGGGCAATCAAGCTGCAATGCAAGGCTTGGTATACAGTCCATAACATTTTGTGAGTGTCCTAACAAATCCATCTTCCAGTGGTTTGAAATAACGAGAATCTAAATGATAAATGACCCATAATTGTATAGCGCCTCTCAGAGTAAGGACTCCAAAGCGCTGTACACTACAGTGTATCATTCATCCATTCACACACACATTTACACACTGATGGTGATGAGCTACGATGTAGCCACAGCTGCCCTGACGCTCGCTGACAGAGGCTAACTGGTGGCATTATGCTAATTTTCACTCCCGCTATCATAAAATCATTTCATGGTAAAAATAATAAATGGTGGAACATTCAGAGCCTGATTACAGTAAACTTTTTTACTTAACCACACACACAGAACTCACAGCTCACACAAACAAGGATACACTCAGCAGCAAACAGGAAGTGAAAGTCTTTTAAACCCTGATGCAAATACTGTGTGAGTATGTTTACCCAGAACATTGCAAACATCTCCCTGCTGACTAAATCCTCCCAGCTGGTCGATGACTTTCTGCCTCCTCTTTTTCTGAATGGCAGCGTCAACAAAGGCCCTGAAACAACCAGAAGCGAACAGTAAACACTTTTTAAAAGGAAAGATGAAACAATTTGCATTAATAATACAGATCTTTGTGAAATTTGTAAATGGAACACTTGCATTTGCATTAAGAAATAGTGTTTTGCATGCAGTGCAGAGAGTAAATCTCACTTCTGATGTTTTATTCATTCCATATAAACTGTTAAGCTGTCAGGGAGAAAATCAGAAACAGCTGCTTGTTGATTAAACTGGTCTTTACCTGGCTTGTTGGATGCAGTTCAGATTAAATGTGACACTTCCTGAGGTTAGACTGCAGAAGCCCAAACGACTCAGCCTGTCTCCCTGAAACCAGACACCATTGTACCAGATTAAGAATCATAATAATGCATTAATTTACTTGCTTGCTCAGGTATACACAGTTAACTTGGTGATAACGAAATAATGCTACAACTACCACAATGTATATTTTTAAAACATCATGTTTCACCCATTAAACCTTCAGGAGAAAATGTATGCAAAGGTTCAAAACCTGGAATTAGCTTAGCTGTGAGTGCACCTTGAAGGTCCCTGGTATTCTGACATAGCTGTGATCTTCAATCTCTGCAGAACCTCCGATAAAAAAGCGTCTCAATGCAGAGACCGTCCCCATCTGAAGAGGTCGCCATGTGTGACAGGTCATGGTGTGCTTACCTGGGATGCACCAGAAACAGAATATATGATGGAGATGAATGATGGAGCATGCAGAGGAATTATTATTAACTTTTCTGAACCATGTGAAGTTAAAAATCTTGCATATTTGAAATTGTTGGTATGAATTCATTTGTAGTACAATCTTTGGTGAATTATCTGAATATCTTTAAATTTTGTTTTTGAATGTTCAGTAGATAAAACTCAGTCAGGGGTGTCGAATCCTGGTCTTGGAGGGCCATCGTCCTACATGTTTTAGAGGTTTCCCTGCTTCAGCACTACTGATTTCAATCAGCAGGGGATTAGAAGGCTGATCAAACCATTTAATCTGGTACTTTGGAGCAGGGAAACAACTAAAACGTGCTAGGTAGGGTTTCTTGAGGAACAAGGGTGGACATCCCTGGACTAAAATAAAATAACACTTTTAAAGACAATTAAAAATAACAGTAATGTGAATCTAAAATCATCTAAATAATAAAGAAGTAAATTAGTCAATGAGTCTTATAGATGCAGCAGCATACCAGGAATAGCTGGAAAAAGCAGATAACCATAGCCTTCAATACGATAGCGCCCCCACAGGTCAAGAGAAAGAACTTTGAAGTAAAGCACTGGCCACTGGGGAATTAGCTCTGAAATTAAAAAAAGTGAAAACACTTAAATTTAGATTTTTAAATCACATCATTTCAAAATGAAAAGGCTCACGCTGACCTTCACTCTCTTTCTCACTCTTGTAAAAAATCTCAAAGTTGAAGGGGTAACTGAAGAAAGCCACATTTTCCTGTTGGCAGAGATCAACGTGTGTCAGTGTTCATGTTCTGAAGCAAGTAACCAGTTTCTTACGTCAAACACACACCTTCCCCAGTGATTTGGTTCGACAAGTCTGGGTAACCCCTGACAGAAACTGGGGCATTGAGCTGGACCAATCTAAAACAAAAAAAGTTTACTAAGATCTCACTAAAACTAAATATCACAAATGAGTATCACAGACGGCTTGTTACTCACTATTGGGAAGATCCAGGACGAAGTGGACGTGTAAGTTATCATACTCAAATCCTTTAGCCGAGACTAAAGAGAAAAAGAGGGAAAAGAGAGAGTGGTAGTTTGAAAGTTGATGGGTAATCTAAAAAGATAACGATCACAGCCGTCCTCCTCACCGATCTCTCCATCCATCAGGTAACGTAGCGTACCAACAGCGGGCTGGACAACAAACATCTGGTTAGCGAAAAATGTTTGCAAAGAAACAAACGTTCCCACTGGTTCATCTAATGCACTTTAATCAGTTACCAGCTCAGAGGCCTAGTGGTAGAGGGTCCGCCCTTGGACATCGGGGTTCAAACCCGGTCGGGTCGTACCAAAGACTTAAAAAGTGGGACTTTAACCCTTCCCGCTTGACACTCAGCTTTAAGGGGTTGGGCTGGGGGGTTAACCCATAAAATAGCTCCTGAGCGCAGCTTCAGCTGCAGCTCACTGCTCACCACGGGGATGGGTCAGACGCAGAGATACGTTTCACCAGTGTGTGATGATGACTAAGGGACTTTAACTTTATTTCCAGCTGTTTGTCCTTACAGGTTTGTAGATCTGGTAAATCCTGCTGCTTTAATATACAGTGTAATGTTGGGAGATTTAGGGATTTGTTGTCTAATAACTATCTTACCATTTCAAAGTCCTGTCCAACAAGACTACTGAGGTACTCCTTGTGCCTCGCATACAGCTGGAAACAAAAAAGTTGTTGTAATGCTCTCATTATGTCTGCTTGACTTCATTAATCTGCACATGAAAACAAAATTGTTCAATTTAATTAGAACAAACGTTGACGGGTCACTTACATCTTTGTACATGCTCTCCTCTCTTTCTTTATCCTCTGGTTTCATGGCTGCCGACACGTTCTCCAAAGTGAGACGCCAAACTTCTCGCTTCTCGCCCTCTGACACGATCCTACACATCAGCACAGAACTTTCAGTTTATTGAAACGGTTGGTTTATTTCTTGCTTTTTATCTTCTAATTGTCATGGTATCTTAACCTGAATATCAACTGAGCAGATTCATTTAGGTTAAAACTATTACAACGTAAATGTGATGGTGTGTGTGTGTGTGTGTGTGTGTGTGTGTGTGTGTGTGTGTGTGTGTGTGTGTGTGTGTGTGTGTGTGTGTGTGTGTGTGTGTGTGTGTGTGTGTGTGTGTGTGTGCCGCATGCCTGTAGGGCTCTCTGCCTTTATTGAAGTCAGGTTTTATAATGACTGTGCCACTGCCATCTGTTTTTATGGTAACCAGCAAACACTCATTCTCCTTCTGGCCCAGCCTGAGACAACAAGTACAGAGACAGCTAAATACAGAAATTCCCACAGGACAAGTAAAACTTATGTGAACAGAAATCTTGTTAATAAATTTACCTCCCAGGTGGGCCCAGGTCTCCCATGATATGCATGGTTTGCATGGCATTGTTCACAATATGACTGCTCTTCACAAACTCCTCTGTTGGCTCCCAGTTGATGATTCTTGACTTTGGGATGCTGCTGTCCCTGAAAAACCATCCAGATAATTTATTGTAGCTCTTTAGCATTAACTTCAATTGATGTACCCTTTAAATGTAAAAAAACCTAAACATTTTTGCATAAATGGTTGTTCATTTAATCTGCATATTTGGAAAATGTGAAATGAAAAACAAAAGAACTTCCCAGAATGAGGTAGTCCTTCACCTACATTGTACGTCTTTCTTGACGCCTGTGTCTCACACTGGCCATCCTCTCCGCCAGAAAGGTGGGGCTGGATTTTTTCGTGGACAGTAAGTCAGTTTGCTGCTTTCAGGATTAAAAAGAATAAACTTCAGGACAAAATATTCTACTTTAATGCAACTTTTCAGACAAGAGTTGTCAAAAATCTGAGTTGAACTGTCATTTTAACATTGAGGGGCCATTATTAAAACAACATAATTACATGATTCAATCAAAAGTAAAATATAAACAAGAGAAGACCAAAAAAACAGGAATACATCAAAGCTCAAGCATGACTACTGGTCTTTTTGTGACAGAAGCAAACTATTTCCAAACCCTTCTTTATTGTTGTGTTAAAATGTACCTGCAGTAAATCAGCAATGATGAAAAATGACAAACTGAATTAGGGTAAGGAAATAAAAAGATAAAATATTTCAATGCTTCTCTGCTTTTGACTAAAGTTTATTTCTCGGTCCAGTCCTCTTACTTTAGATAATATAATGTGTTTTCCATCTGGATCACTGCTTTTCTGTGCTCCACCTAAATACTCGTGTTTTTATCTGGATCTTTCACCTGATTCCTAACAAATAAATATGGGAAATAAAAATTAAGTTTAAAAACTGTCAACTTTGCAACACACCAGTTGGTTGAGTGGAAGGCAGTTGGTGTAGCGGTCATGATCTGTATATGTGAAAATTCTGCAGTTGTGCCGTCCCTTGGACTTTTTAAGGGCGTTGATTTCAGAATGATACTGCCGGTCCAAGGGTGTTTGGCATACTGCTTCGTTCTGAAACAGCTCCATTTCATACTAGAAAAACAGACAGTGGAGAAACAAGTAAAGATCAGATAAAAATCTTAATCTCTCTTCATTTTTATATAAAAACAAATGATTCGAGCATAGTAAAAATTCAAAATTGCACCTGGCTGAAGAGTTTCTCCTGCCAGCCCACCACTGCCTCCTCTTCATTATCAGCTGTTAACAGAATAACACAAATTCCAAGCTTTAATAACCTAAAATACATTTTAAAAATGCATTGAAACAGTGAGGAGAAAAGCTAAGGAATGTTCTATTTTTCTTCTAGCGTATTCTTTCTGTCGTGAGCAGTTTTTGTACCTGTCTGGACTTGTGATGTGAGGGTCTCCAGTTCAATGTCCCTTCTGCCCTGCTGGGACAACACCTGATGCTGGAGATGTTGAGAGAGGGCAGCTGAAGACGTCACCCTTTCTATACGCACCCTAAAGCAGCAAAACACAGTAATAATGTTATTATACTGTAATTTTAATGACTAGTATGGAAGCATATACGTTATCGTTCGTTACTTACTTTATTCTCAGGTTTTTGACAGCATCCCGGGACCGATACACAGCGTCTCCGGTATCTGTGTTCCAACAGTCCGCCATGAGAAGCAAAATAAAATACCCACGAAGCTACGAGTCTAAAAACGAAACAGCACACCCTCCGTATCAATGTAGGGTTGTTACAAAGACACGCTTAATGTTTGTAACCAGAAAAGAAACAAGCTAAGATGTGAGGGGTGTACAAAACAGCTACAAGTTGACACAAAATCAGGTAGTTGTCGTTTCCATAGAAATTCTAGTCATTCTTCTTCGTTAAGATAATTTAGCAGTTTCGAAGCCCTGCTATGTAAACTTAATCGCCACCTGCTGGCAAAAGGGGAAACTGACAACAATGTGATGTTTTTACGTCCTAGACCTAGACTAATGTTGTAATGTATGCTTGAAAATATTTACAATACTTCCTCAGAAATGTGGAATCATTTTTATGTTGGTGACAGAAAGTTGGGCACCCGATAATGTTACTGCACACAAACCACATTAATAACCAATTTTAATTAATAAACACGACAAAGAACGGTCCGTAAAAATAATAATGTCGGATTTTAAAAGTGCATATTTATCAGCCTTTCAAGTTCATCTAAATGTTGAAAGTGAAAGTTGATAGATATCAGTAGTCAGTACTGTTGCTGCCTGACAAAAAATTGTAAACAAAAAAAAACGACGAAGAAGAAAAAGGAGGCGCGACTTCGTAGACGCGGGTCAACAGTTATGCTGATGTGTCAGTGTTATTAAAATATAAAACTTTAGAGTTCGACATGTCTTCGTTTGTGACTGAAGTGCTCGCCAGCTCTGGAAAACTAGTGAAGGAGGACTTGGCGAACAAAATATGCAAAATCTCACGGAAGGTGGAAGACACGAAGGTAGTCCTCCAACTAGCCTAGCATCTGCTAACCTTAAAGTTTGAACGACTGCTAGTGGTTTAGCGCCTAGCTAATTTGACTATCAGCTAAACTCACTTCAAAAGCTATAAGTCATCGTATCGTGACTGGTTAACGTTTAGTTTTGCGCCAGCTGGTATGAATGAAGGTCCGCTTTTAACAGGATGTAATCACTATCGTCATTTTGTAGAATAAAACTAGTCCTCGTTCATTATTTCACAGATTGTGTTTTACTCTATAAGCACACAAGCACACGTTTTCCCGTGTTGTATGTTTCCCCCAGGAGGAAGTGTGTGACATGATGAACAAGAAGTACAATGAGTTCCACCCAAGCCTCCAAGCATCTGAGGACCTAATGCTACAGGTTGATTCAGTCTCCAGAGAAATTGAGGCTCTTAAAAACTGCATCGAGGCAGAGGTTTGTGTGAATCAGTTTGTAAATAACATGCTAAAGTTGCAGCAGTCTAACAGTTTTGGGGGTCTGTTTGGATTCAGGTGCAGCAGAATCTCACGGTGGCTGTGAACGAATACACAAAGCTGAGGCAGCAGCTGGAAAAGAACACGATTATCATCAAAATGCTCGAATACCTAAAACAGGTAGATTGTGTGTTGATTTAGTGAAAAGATGTCCACGTGTTACTGTGTCTGACATTCATTCTGTGACTCAGTTTCACAGTGCAATGGAGGACTTTAATAAGGCTTTACAGGAGAAGAAGTATGTTGATGCGGCCCATCATCTAAAAAGGGTAATACCCTCTTTTATTAATCAATATTCACTATGAAGTAGAACATGGAAATAAATATAAAGTGAATAATTTATCCTGCTAGTTCTTAGGCCCACATTTATACAAGCTGTAGTGCAAATTTGTTTTAAATTAATCCAGATAAATACTTGAGTCGGTAATAAAATCAAGAAGTTTTGGGTGTTTAACAGCAGAAAAACGGCTTTTAAATGTTGTTTGACATTTTTATGGTATTGGTAATATCATAAATCCCTTTTCATTCCTGTGTGTATGTGTATAATTAGCAGTGACTCAATTCTTTTTAAGCATTTTTGTATTGCACAAAATTATCATAACATTATTTTTTTCTTTTGTAGCAATCGCTTTGAAAATGTGCAAAAATGTGGCAATATAAACAAAATTACTAAAAAAAATCTATTGAAACCAGTAAATGTCTTTTTTTTACTCGCTTGAAGACAAAATATAGAACTACTAATATTTGTAGCTTTGAGGATGGTAGTATTTCAGTTCCTTAGTTCAGCTTAATTGTTTCCAGGCAAAGAGCAGTGTGGACTCACTGACGGACTCACAAACATCTCAACTGTCGCTCATTGGTACTCTGAGCTCCGAGCTCACGGTACAGAGAGAAAACTTAATTTTCCACCTGGGAGATGAATGGAAGCGCCAAGTCATCTGGAAATTATCACCCTCAAAGGGTAACCTGCTGAGGAAGCGTTTCTTTCTTTTAACATATTTGATTTTTACTGTGAAATAACTTCCTTTTTCAAATTGTTTTTGAACAATCCCTCAGATCCGGCAGGTCAAAAGTCCTTCCCGAAGGCAGAGCTGATGCTGAGTGGTGCTTCCAGTAAGGATGGTGAACCAAAGCCGCCTGCTCTGCTCTGCTCCGTCCTACAGGCTTTGGCCATCCAGGGAGACCTTCAGCAAAAGATCAAACTCTTCAGTAAGAACAAGCAGCATTGCTGACCTTTTGTTGTGTTTTTAATTCATTTTTTAAAGCTCTTATTGGCAGATTTAGGCCAGTTTATTAGAATATTTGTCATTCCTGTGCTTTGAAAAATGTAGTTATGAAGTAAATAAAGGCTTCCTTTGGATGGTTTCCTGTTTTTCAGGTCAGGTGCTTTTGAAGAACATGCTGAAGCCATTGGTGATGCACGCGTCGCTGTTAGTGAGGGTATCAGAGCGGCAGGGCGAGGGGACAGTCCTGGCCTTGCAGTGTTTAGAGGAGAGCCATGAGGAGCGATCCACACCTTCACAGGTCTACAATAAACTGCTCATGGTCTTCAAGACGCTACACTTACATCTGTTTGGTAATTCACCAGAAGAAAGATTCTCTGTGTCAACATTTCTTTAGATGAGCCTGAGATTCAGTCTTTTTCTGTGTCAGATGTTTCCATTGGAGACAAGAAGCTTGCAGCTATACTGGGGGAGTTGATTTGGGAGGAGATCTCGCAGTGCATCATCCACGAGTGCCTTGTGTACTCTATCCCCACCAACAGCAGCGAACTGGAAAAATACAACGCTGTACGTCCCAAAATTACTTCACACCGTTGATCAAAGTTGGAATTTCTCTAAATCTGTTTGTGTTCGTTTAAGGTCATTAAGGAAACGGAGGAGTTTGAAAAGGCTCTGAAACAGATGGAGTATCTGCAGCATGATTCAACAGATCTGCTCAAATATGCCAGAGATGTCAATTGTCATTTCGCCAGCAAAAAGTGCAGGGATGTTATTGTGGCAGCACGCAAGCTGATGACATCAAAGATGCACAACACTGTTAAGGTTTCTGAGTTTGTTGTTAAAGGTGCAAGACCGTGAGGGCCAAAATCTCTTCTTCTTTGCTCTATTGAAGCATTATATCCCCATGTCTCTTCTCTCAGATCACACCAGATTCAAAGCCGTGTCTCCCCAAGCTGCCTGCTCCCATGCCAGAGGTGAAGCAGGAGGACGTGAAGCCAGAGGTGACGATGGAGAACTCAAAGCAACTGTCTGTGTGGAGGCTGCCCGCCTGCCGCATCAGCGAGTCGGTGCAGCAGCTAATGGAGTTAGCGATCAACACCCTGGTTGAAGCTGTTGGAAGCTCCACTCAGACGTGCGTTCCACTGCGTCACTCAGAATTCTGACAGTACAAATCAGTGTGGTGACAACCCAACTGATCGGCATCTGTGATCTTTGCAGCGCCTTTCAGCTCTTCTTCACAGTGAGAAACATATTCCAGCTGTTTTATGATGTTGTTCCCACATACCATAAGTAAGAGGATTCCAGCGCACGACAAAAATACCTTCCAAGTTTTCCATGTGGGGAGGGATTTATTTCCATTTGTTCTCTTTATCCTCACTCAGGGAGAATTTGCTGAAGTTTCCTCACTTAGCTGCCATCCAGCACAACAACTGCATGTACCTGGCACACCACCTGCTCACCTTGGGTCACCACTTCAGAGCCCACCTGCCGAAGCCCCTCAGCGAAGGCGTTGCAACTTTTGTGGATATGGTGCCTGGATTCAGGAAACTGGGTAGGCAACCATGTCTCTACGGAGAGTCGCACTTTTTTCATTGAAATATGTGCACATTCAAGTGTTAACCCATCATCAAAACCTGTAGGTGCTCAGTGCTTCTTAGCTCAGGTTAATGTTCAGAGAGCCGAACTGCTGGAGAGGCTGTCCACTGCTCACAACTTCCGCAACCTGGACGATGAAGACAACTACATTGCTGCCAGCAAAGCAGTACGACAGGTGAAGGGACAGACTTTTATCATAATGTTGTTCTTGGATGAATTAAAGCACAGGTATTCATCTGTTTCTTTCACTTCAGGTTATTCATCAGCTGAAACAGCTGGGGACAGTATGGCAGGACGTCCTACCTGTTACCATCTATTGTAAAACCATGGGTAACCTCCTCAACACGGCCATCTCTGAAATAATTACCAAAATCATGATGCTGGAGGTTAGTTTTTTTTATGATAACCCTTTTAAACAACTCGGATTGGAAGAAGTATTGTCTGCAGTCTAAGAATGGGACCAGAATCAAAGCCTTTACATGATTTTATCACAGGATATTTCCTCTGATGAAGGGGAGCACCTCCACACTTTGTGCCAAACGGTCATTGAGGAAGGCCCGCTCGTCTTCATCCCTCTGGTTGAAGAAACCAAGAATAAGAAATACCAGGAGGAAGTGCCCCTTTACGTGAAAAAGTGGAACACTTTCAAGGAGCTTGTCATCGTGCTGCGGGCCAATCTGCAAGAGATTGTCGACAGGTAAAAAAAAATGGTTCATTTCATTACAGATAAAAATGTTTTTGGCCTAAAAAATAAATACAGCAGAGAATTTAAAAATTGGTGTTGTAACACATGCTTGTTTGGTATATCTGTCATTTTCTTCAGGTGGGCTGATGGTAAGGGTCCGCTGGTGATGGAGTTCTCCAGTTCGGAGGTGAAAAGTCTGATCAGAGCTTTGTTCCAGAACACGGAGAGAAGAGCTGCTGCTTTGACCAAAATCAAATAAATTCTTTGACAAAAAGACAGAAATGAAGGGAATTTCTTTCCTTAAGGGGAAAGAAGGATAATGCCTTTAACTGCTTTCACTTTGTGTTGCATGTTGGATGAACAGTTTGTCACAGACGCATCGTTGATGTTTCATTAGTCTGTTAGATCAGCACATGAACATCAGGCATAAAGGGTTTACACTCCAAATACACCATCTGCTAACAAGCTTAACGTGTGATGAAGCTTTGGCAGTTAAAAAGCCTGAACTTCAATATATTTTTACCTTTTTTCTGTGCTGATTGACAAGAATTTATATGTTTGAAAGCTAATGTTAAATGGCTTTAAATACTAAAAAAAAAACTGTAAAATACCTGCAACTGAACACTTAATGTATTTACTGTTTCTTTGAATAAAGCAAAATGCTCAAATGTTACCCTTATTTAAAAAGTCAATGATGTTTTGTTAAATATTTTTGAAAGTTGGCCTGTTTTTATGTTTTATGACCCAGTTTGGACCAAGATTCAGCTGCTGGACAAGCTGGGGTCACATTTGGCTATTTTCATATTGGTGACCAAGCTCTTCACAAACCCAAATGGAAGTTTCAAAACTAAGGTGTAGGTTTGTTACTGTGTGTGGGAGATGTTTTATGTTTGCTGTGGAGGGAATAGTGATGTACTCTACACAGCTTGGTATAGTCTTACTGTAGCAGTAGTTCAGACAGAAGTTATTTCTTAATTTTATGTTTAATAAGACATAATATAGAAAATAGTATAAATGGAAGCATTTTCCTTAGAGAAATTTAAAATACAAACTTGTAAACAAATGTCTTAGTAATTATTTTTAATTAAAAATGTGTCTTGTCACCTTGTGTGAAATTGTAAAAAAAAATCTAATTCCAGTTTATAAAACACAATTGGTGTTTTTCAGGAGTTAGCAAATTATTTTTAGGACAAACTGTCTTTCTGTGAAAATACAAACTAGAGGGCCTCTAGGGACTATTTGTATTAGCGGAAGAATATCGCATGGTGACACGTCACAGCAGTATAAAGTCGCCCATCCCTTGGCAACTAGTCAGAGCGCGCGCAGACATAGGTAAAGGAGGGACGTACACCAACTAAACTTACTGTAAGTGCTTTTTCCTACCCAACGCTATTCTTTCTCTAAAATATGTTTATCTTGTACTTTACTTTTTAATGTCCATTCTAACTTGCATTGTATAGTATAATTCGCTAATAAGCTAGCTTAAGAGTTAAAATACGGAAATGAGCGCTAGAAGCTACAACAATGTACAATTGTTGACGTTTTTCTTTGTTTTTATTTTAATTATACCGAAAGCTTTTTTAACGTCTATGAGTAACGGTGACGATTGTAAGCTGTTTTGCCCAATGAAGTGTAATTAGGCTGGGAAGTGTGAAAAATGAAAGCGAACAATGGCTTTTCCAAAATGGCGCAGTTGCTCGAATCCACGGCCTCCTACCAGAAACCGGTTACCGTTGGTTCTCGAACGTTAACAGAAGAGCTTCTTTTCAGTTTTACTTTTATTTTTTGCCATTCAATATATTTGGTCCCGTTTTAAATCATTTGTCGACCAGAAGTCCTTTAGTGATACGCTTAGTTATGAAGAATATTAACGTGAAACTCTTATTCCACAGGTGCAAACATGCAGATCTTTGTCAAGACCCTCACTGGTAAGACCATCACCCTGGAGGTTGAGCCAAGTGACACCATCGAGAACGTGAAAGCCAAGATCCAGGACAAGGAAGGCATCCCTCCTGACCAGCAGAGGCTGATCTTTGCTGGCAAACAGCTGGAAGATGGCCGCACCCTCTCAGACTACAACATCCAGAAGGAGTCCACCCTCCACCTTGTCCTGCGTCTTAGAGGTGGCATGCAGATCTTTGTCAAGACCCTCACTGGTAAGACCATCACCCTGGAGGTCGAGCCAAGTGACACCATCGAGAACGTGAAAGCAAAGATCCAGGACAAGGAAGGCATCCCTCCTGACCAGCAGAGGCTGATCTTTGCTGGCAAACAGCTGGAAGATGGCCGTACCCTCTCAGACTACAACATCCAGAAGGAGTCCACCCTCCACCTTGTCCTGCGTCTTAGAGGTGGCATGCAGATCTTTGTCAAGACCCTCACTGGTAAGACCATCACCCTGGAGGTTGAGCCAAGTGACACCATCGAGAACGTAAAAGCCAAGATCCAGGACAAGGAAGGCATCCCTCCTGACCAGCAGAGGCTGATCTTTGCTGGCAAACAGCTGGAAGATGGCCGTACCCTCTCAGACTACAACATCCAGAAGGAGTCCACCCTCCACCTTGTCCTGCGTCTTAGAGGCGGACAGTAAAAGATTCTATGATTTTAATCTGAAATGCCAACTCAACCTAATAAAGAGATTACAGTGAATTATCTTGATTTATTTCTCTTTTTATTGGCAATAATTTGATTTCAAAAGTTAAACCCAGACTATACATCTGCTTCACAAGTAAATACTTGCATGGGTGGTGCTTAATGTCCATGTCTATTTCATGTAGTTTCTCTGCCCCACGTGTGTGTGTGAGACATTTTTAACAGGTGTCTGCAGAGCTTGATAAGCTGCTGATCAGGTGATTTAACTACTGGATAAAGTGGTAACAAACTTGCTGGATAGTGACACGTGCATAACCAGGGTTGGGCAATCCTGTTCTAATCTGGTCCATGAGGTAATGGATTTTAAGTGAGGGGTAGAAGGTAGTTGGATTTTAAAGTTCAAAGTAAAGTCACTAGATGTCACTGCTGCACAAGTAATTATAACATTAAAAGTGTAAAACACAAATGGGCCATCCAAATAAATCCTCACCTAAAAGGTGCAAAAATGTCCTGCCACAACAAGAGCACGAGTGTAACCTTGTCAAATAAAAGCCAGGACCTCCAACTCTTACCCATACACAATAGTAATTCCAAAAAATTGTAAACTAAATTTGTAGGCTTTCTCATTTTGGGGTTGGTTGTGATTGTATAGTAATCAAGTTTTGGCAACCAGATATTGGGACAAAAAGTTATGCTAGTCCTAGAAATCTATTAGCATCGGTGGAAGTGTCACTACATGAAGAAATTGAAAGATTTCCTAATTGTTGCATTTCACGAGTACAGCTCTAACTGCAGTAATACATTTGGAGCAGATGTTCAAGACAATTAAGGCTAGATGGAGTTTCTACTCAGGCTGAAATTTGCACTTTCAAATGTTAATAAAGGTAATGTATTTGTTAAAATATGTGGCTCTCTAAATTAAATGGTTCCTGCTTCACATCAGAGATCCTACTGGGCATGAAAGCAAATGCATTCAGTGACCTGTTCCAGAGAGAGCTGCATGAGTTAAATTTAACAAAGTCTTCTAACAGATTGATCTTTTAACACCAGAACCTATTTAGCTACACAACTGAAGCTTCTGAGTCATAGATGAAAGAGACTTTTATTTCCACCCTCTATAAACATCTACTCAAGCCTCATCCTCAGACCCCTGCCTCAGTGGGCTGGCCCCTTGGACAACGGGCAAACCGACAACTGCACGTTTTAGCTGAGGGTTGCTGTTTCACTCAGCTGCAGGGCGTGGGGACAAATGGCTGGCTGGGGGGGCTTCTTCTTCTCTCTCCTCAACTACAAGACAGAGAAATATGTCATCGCCGAAAACAGGAGGATTGGGATTTTGTTCCGGCTCTATCAGCTGGCCGTGCTGGGATACATAATCGGGTGAGACCCCTTGCATGTCCCTCCGATTGTGGGCATGGAGTAAAGACATTCAGAGTTAAAAATAGGTGAGCTTGTGAAAGGTTTTTGCTTTGCTAGTGTTGTTAAAGTGATGTAGAGTCACTCACTTGTTTCGTCTTACCAGAAGTTTTTGTTTGCTTGATTATTTGTGTCAGACTCATTCATGCTTTCATTGTCTAAATCACACGGATTCTGTCATTTGAAAGAATGAAAACAGACAAAAAAAGTCACATGAAGGTTAACTCTTATATTTGACCTCCGTTAAAGGTAACCTGAACTGTAAGGCAGTAAACTGAGAGAAGGGGGGTTGTAGAGTCATATTTTGCTCCATGGCATGCACGTTTCATGTTCACTAAAACTGTTTCTATTGCACAAACCTGCATGTGCGATTCTTTTCAATGTGTTTACACAATAACAGCCACTGCATGTAGGTGTTCTTAGCAATTATCTAGTACTTCTTTTTTCTCTGCATCCTGCACGTAAACGCCATGATCTGCAGTCTCTGAAAGTCAAACAAATGGAAGGTGTCTGATGAAGTTTCGTCTCTTACAGGTGGGTTTTTATCGTGAAGAAAGGATACCAGGAGAAAGAGGAGGCAATCCAGACTTCAGTCATCACCAAGCTTAAAGGTGTGACCCTGACCAACACCTCTGAGACAGGACCTTACCTGTGGGGTGCCGAGGACTATGTCATACCTCCGAATGTGAGCATACAAGCGAACACTCTTTAGTCTCACCTAAATGTCAGTTTAGTTTTTCATTAGCCCATGGCGTCTGTCTCAACACATTTAACCGATCTGAGCTTCTAATGGGGTGTAATTTGTTTAACCTTTTTCACTTTCTATCTGAAACCTAATTGCAGGGTGAGCAGGTGTTCTTCATAGTAACAAATTACATTGAAACACCTAATCAGAGGCTGGGCTTCTGTGCTGAGGTAAGGGACTACACAGAAAAATCTCTCATGTTTATGCAATGAACTGTTTGTACCCTAAAAGCCGTTATCGTGGTCCTCTTGTAGAGTTTCAAGATTCCAGACGGACGATGTCAAAGCGACGGTGACTGTCTCGAAGGGGAGAGCGTGACAGCTGGGAATGGTGAGGAACGTCGCCTGGATGTTCTGATAGAGAGCAGAGTTCATTGTTCCATCAGTTAAAGCCAGTGGTCCAGGTCCTGAAATAGCAAAGAAGCCCCAGACCACCACACTTCCGCCACCATGCTTGATAATTGTTATGCTGTTGTTTTTCTGAAACAGTATTAGTTTTACACTAAATGGAGTGGGACACGTCTTCCAGAAAGTCAGATTTTTGTCTCATCAGTCGACTGATTATTTTACGACAAGTCTTGGAGATTGTTGATAAATGTTTGGTTGCTGTTGTGTTCCTGTTCCTTTTGAATTATTAATTGTTTTTGGTCTCGGAACTCTCCCACGAAGGCTTTTTTTGGCCCATTTCTTTTTTTGTTGTTGAATCGTGACCTTTGACCATGACCAAGTGAGCCCTGCAGGGCTGTAGATATTGCCCTGGGCCTTGCTGTTGAATTTCTTTATCATGTTGTCGGATTCTATTGAAGCGATTTTTTTTATTTTACTGGTGTAGTGATCAGACCTTGGTGTGGCTGGTGGAACTGAAATCAGCTTACCAAATTCCATCATTTGTTCTTAATTCACAGTGGGGCAATTGGTTTTCCAGTGTTAATTAGTTAATTATTATTTTTTGCTTATCATAGCACCATATTAACGTCGCTATTGGATCTAATGTTTTATTCATAAATGCTCCAGTTGCAGGACTCGAACCAGACCTATTTAATCAATCAATCAATCAAAGCTTTATTTATAAAGCGCCTTCCGCAACCCTGTCAGAAAGTCCAAGGCACTATTTACCCATCATGCAAATGCAGTAACAAAGATGGCAACCATAATGGATTATTACACATGATTGGTGACACCATCTTACATACTGCCTTTTTTTTTACCTTAATCATTGTTGTTGTGTACTGTGATTACATAGATGTGTTGCCACTGATGGAAAACAGAATTTCCCAGAAGAACCTTCCTGAGGATCAATGAAGTCAATCGGAGTTAGATTTGTTTGAATATTACAAATATTGTAAAGCATTTCTGTATATTTATTGTAAAGGTTACAGGCTAGAACTTATGATTTTAAATGTTTGCAGATGATACACTGGATTCTGCATAAACTCCAATTATAGGTGAAGCACTGTTATCATTCTTTATTTTTGAATTATTTATTTAAATGTGAAAAATAGATGGAACACACATTTTTGAAAACAATATTACAAAAAAATCTTGATGTCAATAACAGCCCAAACGGCACGGCAGATGTTTCAGCCATTCAGAAAAGAACATTTTCATGCAGTTTTTATTAATTCTTTAAACATTTGAATCCTTAGTTGTATGCACCAGAAAATCATACACTGTAGCAACACATTTTAGAGCTTTTTCCAAAGAAATAAGCACTTAGTTGATATATTTAATGTCATTTAAATAAATAAGTGTATTTCTTTTTCAGGAATAAAGACCGGCATGTGTCTGAACAGCACGGGGACCTGTGAAATTCACGCTTGGTGTCCTGTTGAACACAGCAAAAAACCTGCGTGAGAATCCTTTCTTTCTTACAGAAATGTGACATTTTGCCATTTGTAACTAAATTTTTTCTAACATTTCACAAATATATTGCAGGTTTTATTTGTGGCTGACAAGGAATCTGGTTTATTTTGCTTATCTATATTTGTTTTTTTCATACGTGTTTAATTTCTATATTTAGGGAGCCTTTACTGAGCGAATCAGAAAACTTCACCATCTACATCAAAAACTTCATCAGGTTCCCAAAGTTTGAATTCTCCAAGTAAGTAGGTGTAAGTGTCTGCTGATGGCCGGTGTTGCTGTGGTTCTGAGGCATCATGGTGCTGAGTGAGATGGGGGGGGGGGGGGGGGGGGTACGTGCTCCGGCGGCTGCTTTAAATAGCTTTAGGGTGCAAAGAGCCGTCTATTTATACTAGCCCGCGTATTGCATTCAGTGAGACAGTGAAACAGTCATCTGAGACGTCCTTGACAGCAGCCTTTTTGCTGGACAGGTGTCAGATCAGACAGGGTTTACCCAGAGAGCTGGACCAGTGCCCTCTCTGCTGCTCCATGTCCACGTCCTGCAGGACACCAGAGCGAGGACACGAGCCTAAGCTAATTTATCAGTCAGGCGCTCCATCTAATTACACAGATACCTAATTTGTCTTCATTAGCCTTGATAGGCTTTTGCTTGATGGGAATGGACAGGTAATATGATGCCTCTTAATGGGGGGGGGGGGGGGGGGTGTCACAGTGACACACATGCAGTCGTGCTCAGAGCTCAGAATATCACACTGTTAAGCCGTCACATTTTTATTCAAACTGGACACTATCCAGAAGTTTCAGAGGAACGGTTATGAGACAGGAAACAGAATACATCATATTCTCCACTTTTCTCGGTATCGACTCAAACAGGTGTCAGATCTCCTTGAGGTGTCGCATTTTGATTTATGCACAAAACTGAGCGTTATCGCATGCAGGTGACATTCAGTTGTGCACATAAATCTACTTGCAGCCTTGTTTGCTTCAGATCTACTGGAGCACCGTGCAAGCAGGGGCTGCTGCAGCATCAGAAGCAGAAACCAGTTCTGCGAGTTCACGTTTGTCACTGGTGTCGGTTTTCCTTCCCTCTCAGGTCCAACGTCTTGGAAACATCTGATGAAAGCTACTTGAAGACGTGTTCTTATGACAAAGAGAACCACCCATACTGCCCCATCTTCCGACTCGGAGATCTTGTCAGCAGCACTGGACATGCCTACCAGGACATGGCAGCAAAGGTAGTGATGTCATTTCCTGTTGTCGTCACAACTGAAATCCACCAGTGATGTGTTGCTTTTTGAAATCTTGTAGCGTGTTTTGTTTTTGCCAGGCCAGTCCTCCATAAAACTGTAAAGTGATATCAATTTTCTCTGTTGTCGTTAGGGCGGCACCATCGGTGTTCTCATCCAGTGGATCTGTGACCTGGACAAAGACTCCTCTAAATGTAATCCACAGTACAGCTTCACACGTTTGGACATGAACTTAAATAATACGGTTACATCCGGATACAACTTTAGGTCTGTTCTCTAACCTCTGCAGCGTCCGCTCTGATGTTTCTGTCGGTTCACCTGTTAAGCCCTTGTTCTTCCTGCAGGTACGCCAGGTACCACAAGGATGAAAAGGGTGAAACGTATCGCACGCTCTACAAAGTGTACGGGATTCGTTTTGACATAATGGTCAACGGGCAGGTACAGCACAAGCATAAGCGGTTTTTCACTAACTTTATGATGTCAGGGACTTGCTCTAAATGTTCTGTTATTGATATGCAGGCTGGAAAATTCAACATCATTCCCACAATCATTGCGATTGGCTCTGGTGTTGCTCTGATAGGAGTCGTAAGTAAACCATTGATTTGTGACTGATCTTTTGTTGCTGCTGACTTAAAAACTTTTTTGTATTTTAGGGAGCCTTTGCATGCGACATGATACTACTCTACATGATGAACACAAGCTCCTACTACAGAGAGAGGAAATTTGAAATTATCAATTTCAAGTATGACTGTTATGACGCTATTAAACATTTTTCTTGTAATCTTGTTTATTACACATTCCTTATTTTTTGTTACAGGAAAGATCGAAACAAACAAAAGGATGGGAAGACTGGTCAGAAGAGATCCAGGAAAGCTGATCCAGAAAAAGATGCTTCCAACTCCATTAAAAAGCCAGAGGGCAGTGACCTCGCCTTGGAACGTCCCACTCCAGACGACAACCAGCTTCCTGTGGACAATCGAGGTCCCACTATTCCACGCAACACGGGCCAGCGATACTCGTCTATGGCCTCTCACAAAGGCTCGGCACAGAAACATCACATCACTTTTGCTTCACTTAACTAGGTCTGCAGGTGATGCATCCTTAAGTCACACTGACATTATGGTCACGATCACGTGTGAAGACTGAAGAACTGTTGGTCAAAGAAAATCTTTCACAAGGAACAAGAAGGGCCAGAACACTGTTGTATGCAGACAGGTGGCTGCGTACGGTCAGTTATTCCTTATTTAATTAAACAAATACTTTGACAAATATTTGTGACACTAAAGCAAATCCGTTTGTGCTCTTTAAAGCTAAGATTCCATAATAACTAAAGAATAAAAAAGCATTAACAGAAAACTTATTTTAACCTGGTTACAACAGATACAGTTGTATGAAAGTACACTTGAGGTAAAAATAACAACTACCAGGTCTCTTAATGGTTGTAGACATGGTCTGCATTTGTGTTGTAAAATGTAGCAACTTTAACCTGACGTTCAGTAACCTGAGAACTTTTACTATTTAGTTGCAAACCTGAGAAAAGCCATCTGCTACACACCTGTGATAATGTGGTTTTGTGCTGGCGGTAAAATGGACTCAGATGAATGACTTCCTTTTCTGTTTGCAAACACCATAGCTATTTATTATTAAATGTATTTTTATTGTTGGAAGCAAAGTTGTGTTGACTTTATGCTGTCAGTTACATATCCTGATGCATGAACAGATGTCGACAAGCAACCTGCAGAGATGTGTTCATTCCAAGTTTATTACAGTTGCTGTAATTTAAACATACACGAAACTGAAACATTAGGATGTTAATGAATAAGTTACATTTTTATTACCGGTTGTGAATGCCTTTGCATGGACGATACCAAGCACAAAGCAGGAGTTAAAGGAGTTCATTTAAAATGGTAAATTTGGACCAAAGGAGATAGGAGCACTAAGTGATCTAACTATAGGAAAATCTTTTTCAATAATGATCTATCTACAAACAGCAGACTAGACAACCCCAATGCTTTAAAATGCATTATACTGAACCATATGTGTTTAATCAGTTTAGTATACATGCACCATCCCGTACAAAAAAGTCCAGAACAGCACGTAAGTGAAAAGGCCTCCGACAAGACCGCCGGTGAAAAGCAGCCGGCGAGATTTAAAGCATTTGTTCCATCGTCGTCCAGCCTTGAGGATGAGCAGCAGCGACAGGAGAAAGGAGGCGAGGAAATAAAAAATGAAGCCGTAGAGTCCAGTCAGCCCGAGGATCCCAGCTGTTGCTCCCGACAGAGCAGACACAGAGGTGCGGCAGTATTCCAGCAGGGCGGCGTTACCCCTCACCGCCACTTCACTGATGAACTGTGGTCCCTCTCGTTTGGCCCCTACACCTGACATGTTGACTCTGGTTATCTACCACAGAAGAGTGTTGCTGCAACAGATAAAACATTTTGTTGATATATTTGACTGCTGCTGTACATCAAATTCCCCCATGTGGGACAAATACAGACCTGGACATTATGAATTATTAATGAACTTAGTGTTACCAGTAACATCCCAGATGAAAAAAATGGGCTGGATTTAAAGATGCTGAGTCTAAGCTAAAATACAGCTCTGGTAAAACTTGATAAGGTGCATTAAACTCATGGAACCAGATTTATAGGCAAAGCACCAAACAGCCGAGAAGTTATTTAAGCTACACTTAAAATAACGTTATTATGAGAGGTCGCACTGCGTTATTTTTTAACATACAACGTCGCTGCTAACAGCTACCTCAGCTAGCAGTCAAAGCTAACCGCTACAGCTGCTAACACTCACCTGATTAAAAGGTTTATTGGCTCCTCACGACGAAATTATTGTAACATAATACGAAAGAATGACTTGAGGTCCGGAGATGTCAGAGGATTTTTAGGCTTTTTCAGCTGAAATGGCACAGACACGCTGCATTCATTCTCAAGACTGACAACCCTAAAAGTCAACCATGATTTTTCACGAGTGCATTCTGGGTAATGAGAGTCATCGAACGGGTGTATCCGTTTAAGGAACATTAAAATGTAGGAAATTGTGTTTTTCATTTAAAAAAACTTCTACATGTTCCAAAATTGTAATGAGGCATAAAAGAACCTAATAAAGTACATATGTCACGTAAATGTTAGCAGCCTTATTCAAATTAACAGATTTATTTTAAAAAGGCCATGAACTTAATAATAATATAACAAAACAACAAACAGAAAGAAAAAAACAACGAAAACAAAATACAAACCTAGATAATAAACAACGTTACTCAAATCAAGCTCATATCAAAGCTTAATGAGAGAAATCAAGCAATAGATCAAAACTAAGATGAAGTGATAACAAAAAGAAATCAGGATAAAAATGAATTAAATACTGCGCTCTATTCATTTGAAGACGAATTTATTAATAACAAAATTATCCTTTCATTTGCTTTGTTTCACCAGATAAAATCAGATGTCCAATAAAATCTCAGATGTCCTATTTCTTTTTGACACCAACGCATCAGTGTCGACTTTGGCCCAAGAGCATCTGCCTGCAGGGCTGCAGGAGAAATGTTCACCAGTTAGCACAACAGCAGCACTGCCTTCAAGCCAGCCCTCCGTTCGAAACGACGGTCAAGCCAGCCCTCATTCGATTTTTACGGGCGCAACTACAAGAGAAATTACGGTGTCCTCGTTAAAGTGTCTTTCAAAATAAAAGCGCACTTCTAGGATGTGTGTTTGAATGTGCTAATGAACACTTTTTCTGTATGTTAAAATTTGTCTAAGAGAAAACTGCGTTTTAATGATTTTATCTATTAAAAATACTTCTAAGAAAAAGAATGAAAACAATTTAAATAATTTTTTTGTAACATTGTGTGCAAGAAAAACTACCTTGTTAATAATTTTGTCTATTTTAAAAATACCTTTAATTAAAAGAATGAACACAATTTAAAGATCTGATGTGGCATTTCTAAATAAAGTAAAATCAAAGTTGTCAATAATGACAATTTTCACCCTATTTAATGGTTAATTTCTCAAAAACTGTCTTATTGCGAAACATCATTTTACATCATTCCGGAAGTACGCATCGAGTACTACACCCTCCCTGATTTTCATAATCACAATAGGTGACACGACATGGGGGAGCCCATGGCGCAGCCATGTTTTTGTCTGTAGAAACATGGCTCCCCGTGTCACCTATTGTAGCCAACCTTTACATGGAGGAAGTGGAAAGAAAGGCTCTTGGCTCTTTTAAAGGGAGAGCACCCAGCCACTGGTACAGATATGTGGATGACACCTGGGTCAAAATCAAAACACAAGAAGTGGAACCCTCCTTCACTACGCACATCAACGCCGTGGACAAAAACATCAAGTTCATCAGGGAAAACTTAAAGGACAACTGCTTGCCTTTCCTGGACTGCGCTGTGCACTTAGAAGAAAATGGCAACCTCAACATTGAAGTGTACCGGAAGCCCACACACACGGACCAGTACCTCCTCTTCGACTCACATCACCCTCTGGAACACAAACTTGTGGGCCATTCCAATCTGTACCGGGTCGGCCCGGGCCGGGTAGCCCCAGTCGGTCCCAGCCTGGCCTGGTTGATTCCACACATTCTTGCCTTAAGCCCATGTGGGCTGATTCTACCCACCAGTCAGAGGCTTGCTCTAATGGAAGGTGTGAATTTGCTGTCAGCAGTGGGTGTGTTGGCCCTGGTCGGCCTGAAGCAGACCCCCTCGAAAAAGAGGGCTGAGAATGAGCCTTGGTTGGCCCGGAAAAATACCAGGCCACCCAGATATGTAAACAAGCTACGCTACCCGGCCCGGGCCGACCCGGTACAGATGGGAATGGCCCAGGGGACAAAGGTCACTCTTTCGAGGATGCCAACATTCACATTTTGGACAGAGAGGACAGATGCTTTGAAAGACCAGTAAAGGAAGCCATTTATGTCCACTGTGAGCAACCATCTTTGAACAGAGGCGGTGGTTTACGACACCAACTGTCTGCCATCTATAATCCAGTTTTGAGATCCCTTCCCAGATGCCTCAACGCCCACGCATATCCTGGGCCATCTGACCTCAGGAATTCACATGATAGGGTGGGGCCAGGATTCACAATGTGCTCACCCGAAACTCTGGCTGAATAGGACCCACACCCACCCTCACACCTTGGCTCATGTGTTTATGTAGAAGATCATCAGGGGGTCTTTTGTTCCCTCTTCGGGGGGAAACTCCCACTGGGTTTGAATCTGGGACTCTCCACCATTTGACCTTAGAACTGAAGAAGCCTCTCGGATGAGAGGTGAAACGTCTTCAAGCAACTCAAAGAAGTCCAGATGCTTTTCTTTCAAAGCTCGTTAGACCACCATATTCAATGGTTAATTTATCAAAAACTGTCTGATTGCGAAACAACATTCCACATCAGTCCGAAAGTACACATCTAGTACATCCTCCCCGGCTTTCATAAAGATCTGATGTGGCATAACCCTAACCCTTTGAGAAATTAACCATTGAATATGGTGAAAATTGTCATTATTGACAAATTTGATTGTACTTTATTTTGAAATGCCACATCAGATCTTTATGAACGTTGGGGAGGATCTAGTACTCGATGTGTACTTTTGGACTGATGTGGAATCATGTTTCGCAATCAGACAGTTTTTGAGAAATTAACCATTGAATATGGTGAAAATTGACATTATTGACTAATTTGATTGAACTTTATTTTGAAATGCCACCTCAGATCCTTATGAAAGTCGGTGAGAATGTAGTACTCGATGTGTACTTCCGGACTGATGTGGAATGATGGTTCGCAATCAGACAGTTTTTGATAAATTAACCATTGAATATGGTGAAAATTGTCCTTATTGACAACGTTGCACTTTATTTTGAAATACCACATCAGATCTTTAAATCGTGTTCATTCTTTTAATAAAAAGTATTTTTACAATAGACAAAATCATTAACAACGTAGTTTTCCTTGCCACACAGTGTTACAGAAAATTTTATTTAAATCGTTTTCATTCTTTTTCTTAACATTATTTTTTTCATAGATAAAATAATTAAAAACGCAGTTTTCTCTTAGACAGATTTTAACACATACAGAAAAAGTGTTCATTAGCACGTTCAGACACACATCCTAGAAGTGCGCTTTTATTTTGAAAGACACTCTGAACGAGGACACCGTAAATTCTCTTGTAGTTGCGTCCGTAAAAATCGAACGAGAGCTCGCTTGACAGTCGTTTCCGAACGGAGGGAGGGCTGGCTTGACGGCAGTACAGCAGCATTCATGTCTGGTTTTATTCTGGGTGTGGACGTGGGCACCACCTCGGTGAAAGCCGTGCTGTTAGCAGCCGACTCCAGAACTGTGGCTGCGAGTCAGGCTCTACCTACAGCTGCTGATATAAGCGACAACAGCGGGATAAAGGTGAGCTACTTGCGCCATACTTCACTTGACCGCCAACGCATCACTCAGGTGTGTTTGTGTGTTTGCAGGCGAAAGAGCAGGATGCAGGTCGGATCATAGCCGCTCTGAACCGGTGCGTCAGTCAGCTACCGAGAGACAAACTTCAGCATGTCAGCCGCATCGGGCTGTCCGGGCAGATGCACGGAGTTTTGTTCTGGAAGACAAAAAACGGTAAGAAAACAGCGCCTGCCTCAGCGCGATTAGCTGTGTAACGACTATATGACGGCGTATTAGGGCCGCCGAGAAGCCACAAGGATATGACGGTGTGTTAGTGCCACAAGAAAAGAGGAAGTGTCCAGATAAGGAATGCAGCTTTAAAGTTGAAACGTAGAGTTATGCTGAAAAAACTGGAAAACTCACCTTGCAAAGGCGTGAAAAGTCCTTGAATTTGAATTCGAAAAAGTAAGAAATCGATCAGAAAAATTAGAAAATTATTGTGAAAATCAACCAATATAAAACATAGATTGATTAAATACTATTTTATTGTTTAGTGTAGCTAAGTAAATTAAAGGAAACAAATTCACTAAAAACAGAAGAACTTAGATATGAATTTTCTTTCCTGGCATCATCTTTTTTTTAAATTAAATATCTTGGTGTAAAGATGATTAGGTTTTAAAAATGCTTACTTTGATAAATTGGGCAACACTCTTCCAGTTCAGCACCAGCAATATATCCTTCATTCTGTCCTTCTTTCTTATGACTGATTTTTCATGCTTTATAAGACATTTTATTTCCACTGCACTGATAAAACAATACAACAAAACTTTATTTTGCTGTACTCCTCATAGTAGCATCAAAATAAAAGCAAAAGAAAGTCGGTATAAGTCAAATATATCATCACCAAATGGAATCAAATCAACTAGTGAAGCAACAAGTTTAAAATCAACATTATTGATGTCACGATGCGGACGGGAGGTTTGGACCCAAAGTGCAGAAATCCAGAACACACAGGCAGGAGCGGTTGAAAAAACATAAAATCCTTTATTTTAGACAATAATCAAAATCTAAAGGAAGGGAGGAAAAAACCTAACCACTAAAACAAGACTAACAAAAGCTCACTCACTGAGCAGGAAACCAGAGACTAGTACGGAGGAACAAAACAACGCTGACATAGACAATGGACCGACAAGACAGAGTGACAAGACAAGGTTTTTATAAACAAAGAGGAGCAATTAGGGAAACAGGCAGCAGGTGTGTGGAGGGAGGGCTGGAGGGAAAGCAGGTGACTACAATTATCTAAATGGGGAACAGAACCAGAGGAGGGCAGATAAACCTAAAACTATAAAACACAAAACTAAACCTAAAGACCGAGGGCCAAAAATAAACAACTAATAACTAGACGGATAAGGAGGACTAAATAAAGATTGATTAGGAATGGGGAATGATTAGAAAGACAACTGAGGGAAGTCTACAGAGGGCTGGGGATAATAATGGGACACAAGAGGAAAACCTGGAGTGGGAACTGGAGGGGCTGGGGAACAAAGGGACACAGAACATGACAATTGATCATAATCAGCAGACAATAAGTTAAAAACATTTGCAATTTATGCAATTTAATCACATGATACAACTTTTGTAGGCTGAACTGCAATTTACTGTCAAAGTTTCAGTCAGACCTGATCCTAGATAGGGAGGAACTTGGAGAATATTAATTATATGTAACAGTTTCACTCCATTATTCTTTTGTGAAAAACAATACGATACCACAGATACGCTTTTGCACGAGGAGCTGTGGAAAGCTGAGATCTAGAGTGAATGTTTCACAAGACAATGTCTCCTCAAGTCCTAAACTTTGATTTTGAGTCCTTAACAAGTCATTTGACCAAGTTTATACTAATGAGGAATAATTTAGAGAATTTGAGAAAGCTTCTGATGATGTTGCAATGGATGCTGTCCAGCTGATGTCACCATGTTTAATTTCAAAGTGAAACACGTAAACCCTGAACATGCTAGTGCAAGTGCTTCTGATTTTTTTCTGTGGTTAAGAAAACTGTATTCGTTAGAAGCCTTTACCTTTACATCCTGGTCAAAAAACTTGTTCTTATCTCCTGAGACAACTCTGTCCTCCACTTTCTGTGGTCCATGTTCAGTGTGGTACACACCCTGATACCAAACAGCACTGTGACTACTTTTCAGTTATAGGACACACCTTAGTTTAACACATCCCTCTAGATAAACTGATTAAAATCTTTTCAGACTAGTTTATTCTGAACCCCAGAGTAGATATAGGGGAGAGGAAATCTGGATCTTGAATTGGTTTGCCAAGATCCCAAGATTATTTTCCTTTTTTCTTGGGAGCCGTGGTGGATGGGATCTCTCAAAATAATGTCAGGATCCTAAGAAGTTAATAAGTTTATTACTTATGCCCATTCCAAGTTATTCCAGTGACTATTATTGGAGTTTTTTTTAAAGAAAGAAACACTCTTTTTCATGTCTGTACGTTTAAAGGGGAACTAGGCAGTTTTGGTTTGCTTTTAGCACCCCCTAGTGTCCATTTGTAGAACCGAAAGCAAAATTTATCTGCTCGCTGTGCGTTCATCTTTTTAACCCCTTAATCTAACAGCTGAAACATCTCCCTGGCTTTCATTAGTGTCTACAGGAGTGATTCATCACTAAATTAAACAAATCAGCTGTGTGCATGATCTAAAACATGCAGGAAACGAGACTGAACCCAACAGAGTGGCCCGCCAGTCGGAAGTTGCAAATGGAACATTCTGGCCACAGGGGCGGGGTGGCCTTTCATTAACCCTGTAAACGGTCATTTTAGCAGATACTTTCTCAAGAAAATGATTTAAAAATAGAAAAATGTTGCAAAGTATCCCTTTTAATCTGAGAGAAAAGTGTTTTTCTCTGAGTGTAGTTTTTGAGCAGCAGTTTATTTTTAGTATAAATTTACGTACATCTGAATATCTGATGGATCTTCTGTCTCCTGTGCACCACAGTTTGCGACTGGTCCAATGAGGACTTTTTTACAGCAGGAGACACCAGTCAGCTGATCACGTGGCAGGACGGGCGATGCAGCAGAGACTTCCTGTCGACTCTCCCGAAACCAGACTCACACCTGAGTGTTGCCACAGGTTTCGGCTGTGCAACGATCTTCTGGTACATGAAGCACAGGTCAGCAACACACAGTTCCTGCAGATCCGCCTCAGGTAACAGCTGCTTCGGCACTAGTGATAGATAACTGTGACCATTTGACTGCAGACCAGAGTTCCTGGAGGAGTTCACGGTGGCCGGTACGATCCAGGACTATGTGGTGTCCATGCTGTGTGGCTTGGAGCGGTGTGTGATGACACCTCAGAATGCAGCCAGCTGGGGATTCTTCAACACTGCAGCCAATCGGTGGAATGATGACATGTATGTAAAGAGCTGAACTCTAACTTTTATTTACACTGAAAGCATGAGATGTGTTCTCTGAAGCCTGTGCATGTTTGGTTTGAATTTGAAACTACCTAACATTAACAGACCACTGTGTGCATGTGCGTGTGTGTGTGTGTGTGTGTGTGTGTGTGTGTGTGTGCATGTTGCAGTCTAAGGGCTGCCGGCTTCCCGTTGCACCTGCTCCCTCGCTGTGTGCCATCTGGTGACTTGGTGGGTCAAACGCGCTCAGCCTGGCTCGGTGTTCCCGCCGGGACACCAGTAGGGGCTGCCCTGGGAGACTTCCAGTGCTCCGTCTACTCCTGCATTAGGGCACCAACAGATGCAGGTTAAACAGGAAGTCCGGTCCTAGCATTCACGCAGGGCTCACAGCCAGTGTTATTGGCCTTGTTCGAGAAGTGCAGCACCTCGCCTGGAAAAGAGATGAGAGCGGACAGAGGCAGTAGGGGGAGTGGCTAAAACCAGCGGACAGGTTTCCTTACATGTAGCCCACGGGTGACGATGGCTGAAGAAATCGCATTAGCGTTCATTGCCTGTTAGCTACTGAAACACATTCTCACACGCTTGTGGATATCATATACTGTAGACACGTGCGTATGAAGATGTGACTGTAAAAATACGTAAAGGTTATCAGCTGTGGATCTTTAGAGTGATCATACAAAACGGAGAAAAAAAACTGTTTGAAACAAGTCACATTTCTCTTTATGGCCTATATAGTCGTCATCATCATCAATGTAACTCAATTTACAGAATACATGTGACCAACTAACATTTTGCATTCTACCACCGGATGTTTGAATCAGAATGGGAACCAATCAGATCTTGGATCAGGTGAGAGCCAGGCGTTCCCCGTCATGCTCTAGGGTTTTTCAGCCGGTGGAGAGCAACTGCAACGCCTTGCTCCAAAATCTATGGCCGCCTCGACGTCACGAGGTTATCGTTGCCTACGTAGGCATGGCGTCAGAACAAGTTGGCGTTAAGTTGGACACAAATCTAACCCGCATGCTCTGCGCGCTGATCACCGTTGATCGAATCTGCTCAGAACTGGCTCATCTCAAACACGGCCAACGTCAACTCCCTGGAGTCTGGAGTTACAGTTTTGACTTGATGTGATTACAGCATGACTTTACTTCTAAATCAAAAAGCACAAAATAAATCTTTATTATTGTAGATCTAGTTTAAACTCCGACTAAAATGCTAATTTGTTTTTGTTTTATAATCATTAAGATTTCATGACCTTTTGATTTGTTTTGATCTATGTGAAGCACTTTGTGATTTCTCTGTCTGTGGTGAGTGCTATATAAATAAAATTGACTTGCTAAAAGGTGTGTTGTTTTTTTTTCTTGTTTCCAGTTCTCAACATAAGCACCTCAGCCCAGCTGACCTTCTCCATGCCAGCTGACTTCACACCTTCAGATTCTGCTCAGCTGGAGCCATCCATCTCCTATTTCCCTTACTTCAACGCCTCGTACTTGGCTGTGGCCGCGACGCTCAACGGAGGAAACGTTCTCGCAACTTTTGTAGAGACTCTGACTTCCTGGATGGGAGAGCTGGGTATGTATTTCTGTACTCCTGATAAAAACTTTCACTGCTTTCAGCCTTTTTTGGTTGATAATCAGGTGTGGGAGCATCATGGATTGATCTAAAAACACCAAAGAAGATCTGGCTTTTGCTATTGTTTATTTACATGACCATTAACTCATTGATTTTTTAAGAAGTCCTAATCTTTTGCAGTTTTTTTCCCTTTTGCATGAATCAAACGCTTTTTGAAGGTGTTTGACCATTTAGGGCCACCATATATTCATTATCCAAATTGACATCAAGCAACAAGCAATGCTAAAAGTACAAGGTTGATTGGGTCAAGGAAATTAGCTGTTTTCTTTGTAAGGTGGAGGTGCAGTTGTAGCATCTGGGTTCCTGACTGGACCACTGATCTGTTGATCAGCACCTGGAAAGCTGGTAAAACATGGGTTAAGCGATTTTGTCTAAAACTAATATTCAGACGTTTTGTTGCTGTTTAGCCGCTGAATAAATAAGTGATTTAACACTAAGATCTGTTGCTGTGGCGCCACTCAGACTGTCGTGAGTGAAAGTGCAGATCAATTAGAGCTCAGAGTAGAAGTCTTGAGAGGGATTCTTGTGAATTTACAGGTGCCGAGTTGGGCGGCTCATGTCTGTATGAGAAGCTGATCCGTTGCGCCCTGATCCAGGAAACCAGCGACCTGATGGTGAGTCCCACCCTCCTGGGGGAGCGACATAACCCGCTGTGCCTGGGTCAGGTGACCAACATCTCCACCTCCAACCTCTCCCTGGGTCATGTGTTCCGGGCGCTCTGCCGTGGAGTCATTAACAACATCTCCTCCATGATGCCAGCAGAGCTTCTGCTGCAGGTGGGGGTCTGCAGAATTGTAGGGAGCGGGAGCGCTCTGGCTCGCAATGAGGTGCTCAGGCAGGAAGTGGAGAGGGTGTTCCCCCTGCAGGTGGTGTACGGACACAACGCAGACTCTGCAGTCGGTGCAGCCATGGTCCTCTGTGATCGACTTTGAACAGGATCTTTTGTCTGAACTGATTCAAATGTAATTTTTGCACAATTCTGAAAGCAGTTTGTCATACTGAATCACTTTCATTATGAAATGTAACCAAAAGGGGAAGAACCCAGAGAGTTTGGTTCAAAATAAAACCAAGAGAAGTGTTTCTGCAGTTTTCACAGCTTTTTGATGCATTAAGAGATAAATGCATCGTGTTTCTAGTGATTCTCTGCATGAAGCAAACGGCTCAACAGGAGATCATGAGATAGCAGCTTGCTGGATGATCTGAAAATCACTAACATATCTGCTGCAAGTAGAAGAGAGACATTTGGATGATGACCCATAATGAGAGTTCCTGTTGCTGCGGATGAAGCTGGTTTTATCCAGATGTTTTTGTTACCTGGCTCAGTTTAACCCAACATGAGTTATCCTGATGCACGGAATCATTCAACTGTTGCCTTCTCATGTAAAAGATTAAATAAAGTTTTAATGAAATTAGTGAAACTAACATGGCTTTTTATCTTGTATTACTTATTAACCAAGTGAGTCCTGCAGTACTTGGAGCTCTTTTGAATTTCTCTGGGCAGAGCCATGATGTTTTGCTTTCTGAGATCATCTAGCCTACTTCAGTTCAGCGTTTACAAAGAATGTGATTAATCACAGTTATGATTTAAAGGAGACATTTTATGAGTATTTTTTCTCAAATTATAATTGTTCTGTGGTTAATACCAAACGTTCATGAAGTTCTTTGCACTAAATGTCTCACATAATGCGATTTTGGCAGTTTTATTCTTGATATTTTCAGTACCTTCCAGAATGAGCTTTTTCAGGGCTCTGTCACTTTAAAGCTTCTTTCCGGAGTATTTCTCTTATCTAATGGCACCATCTAGAGGCTGAAAAGCATATCACATAAAAAGTCTATTCCTCTGTTTTTTTAAGATCGCGACTTTACGTTTCTGTTTATAAATGTGCTTCTTAGCGGACAAACGGAGCTAAAGCACGTTGTTTTACGAGTATTATTCTCATGTCATGTTTTGTTTTCATATATTTATATTTTAGAGACTTACTTGTCCGTGAAAAGTTCATCAACTCTGCATCAGCTGAGGTATACCTTAAATTTGAAGCATCTAAGTGGTAGTCTAATGGTATTGGTTAGCTCTGGTCGGCGCTCAGTTTCCTATTGCACGGAGTTCTGCGGGGCAGGGGGCGTGCTTAGCAAAAAAAAAAAAGACGTATTGCTTACATTACATCACAGTACATGAGATAATCACTTTTACGGATTTCTGACAAATCATACATCATTTCTGAAAGGTGAAAACTCCGGAAAGCCGCTTTAAAGCCTAATTCACATTGGAGGCATCAGAGGCATGGAACAGCAGTGGAACATCGCTGTTTCAAATATAATCCATTATAATCTACGAGGTAGATCCAAGCCGGCCGCGGTGCCGCAAAATTTTTCTGAAACGTCCCGAAAACCCACATCCCATTTGACGTAGTCCAGCACTCATTACATCGGCTAAAGCTAACCCTAAATGCTGAGAAGACTTAAGTTGATGTTTTACAAATAGGCAAATGCCAAATAGTGTTCCTGAAGTAATCACATTGGAAGGGAAAGTCAGAGATGGTCCATGAGTATAAGTACCTAGGTGTTTGGACAGATAACTCCCTTACCTTTAAATCTCATATAGATAAACTGGTGAAAAAATTAAAACTCAAGCTGGGTTTCTACTTCCGTAATAAGTCGTGATTTTCTTTTGAAGGAGAAAAGCTACTTGTCACTACAACCTTTTTATCTGTTCTAGATTATGGTGATCTTATATATATGAATGCTTCTTTAACTGTGCTACAAAAACTGGACTCGGTTTACCATGCGTCTCTGAGATTCATCACAAACTGTAGAGCCATAACACATCACCGTGAATTATATTCACGAGTGAAATGGCCGTCATTGGCAATTAGAAGACAAAATCATTGGTATGTTTTTATTTACAAGGCAGTGTTTGGATTGTTACCTCCTTATATTCGCACATTAATCACATGAAAAAATGTTGATTCCCATTCTTTAAGGTATAACGATCAGTTGCTACTTTCTGTTCCTTTTGCTCGAACACAGTTAGGAAAGAAAGCCTTCGCCTGCTGTGCTCCTTCTGCTTGGAACCAGCTGCAGAAAACCTGGAGAATGACTGAGCAGGTTTCACTATATGCTTTCAAAACCAAACTGATAGCTTCAGAGACTGCATTAGCAACTTGTAACTGCTTTTAATGATTGAGTGTTTTATCATTGCCATTATGTTGTAACTGTTTGTATTTTCGCTGCCTCTTGGCCAGGACACCCTTGTAAAAGAGGTTCTTGACCTCATTGGGTCTCTTGGTTAAATAAAGGTTATAAACGCTGCGCTGTGCCGCTAAAAGTAGGATTGGGTTCTATTTTTGCAGCAAGCCACTTCTGGGGCACGCCAATGTCCGCATTTATTACAGGGCTAGACAGGAAATCACACAAGATTTCAGTGTATAATGTCTGGTAATTTTCAAAATAAAAGACTACTGCTGCAATACAATTTCATATCTATGTAGATTACACCAATACGACCTAATGGCTTGTTTACCTAATGGCTTGTTTACTCCCAGCATCTTTCAAGAAGTGCAACGGTGTGTTTTCGTGGTTTTAATCCAGGCAGTGGAGAGGAACATTATAAATGACATCAGTGATGTCAAACGTGATTTCCTTCTTCAAATTGTGGTTCATTGACAGATGGCATAAACAAACCGTGACCTTTGAAGTCTCAAGGAATTTTTGAGGTCTTGCAAATCTGACGAGGAAGATGGTGGAGAAGCCGCTCCATGGCTGAGACTCCTGGTGTGGACTGGTGCGCAATGAAGCACGCAAGTAAATCCTTCTGCTGCCATTCCACGCTGGTGCCTCCAGTGTGAAGGATGTGTAAGAAAAACACCTGGAGCTGGCCACGCCCACCCTTCTTTGCTCAGGCTGCTGAAAAGCTCGGATGTCCGGGAGGGGCTCAGAGTAGAGCTGCTGCCCCAGTAGTAGTAGGTTTCTATGCTTGTTTTCACATTTGTGATGTCACAAACGAGAACTTTTTGAAATAGCTTGTTTCATGCAGATATTTTCTTAAAACCAAACACTGACAGAAAATGGAAGGATAGGTTTTTATCGTGTTTGGAGTGTTTATGGAGGCAGTAGAGACCCACGTGTAAACACAAAGGGTGCAAAAGGTGAGTTTTGTATGAAACTCCCAGTTTAACAAGACTGGTAATTACTTTTTCCTATTTCACTCTCATCAAGTTAAACTGTGACCTCACCTCCAACTCTGGTTCTCACGGTAATATTGATAGAGCAGACATCTGATTGGTAAAGCAGCACCAGGCTGCATGTTATGCGTGGTAAGAGTGAGATGGTTGTGACAAGTTAGACTTGTGCCATGAACGAGCCTCTTGTGTCTTTGTGCCCTGGTTGACTTTAAAAAGAAAGAAGGAAGTCTTCCTCGGAAAGGAAGCAGATCTTATGAACACAGCCATTGCTTTGCTGGCTGCAGTCACAGGACCACAGCAGTACTGAAAACACGCAGAAGAAAAACACTTAAATGAAACTACAAATGCTAGAATAAAAAAAAACACAGGAAGTTAATGGACTAAAAACACAAATAATAACATTTTTTATTTTATTTTTTAAAAGAAATCCAGCTGAAAAACTCAGAGGTAAGTCATTCTTGTAATTCCTTTCATGTTTAATGTTTTATTTCTTTCAGCTCTTAGACAAAAGGAAATTTGATTAACAGTAATCTCTTTTTGCTGAAGTCGTCATAAAACACATTCATGTTCATGTCAGACGATCTGCCTTCCCTCAGCTCGGCTCGCACATCTGGACTCCATGTTTGTTGTGTTGTGAGTAGAGATGGTCAATACGGTTCCCTCTCGAGCACTCAGGGTCTCAGTAATGCACTTCTGTGTTGGATGTTGTTGGGGCGGAGGGCACTTCGGATTTCTTCCGACCACTCTGACGTTATCTTAAGTGAGCATCTGCAGATGCAGAGCAGCAGGATTGTCAAATACGCCCAGATCCCTGCAGGACGTCACTTGGTTCTTGATTTTAGCTTCTGGAAATCTGCTTTTTTTTAAAGAAGGAAGAGGGGAAATCTCCCTGGTGAGTTAAATGACTTATTTCTTTACTATTTTAAGTTGATAAAATAATGAAGGTCATAGCAGAGATCTAAACTATTAAGATCTGGAGAATTTACATCTTGTTTCAGTTTACATCACGCGTGACACACATCTTCTCTTTTATTCTTATTATTTAGGTTTGCATCGTTGTGCAGCATTTCCTGTGCTTTGACACAGAGAACATAATCTTTACCGACTGTGGTTGGTGGAGTTTCACATTACTGCACTGCAGGAATCAATAAACACAGCAACACAACAGGAAGTACATAAATATGATGTGGAGCACGCTTCTGCACACAGACGAACCAGAGAAAGCTTCACACAAACCCAGTAAACAATTCCTCTCTGGGATTATTAACATGTTTTTGAATTGAAAATGTTTTCAAAATCAGGTGCAACTGAATCATTCACAAAGTTAAAATAAGACAGCTTACTTCTGTTTTCCCTCGTTTTTTCTGATTTATGGAAATTTTAAGACAGTCTTAGTCACTTATTTCCCATTTTTTCTTAGTAAAAAGAGAAGAAGAAACCACCAAAGTGGTTCCATTCTTACGTGTCACTCCACTGGTGAATTGCTGCTGATGTCTGGATGGATATTTTAGATTTTGTCACATGGATTAATGTCTCAACAGCTCTCTGTGAAGGGTTTGATTTGTGTGTGTGTGTGTGTGTGTGTGTGTGTGTGTGTGTGAGTGTGTTTATGCACTGCCACCATGGAAATCTCCTCCTAAATAAGCTGCTTTGTTAGTGATCAGGAGAAGAACACATCACATGTCGGCCTTTAGAGCGCAGAGACGTGATGCTCTGTGGTGAACTTGTTTCAGACATTGCATCTCAACTCTAAAACCGTCTCCTTTGTTGTTTACAGAAGCCTCTTCTGGTTGGTTATCCTTATTATTGATATTATTAAAGACGGATACAGCTGTAGAGTTTTCAACAATAATGTGATCAGATCTTCTCCTGACCACCTTAAAAATTCCAGTCTGTTGTATGAATAATTTATTAAGGATTAATTTATTTGCTCCCTAGAGCATTTTTGATTCGGTCCGTCTTCATTTAGCTCCATTGTTTTTCACATCAGGACATGATCAAACCAACCAGTCCTTCAACCAACCAGCTTAATCTTACCTCAAAGGTGAAAATAAAACACAACAGATTCCAGCACATCTAAAAGGAAGTCTTTTCCATGATGCAGCAGGTTTTATATCAGAGTCTCACCTGGATGAATTCTGCCATCTTTGATCTGAACTGCTACAGGATCTCTGAACGCTGCTTAATCTGACCTCTGAGTAAATTTTCCTCAGCATCCCACTTAAATTCGGCAGAAGCTGTTTTTTAATTTTGGTTTTGCTTAAGAAAAAATGACCTGATTGAATCTGATTTGAATCATGTTAGAACCATTATTATGTTACTGTAATTACGTCCATGCACGATGAACTCTTGCTTTAGTCTAGATCACCGGCGGTAAAGATGAAGAAGTCGGAGATGTTCGGCTTCACCCTGGAGACGGACGACAGGACAGAGGAGGAGAAAGCGAGGCAAAGGGGTGCAAAGAAGGATGGTTTGGCTGCAGACGCCCCCAAAGCCCCCATGGACACGGATTTCCAGGAGGAAATGGAAAAGCACAAACCTCAGATCAGATTCAATCTTAACTTTAGCAGGTGAGCCTCTACATGCAGTCATACACTAATTTCTGCCCCAGTTGACCTCTCATCACTGCAAGGGGGGCCATTAGGACACATCATGTTGAAGCTTCTGGACCCACATTATTCTCAAATAAAGTTTATTTCCAGGCAGATTCGAGGTGAAACACCACAAAAACAAAGGGACAGCTCCATTTACACCATCGAGAGGCTGTTTGAAGCAGTGGCCAGTAGAGACGTCAGACAGCTGGACGGCCTGTACCAGTACTTACACCAGAACATGAAGAGGCTCTCCGACTCTTTGTGTAAGTCAGCACCCATGATGCAACAGCTGATCCCAACCTGTGACCCTCTGAACCTTCCAAATGTGTTGTTGCACCTGCAGACCAGTCCCACGGTAAAACAGCCCTGATGAAAGCACTGCTGCACCTCAAAGACGGCAAAAACGAGACCATAGACGAGCTAATCGACATCTCAGAGAGGCTAGGTGACATTAAGGAGTTTGTGAATGCAGCCTTCACCAACAGCTACTATAAAGGTCAATGAAGAACGTATTTAACAGTTTAACTTGTGTAATCAGATAATTTCTCTGCTGTTTGGCCTCATAAATGTGACATAGGTAAATATTAAATTGTCTGACTTGTCCTCTGACAGGACAGACAGCTTTGCACATAGCCATCGAGAGGAGGAGTATCTTCTACGTGAAGCTTCTGGTCAGTAAAGGAGCAGATGTCCACGTGAAAGCCTCTGGAAAGTTTTTTCAGTCACATGATGGGCCATACTTCTACTTTGGTAAGTCAATTTTCCTCTAAGATTCTTAATAAAGAAAGAGGAGATGAAAGATTTTACGCTGAAAGTGATTACATCCAGAAGCAAGAAGTCTTCAAGGAGACACGATTTTTTTCTTAAGTTATAATAGTTCTGTGGTTGATACAAAACATGTTCATGAAGTTATTTGCAGTTTGAATTCTTGACATTTTTTAATACCTTCCAGAATGAGCCGTTTCAGTGCTCTATCACTTTAAAGCCCTTTTTATGAGACACACCGTGCTGGCAAATTGGCATAGAATTACCACAACGGTGTGTCTAATAAACACACCGTGCCAGCATGGCGTTGCATGAATTTTGCAGCATTTGTTCCACCTCTCTTGGTAGTAATATTGCAGTAATTGTCTGTCTCATAAACGGCTATTGCGCCATGGCGCAACAGAGGGAGGCATCATGATGATGTGGGAGTTAATGCCAAGCTCCGGCCGGCAAATACATTGAAAGTGAAAGTAAACACCAGCAGTAAGTATTGCTTTTCAGCTGAGATGGCAAACTGGAACGCCGCAGCGCTCCGCAGGCGTCTCTGTTAGAGCTGAAACTCAGATAATGGGAGACTGCACAGGGACTGATGGGGGCAGACACCTTTAGGAGCGGCTTGTTAAAAAAAACGTAACGATTGCAGCTTCAGTCGCAATATAAAGCAAGTTATGTTCAAGATAAATGGAAGTCTGCAGCATCACAGAGACCGCCCCCAAACCCCCTTTATACTGCCATCGCCTAATCTTTATAAAAAGGACACGATTGCATCACATTACCGCCACGGTCGGACCACTTATAAACGACCTTAGGGTCCCTAATGGCGCCACAACGTTGTGGTAAACTGACAGCATTGTTTTGTAAAAATGGCTTAAGAAAACAAGCTGTTGCTGGCCACACCCACTCTCCCCTACCTGGTCTGCTATAAGCTGAGAAGCTCTGATATTTGAGAGGAGCTTGGAGTAGAGCCGCTGCTTCTCCAGTAGCAGCTCTCTCCTACATGAGGTTCTATTTCCCTGTTTGTGACATCACAAATTGAGACTTTTTGAAACCCTTTGTTATAGGCACATAATTCCTAAATCCAAACACTGACAGAATCCGATGCACGGGAGTTTTTTTTAATGCCTGGAGTGTTTATAGAGGCAGCAGGGACCCACATGGCAGCACAAATGTGTGTTTTGCATGAAGGGTCTTCTTTAATGATGCATCTTCCAGATCCTGCTCCAGAACATTTATTGATGTATTCCCCCTGAAGAACTCATTTTCAGATTCTCTTCATTTGGTGCAGAAATTATTTTTGGCTCTGAAACTTTCCACTCGACAAGTTTCCTCAGACTTTTTAGAGACTCTCTACATATTACAGCATGGAAGGCATCAGGGGCAAGGACCAAACTCAAAATGAGTACAAATTCAGCCAAAGTCTAAAAAAGTAAACATTAAAAAGTTTTTACTCTAATAAACTTTAATAAGTCAATGGTTTCACATTGTACTGCTGTGCTTAAACTGCAGCATATGATTCAAGCTGGTTTGTTTCACCCGAATCAATAAAACAATCAACAGATTGAAGCACAGGAAGTCTGCTGTCAGCTTTTACTGGAAATCAGCCACAGAACCAGCCCACCCCATTAAACGCTTTTCTATTGGAAAAACAAAATGCAGAAGAATGCATCAAACATTAACCTTTCATCTGTTGTCATTTTATTCTGAAATTTTATTACAGTATAACAGCAACAAATAAATAAAATTGGCCCTCGCCAAACTCTGATACTACATGAGTGGGCAGTAGACATTTCTAGGACAGGATAGTGAAGGTTTGAGGTTTTAGATCTACAGGGTCATTTTAAAAACTTCATTAATCATAATATATTGACAAAATTACAACAATAGTGATACCCAGATGTGGAACAGAAATAATTTATTAATTTTTCTATTATTTACCATATTTTGGGAGCAAATCTTAGCTTATTTAATAGAAAAGTCATTATTATTCTCTGAGGATTGCATAAAGTGCACTAGCAAAGGAAACTGTTATGTTATATAAATGCAGAATAAAATAAAACAGAATTTTATTTTGTTTTGGTTTTAAAATGAACGAATGTAGTTGTTTAGCATAAAAATGTAGTACTGCTAATAATATGTGTATAAATAATAGTTTTTAAAACATGACTAATAACAACTACAACAATATCAATGTTAATTATAAGTATTATTGTTGTTGCTATTATTAATAACAATAAATATTTCTATTCAAGGCGTTAAAGAGTTAACCCACACAGGAATGTCACACCAAGCGTTCAGAGGAGAAATAAAAGTAAAACATGAATCTGTTCAAATCTGACTGAAAGCCCTGCAGATGGTCTCAGTGTGAACAGAACTCCTCCTGACTGGATCCGGTTTGTCTCCAGGTGAGCTGCCCCTGTCTCTGGCAGCCTGCACCAACCAGCCGGACATGGTGGACTACCTGATGAACAACAAGTATCAGCAAGCGGACGCCAAGCTGACGGACTCTCAGGGCAACACGGTGCTGCACACGCTGGTGGTGGTGGCAGACAACTCCAAGGAGAACACGGAGTTCATAACGGACATTTACGACCTCATCCTGAAGAACAACGCCCAGCTCCATCCCAAAGTGAAACTGGAGGACATCGAGAACAACAAGGGTCTCACGCCTCTAAAACTGGCTGCAAAAACGGGCAAGCTTGGGGTAATAAATTAGTTTATTAATGTTGTTATAAACTCCAAAGCTGGAAGAGGATGTAACATTTTTCTGTTTGACAAATAAGAAAGAACCTCCAGAGTCTATGTAAACAACAGATGGTCTTTTATTCCCTGCAGCTTTTCTCACACATCCTGAAAAGGGAATTCCAGGAGCATCACACCAAACACCTGTCCCGTAAATTCACAGAGTGGGTGTATGGACCCGTCCACTCCTCCCTGTATGACCTGGCTTCAATCGACTCGTTTGAGAAAAACTCAGTTTTGGAGATTCTGACCTATGGCACAGACATTCCTGTAAGTCCAAGCTTAATAAGTCCAAATGGAACAGCTGTCTTCATCATGATGGTCTCAGAACTTGTTTGTCCCCTCAGAACCGTCATGAGATGCTGGAGACGGAGCCGCTGAGCAGACTTCTGGATGAGAAGTGGAAAAGGTTTGGAAGTAAAATGTTTCTGTTTAACTTCCTGGGCTACGTCGTGTACCTGGTCGTCTTCACTGCTGTAGCCTACAATAAGAAGAACGGAGCGGTAAACTGGTTTTCACACACAGTTTGACCCGTTTGACAGCTGCATGTGAGACAGACTCCTTCTGATGACTCCTTTGTGCTCCACAGCCTCCATTTCCCATAGAGGATGATTGGATGGATTACCTGTATGTCTCAGGCCAGGGGCTGATTACACTAGCAAACATCTATTTCTTTTTCATTGCTGTAAGTGGGCAGAACCTTTACCTGGATGATAAAATAAACAGAGCGTGGAAGTTCAGACTGATTAAAAAAATGTCTGAATTCTTAGATTGTGGAGATGAAGAGAAAACGGCCGAAGATGGAAACTCTGCTGGTTGATGGATATTATGAAATCCTCTTGTAAGTTTGTTTTTCTTCAAAAGGTGGTGAAGTTGGTTTCAGAATGAGCAAGTCACCCCCTACCTCAGTCTTACTCCACTCCCACTTCCTGTTTGAAAAATGCAACAAATGTTGTTGCCTGGCAGACAGAGAGGGTGGAGCCGCTAACAAACAAACAAACACACACACACACACACAGGCTCATTATGACATCATGATGTACAAGCTAACATCATAGTATATCTCTTAGCAATGGCAGATTTAAATTTAACCCTCCCACTGTCCTAGTGGGTGTGATCCCGCGAGGAAAGTTGACCATTGAGCAGGGTTGATGGTTTATCCCTTGAGGTCCATGTGGCAGGGGTGAGGTGGTGCTCACTCCTCCCCCCTGCCACAAGGACCTCAAGGGATAAACCATCAACCCTGCTCAATGGTCAACTTTCCTCGCTGGGTCACACCCATTAGGACAGTGGGAGGGTTAAATGTTGTGCATAGTTTTTACCTGAAAATAGTGCAACACTGACAGTTTTAGACAGAATATTTAAATTTGACCTAAGATGCACTAAAGTGCCAAATTATTAACTACATATGTCTACAGCAGGATTAGATACACATTTATATAGTCTATCAGCAAAAAAGTTGATTTGGGGGTGACTTGCTCTTTAAATAGAAAGCTGACAAAGAAAATAAAAAAATCTGAGTGTTTTGTAAAAACCAGATAGTTTCTCTCTCTCTCTCTCACACACACACACACACACACACACACACACACACACACACGCACGCACGCACGCACACACACACACACACACACACACACACACACACCAGATAATACCCCTTTCTGGACAGTTTCTCTTGCACATCAGATAGTATCTTGTGGACATTTTTCATGTCTGTCAAACCATGTTTATTTGAAATATTTTAGGAAAGACAAGCTGCTGGTTGAAGCATGCCTAATTATCTGAAATTAAATTGCTACTCTACTATTTGTTCTGTTGCATGTCACCACAACACTGGCTCATCCCTTGAGTTAGAAGCAAACAAAATTGGACTGAAAATGAGTGGAAAAGTTCAAAGACAAACTTTGAGTTTGATCAATTGATTATTTATATTAACTCTAATGAAACATCCATAACATTACTGCCATATTAGATCATTTTGGTTCTACCTCCTCTGAGTCTAAATGAGAGACGTTTTTGTGTTTCTAGTTTTTCTCAGGGCCTCATGTTCATGGTCTCTGCTGGGCTGTATCTCTGGGGACAACCAGCGTACCTCGGCTTCCTGGTGCTGGTTCTCGCTCTCAGCTGGGTGAACGTGCTCTACTACTCCAGGGGTTATAAAAACATGGGCATCTACAGTGTTATGATTCAGAAGGTATAGCTGACCTTTGCACAACACTACAACCTTCCTCAAACTGATCTGAGACCTTTTTCCCCCTTGTTTCCTTGCAGATGATTCTCAGCGACATCCTACGCTTTCTTTTTGTCTATGTCGTCTTCCTCTTCGGATTCTCTGCAGGTACTATCACGAGGAAATGGAATTTACTCCCCATTACAGAGAAACTGTTGAGACAATGAGAGGTCTGCGTTTTATCATAACCTGTTTTGTCCTGTTGCAGCTGTGGTCTCACTGCTCATAGAGCCTCCTGCAAAAAACAAAACCATCACAAAGGGGCGTCTTTATGCAGTCCTTTCAGCCGATGAGGAGTGTGTCAAACCCTCCTTCAGAAGCATCGACTACACCATCCTTCAGCTCTTCAAATTCACCATAGGGATGGGCGATATGGAGTTCACCCAGGAATACCAGTATGGGGCTGTCTTCTACCTGCTGCTCATCTTCTACATCATCCTCACCTACATTCTTTTGCTCAACATGCTCATTGCCTTAATGAACCGCACCGTGGAAAAGCTCACCATGGAGACCACCAGCATCTGGAAGCTGCAGGTGAGTAAACGGTGGTCCATGCTGGGGTTCTTTAAACGGAGCACTGGTTTGACTGGGTGCTGTGGTTGTCCTTAGAGGGCTGGCACCATCCTGGACATGGAGAAACGACTGCCCTGCTGTCTGAAGATGAGGCTCCGCAGTGGGGTGGAGATAAATCTCGGCACTGCTCTTGGAGATGACCGCCGCCGCTGTTTCAGGTTTGTGAAAAGTCCTGGACTTCCAGGCTGTGACAGGCGGCAGTACTGACCAAAGCCAATCCAGTAATTAGGAATACTGTTATGACTTCATATTAGGAACTCAGATGGTAGCAAAAAAGGAAAACAATTTCCAGATTTACAACAATGAAATTAAAAAAATGCAAAATAACGTGAATTTTACACGATCCGATACAATATAATATTGTACGATACAATATATGATGTGATATGATTTAGTGCCTTGTGATGAACTGTATCTGCATGTTTACCAGTGAGCGAAACCATCAGCGAGTTGACTTTAGGTTTTCAGGTGAGCGTGGCGCTCTGACAGTTCCATCGCCTGCTTGATTCTTATCCTCTGACCAGCATACTTTCGGTTTGTGTTCAACACTCAGTCTGCTGTGGCTTCATCTCTTAGAAACTTTCAGCCAAACTGCTGATCAACAAGTTGAGAACCACAAACTTGTTGATCGGAGACAGAGATTTGTCCAGCGGTGTGTTCAGGGTCATTTTCCTCCTGTGACAGCTGACTGATGCGTCACTGAAGCATGTGCCTTCGTGTCTTTTCAGAGTCGAGGAAGTCAACTGGAACAAATGGAACACCAACTTGACCAAAATCAATGAGGATCCAGGTTGTTGTTATGGGATGCAGCAGCCTGATTCGGGCAGTCCCTCCAACAGACCCAGCAGAGGTCTGGACATGCATTTGTGTTTAGACAGGAATAGAGGGGCTTGTTTTGTAACGTTTCTTGTTTCATCCACAGGGAGGAGCTGGAGAGTCTTTATCAGAGACCACAGTAGGAGGGAGGCCCCTGAGTCCACAGAGATGAGTCCTCTGCACCTCTAAAGAGGATCACTGACTACTCAGCTAGGACCGCACCAACAAGGAGACAATCAGACCTCACACAGACAAACGGGTCCACCGTTTTCCTGCCTAAACTCTTGTGTCTGCTGCGTTATGCATTTCCTCTAAAGGGAATATATCAGTGCTATGAGCACTGATGAGAAATGTTAATATGGTCTCTGTGTTTGATTTATGCAGTGGTGTTAAAAACACTTCATGATTTCCAGTGAATGCATTTTAAATGACACTGGTTATTAAAACACTTTGTTTTCTGCAGCCTGCCTGCACCTCCGACATGAGTTAAAACCATCGTTGCAGCAACAGTGATCACAAAGGTGCTGATCCTGCTCTCCAGCTGCGTGCCCTTTATGCAAGTCTCATTGTCATCACAGCCAGACAAGCTAAAGCTGCCGTAGCCAGAATGTCCTGCAGATTTCACAGCTTGCATCGTCTACTCCACTTCCTCCTTCTATGAGGCAGAGGCAGGCCTGGATAAAGGGCGTGAAAGCGCCACAATCGGTGCAGCAATTGCCATCTTCTGCACCGACTGTCAGTTACAAATGTGGCACAGGTGGGCCGTTTGAGACATTCAGTCGCTCGTGATGCCTGATACTGTTGGAGATATCTGAACAGTTCAGAAAGGAGGAATGAAGTTACTCTAAAGAGCGCTGTGAAAAACTGTTTGTCCCCTGACAGATTCATTCTGTTTTAAGGTTATTTTCTCTTTTAAACTCTGATTTCATTTATTTAAAAAAAAACACTATCCAAAACCAGCCTGGCTCTGTGCATAAGAAGAAATTGCCCCCACTGTTAAACCTGAATCAACCAGATTATTTGAAAAGATGAGTTCTTCTTATTAGCTGCACTCAGGCCTGTACTAAGAAATCGCTTCGACTGAACCTGCGTGACAACATGAAGTTTTCTAAAAGATCTCAAAAAGCAACACGTCCAGTGAAAACATAGGCTGTAAAGGAGTTCTACAACTTATCCATAAAACTCAAAGCTGTGCAGGAATCACTTGGTCTGCGTCAGAGGTCATGGTTCAACAGTAGGAAAGAGCGTGGAGGGGAAAATGGCCTCATAAGGAGAGTTCAACGACCAAAACTTGTGCTGAACAAAGAGAAAACAAAAGCCTGCATCACATTTAATTAAAAAAAAAAAGATCTCAAGGGCTTTTGGGAAAAGAGACTGTTGGAGCGTTAGGGCTGTTTACCATTCCATGACACGGTGGTGGTAGTGTGATGGGCTGGGGCTGCTTCAGGACTTCTTCCTGTATTTGATAGAACCATGAATTCTGCTCTTTACCTTAAACAGCATGTCCATGCAAGGAAACTCTGGACGTGGCTGATGTGGGTGACTATCAGAATGCCACATCAGAGGATATTTTAACACAACTGGACTTGGGGTCTTATTTCCTGATATTTGGACATGTTGCCTCGGACTGGATAAAAGCAACCTGACTTTAACACTGAGTTTGCTCTGCAACGTGGATGTTTTATCTCCAGTAATACCTCAAGTCTCGAGGGGCTTCCGCCATGTGGTGGAGTCGCTAATGCTAATGGTTAGCTTCTGCCAGCAGACGTTCTCTGCAGTCTTCTGGATGCTAAACCAACAACATCCTTCCGTGTCGTAAGCCAAGATGGGTGAGTCTATGTTAAGTGACAGTGTGATGTAGCTCTAGCAGGCTTTTCAAATCCTAGAGTTTCATCTATTTTCTATCAGAAGCTAATTCAGGAGATAGGTGTAGGAGACTATTTTCATGTTCAGTTTGCATGAAAAACTCAGAATGACCCATTATAATCAGAAATAATCATTAAAAACTGTTTTTTCAGTGTTCCACACCTTTAAATAAGATTTTTCTCCCCTTAATAAATAATTTGAAAATTTATATTTACTCAGATTATCTTCATCTCATGAAATCCATTTGACGACAAAGAACAAAAGAAGCAAAGGGGCAAATGCATTTTCAAAGCTTTGCACACACTATTAAAAAGGTTTCTGCTGATATTTTAGGAGACACAGCCGAGAGCCTTTTCAAAGCATAAATTAGAACTTTATTTTATTATTACAATATTACAAAAAAGAGTAGCACAACTCTCACTCTCTTGCCTCTCATCTGTCATACAGAATGACACAAAAGAAGGGCTCGCGAGCCTCCTTCCATTTCACAGCAATAGTACAAGAAACAAAGAGGAAAACAAAATTTAAATAACAAGCAAATCAAGTATCATAAATAGTCACAACTGCAAACTGAAGCTTTGAAACAGAAGAAAATATATAAAGTTACAGCTCGGTAACTACACATTTCTAAAAATATATACTTGCAAATTATTACTCCTCTGCTTTCTTTCCTCTAGAAGAAACCTCTAAGGAATTCCATGAAACAAAAACTTCATTACAAGGTGAAAAATAAAAGGAAATCAAGAATTGCTGTTTCTGTGTCTCCTTTCCGTCTTCCTTCTCGTTATTTGGGTTTTCATAAAAACCATGCTCATTGTCAAAGGAAAGTCCAAGGACCGAACACTTAAGGCTTTTTAAGGGCTGTTAGGGAGTTAGGTGAACAAAACAGGTGTCATTGTGTTAATATACACACGTTTGGCACACACACACACACACACACACACACACACCTCTCCACACGCTTTCACCCACGTCAGCAGGACGGACGCGCGCACACGCACACACACACATTAAAAGTTACAGTAGTCTAGTAGGTAAGCCAGTGTACAAGAAAAATAAACAATGCATTTGCTGTTTCACTTTAAACTGAAACCTCGGTTTCGTTTACCGCCAAGTGATCTTGCAAGTGATCAATTTGGTCTCTTCAAGCAGACTTCACATCAGAATCAGTAGCAACTACGTTGGTTCACCAAATAATCCCGCCGTCAGGATTAAAAGTCCATTTTAGGCTTGGCTTTTAGATTCTACACGGCATTAACACACATTCCTTCTGCTCCACAGATTTACCCACAAATTCCTTTTGATACCTGCAAAACAGAGAACCTCAACATTCAAGTAATACATTTGTTATTGACACAGAAGCAAAGACATCCTGGCACGACTTCATACACACTAGTAAATCCTTGTCAACCTGACTTTGCTCCTTTTAAAAATATCTTCCTTAGTTATTTTCTGCCCTTTGTGTTTCACAATCTGGCAAAAGCTTTTTCTTTTGTTTTTTAAAATACCTGAATTCATTGCAGCATTATAAGCAGGACAGAGTGTCACCTTTTGGACATAACTGCTCCCTGTTGGTACTTCACAATGTACAAACAACATGATTACAGGCTCCCTTTACAAATCAAGAGGAATGAATCTTATTATACAAATAAATGAGTGCATTAGACAGAATAAAACCTGTTTATATGTGCATTCGGCAAGCTTTTATAGCCCCTGTCTGATGGCAATGCACTGAACAGTGATTGTATCTAATCTAAGCTTTTACCATCGAAATTACGTTTCTCAAACCAGTCATAGCCTAAAATTCCTGATAAGATCCTGTAATATAAGAAAAAAGCCCAACCACCAGTAGATGATGTTTTATTTCTGTGAGGGAGAGGTTTTACGTCTTTCTTACATGCATAAAAAACACTACTCGCAGCTCTGAAGCAGAAATAACGCGGGGTGTGTTCCGATCCAGGCACAGAAATAGAAAGTAAGTCCGAGGAAGAAACAGGGATCAGTATGGATGTGAACGCGCGCACACACACACACACACACACGCACGCACGCACGCACACACACACACACACACACACACACACACACACACACACACACACACACACACACACACACACACACACACACACACACACACACACACACACACACACACACACACACACACACACACAGTTACCTACCTACAGGCAAAAGCACTCATCAGAAAAAACTAAAAGTAGCAATTGATCACTTGCAAGATGAAACAAACATCCACAACAAAGAAAAAAAACTACTGTTCTGCATTAAATATATTATTTTACCCTCTTTAATACTTGTAGTCCTTTAGGTTATCCGTTGAGTTTCCTTTCTTAAGACTAAACAAATGGGTTGGATGACAGTTGTAGAGACAAGGCCATAGCTTATCTGTACCCTGGGTGCTGGATGAGAGCGGTTCTGCCATCTCCAACCTCTGGACCTACCCTGCTCAGAGGAGGCCTGTGCATCTTGCCCATCAGCCCGAGATTCTGATCGCGGAAGTAGGGCGTCTGGAAGTCCCCGCCCAAGTAATCTGAAGTTTGCATCAGATTAGCCTGGCCACAGGAGGATGAGGAGGAGCTTGTTCCGAGCCTGTAATGGGGAGCCCCGGGGGCGCCACAGTCTAGTGTGGTACACCCTGCCGGGCCTGCACCGTGGAATGGCATGGCTACGTCCTGAGACCCGGAGCTGTCACTGTTGGGTGTGGGAAGGATGCTGCTGCTCCAAATGTGGGACTGAAAGTAGTGACCATTGGTGTAGTGGACCATGGGACCGGGTATACTGTTGTTGACTGGAGGGGACGGGGTGGGTCTCTCTACAGGTGGCTTCAGTGAGTACGACTGACCAACACACACCTCTGCAGGGTAGCCCATGCCTTTAAAATGGAAGGATGGGTCCCTGGAAGGCTGCTTGCAGAGGTGTGTCCCACCATTCTGAATGTGGGCCACTTGAGCCAATTGGTGGTAATTCCAGGAGCGTATCGTCTGCTGCTGCTGCGTAGTATGATGTAGCTGCTGTTGCTGACTCTGCTGTAGATGAAGATGCTGCTGCAGGTGCTGCTGCTGCTTGGGATCTGTGTGGTTAGAAGGCAAGTGGTTCATAGGAGCCACACTGGTTGGGAGGTGGGCTCCCATTGGGGCTGTGGCTTTTTCTTGAGGGCCAATGATGCAGTTGGGAGGCGGAAAGCCAGGAGTAGCAGGGTTACTGTGCATTGACACCCTGGAGCAGGCGCTGATAAGCAGGTTGCGACTGATGGGGCTGGGGTTGGCGATCTGGCCCTCACACATGGAGGTGGCTCCTGCACATTGGACCCGAGCTTGGCAGAACTGGTTAAGCTGATGCACGATGGTGCTCAGGTCAGCCTGGCGGCTCTGGTGCAGCCCTGCAGCCATCGAGAGTGGAATGGTTGAGGTAGAGACGGTAACGTTGGGTGGCGCGTCGCCATCTGGCAGCTTTCTGCTCCCCTGTAGGCCAGGTGGTGGCAGCTGCTGAAGGTGCTGCTGCTGGAGCATGACAGTGGGGGGCCCCTGCGGGTGGCTGAGGGCTGGGTGCTGGGACAAAGTCTGGAGTCTGGGCGGGCCCTGAGGGTGCTGGGCCAAAGTGGGAGGGTGTCTGAGAGTCTGGGTGTGAGCCTGCTGATGAGGGAGGGGCAAATGTAAAGTCTGAGGGAGGTCCTGCGGTTGAAGGGGTATGCTCTGCTGGGGCAGCGCAGGCAGAGAGGGGTGGTGGTTTAAAGTGCTAGTCGAAGCCATATGATAGGATCCAGTAGGGGGGTTCATTATGACTTCAGAGTGCAAGCGCACCCGGCTACCATCAAAATCTTTTAGGATACCTTTGACCGTGGGTGCCTTGACGATGGCAAGGAGTCCCGTCTTGGCACTGGCCTGAGAGGGGGGGTAAGGGCTGTAGCGCTGGCCTGACGTATCCAGGCCGTTGACCGTACGGCGCACGTGGTTTCGCTGGGGGACTTTGACGCTGTTGGGAAAGATCTTAATGGTGAGGGGGTTGTTGGCAACCTTCTTAGCATATGCATCCAATTCTGCAGGGGTTGGAAACGGAGCGGATCTCATCCTTTGTACGGTGTCCCCTGGGGCAGAAACGGGACAGATTGAGACACAGAAAGCAAGAAAGGACTTAGAGTGGAGAAACGTAGAGTGAAAAGGGAAGAAAGTAAGGCAAAATGATAGAAGAGACAACTTAATCCAGTTAAAAATGTCCTCGACGACACAATCTGGGCAGATTACAAACAGATCATTTAAAAAGAGCTTTCAGATTCTCCATTACTGGTTTAATCTCCTGTGGACCAGAAATTTCCTATTAGAATTATTACAGTGGACACATTCCCAGTCAAAAACATACCCAGTTAGGTGCAATTGTTGGTGGCTTTTTGGGTCAAAAGCTTTTACTGGCCTTAATTGACGCATATGGGCCAAGAATAAGTGCTGAGAGGGGGGCTGCTATGTTGCAAGTGAATCACAAACCAAACAAAGAATGAGAGAGGCAGTAATGGTCCCCTGTGGCTGCTACAGGGAGAAATAAAAAGAGAAATAGAGAAAGGCAGAGAGCAGAGCTCCGTGACAGCAGACAAGTAATCAGACACAGAAGCAGTGTCTCTGATCTGCAGGAACACCTCCCAGGACTCAACTCGCAGACATTCGTTACACCTGCTAAGCACCGCCACTGTTAAATTTAGCCACAAAGTGACAACGTGAACAGGACTACTTGTTTGTGCATGTGAGCGAGTGTGTTTTATTTAGGTGTTGGTGTTAAAAAGTGAAAGTACAACAATGTGAGAGCTGGCTCGTGTGTCAGAATGTTCTATTTAATCTGCCAGTATTTTTATTTTATACCGAAGCGGATTTTATTGCCAGAGTGTTCTTGATTTTTCAATAAAAGAGTAAAAAAAATGGTTTTAGAGAACGACTGGCTCAACTCGCTGTCCCGTTCACCTCAGAACTGTCAGACTGACCTACTTACGTTGCAGCATTTGGACTGAAGGACGGCGGCGGGCTGATCTGAGGCAACAATCACTAATCTGACAGGCCACCAGAGATGGGGGAGGGGTCCAGTTCAGGTAAAACTAGAGCTGTGCAATTAGTCTGGGCTCCAAACCAGCACAGAAACAATCTAATCCAGCAGTGAGTGAATAGTGAAAAGCGCTTTGGGTGCCTTGAAAAGCTTTACATAAATCCAATCTATTATAATGATTATTATTGTAACAAACTTCTTTCATTTAAACTTTTACTAAGCATGCGTTTAGTTTGGCTCAGCTTTTAAAGAACGAGTTCACTCGGTTTTTCTACGCATTTGCAGCGATTCCACTCATAAGTCAACCTCTGAGGTAAAAAAGCTCTGGTGCTCCGGTTTCAGGAACTAGAAGTGAGCCAGAAGAGAGGGGAGCAGAACACCGCAGGTTCTGGACGACGACGACGACAGGAGTTAAGTGCCCGTCTCCTAACTGGGGCGTTAAGAGATCGAGTCCTACTCAGTCTGTGGCAGTCGTCCTCAAAATCCAATAAGGTGTGAAAAAAAATCCAATATAAAGTGAGATAAATCAAGAAAGTTTTATGATTAGTCAGCCGATGTCATGTGATCATCGTCGTCGTCGTCGTCGTCGTCGTCGTCGTCTTCCTCCGCTTATCCGGGTCCGGGTCGCGGGGGCAGCATCCCAACTAGGGAGCTCCAGGCCGTCCTCTCCCCGGCCTTGTCCACCAGCTCCTCCGGCAGGACCCCAAGGCGTTCCCGGACCAGATTGGAGATGTAACTTCTCCAACGTGTCCTGGGTCGACCCGGGGGCCTTCTGCCGGCAGGACATGCCCGAAACACCTCCCCGGGGAGGCGTCCAGGAGGCATCCTGACCAGATGCCCAAACCACCTCAACTGGCTCCTTTCGATCCGGAGGAGCAGCGGTTCTACTCCGAGTCCCTCCCGAATGTCCGAGCTCCTCACCCTATCTCTAAGGCTGAGCCCGGCCACCCTACGGAGGAAACTCATTTCGGCCGCTTGTATCCGCGATCTCGTTCTTTCGGTCATTACCCAAAGCTCATGACCATAGGTGAGGATTGGGACGTAGATCGACCGGTAAATCGAGAGCCTGGCTTTCTGGCTCAGCTCCCTCTTCCCCACGACAGATCGGCTCAGCGTCCGCATCACTGCAGACGCCGAACCAATCCGCCTGTCGATCTCCCGATCCCTCCTACCCTCACTCGTGAACAAGACCCCGAGATACTTAAACTCCTCCACTTGAGGTAGGACCTCTCCCCCGACCCGGAGGTGGCAAGCCACCCTTTTCCGGTCGAGAACCATGGTCTCAGATTTGGAGGTGCTGATCCTCATCCCAGCCGCTTCACATTCGGCCGCGAACCTACCCAGCAAGAGCTGAAGGTCAGAGCTGGATGAAGCTAGGAGGACCACATCATCCGCAAAAAGCAGAGACGAGATTCTCCTGCCACCAAACTCGACACACTCCACACCACGGCTGCGTCTAGAAATTCTGTCCATAAAAGTGATGAACAGAACCGGTGACAAAGGGCAGCCCTGGCGGAGTCCAACCCTCACTGGGAACAGGTCCGACTTACTACCGGCTATGCGGACCAAACTCACGCTCCTCTTGTAAAGGGACTGAATGGCCCTTAACAGAAAGCCACCCACCCCATACTCCTGGAGCGTCCCCCACAGGGTGCCCCTGGGGACACGGTCATAAGCCTTCTCCAAATCCACAAAGCACATGTGGATTGGTTGGGCAAACTCCCATGCCCCCTCCATCACCCTTGCAAGGGTATAGAGCTGGTCCACAGTTCCACGGCCAGGACGAAAACCACATTGCTCCTCCTCTATCTGAGATTCAACTATCGATCGGACCCTCCTCTCCAGTACCTTGGCGTAGACCTTTCCAGGGAGGCTGAGGAGTGTGATCCCCCTATAGTTGGAACACACCCTCAGGTCACCCTTCTTAAAGATGGGGACCACCACCCCGGTCTGCCACTCCCTAGGAACTGCCCCCGATGACCACGCAATGTTGTAGAGACGTGTCAACCATGACAGCCCTACAACATCCATAGCCTTGAGATACCCAGGACGAACCTCATCCGCCCCCGGGGCTCCGCCGCTGTGTAGTTGTTTGACTACCTCAGCAACTTCTGCCCCCGAGATCGGACAGTCCATCCCCAGGCCCCCCAGCTCTGGTTCCTCCTCGGAATGCGCATTGGTGGGATTGAGGAGCTCCTCAAAGTATTCCTTCCACCGTCCGACTATAGCCTCAGTTGACGTCAGCAGCTCCCCATCCCCACTGTAAACAGTGTGAGCGAGTTGCTGCCTTCCTCTCCTGAGGCGCCGGACAGTTTGCCAGAACCTCTTTGGAGCCGATCGATAGTCTTTCTCCATGGCCTCACCAAACTCCTCCCACGCCCGAGATTTTGCCTCGGCAACTGCCACTGCTGCACCCCGCTTGGCTATCCGGTACCTGTCTGCTGCCTCCGGAGACCCACAGACCAGCCACGCCCTGTAGGCCTCCTTCTTCAGCCTGACGGCTCCCCGAACCTCTGGTGTCCACCAGCGGGTACGGGGGTTGCCACCACGACTGGCACCGGCCACCTTACGACCACAGCTAGTAACAGCCGCCTCGACAATCGCAGAGTGGAACAAGGCCCACTCGGACTCAATGTCCCCCACTGCTCTCGGGACGTGGTCAAAGCTCTGCCGGAGGTGGGAGTTGAAGACCGTCTTGACAGGTTCTTCTGCCAGGCGTTCCCAGCAGACCCTCACTATGCGTTTGGGTCTGCCAGGTCTACGCGGCATGTTCCCTTGCCATCTGATCCAACTCACCACCAGGTGGTGATCAGTTGACAGCTCCGCCCCTCTCTTCACTCGGGTGTCCAAAACATACGGCCGCAGGTCAGATGATACGACTACAAAATCTATCATCGACCTGTGACCTAGGCTGCCCTGGTACCAAGTGTACCGGTGGGCATCCTTATGTTCGAACATGGTGTTCGTTATGGCCAAACTGCGGCTTGCACAGAAGTCCAATAACAAAACACCGCTCGAGTTCTGATCAGGTGGGCCGTTCCTCCCAATCACACCCCTCCAGGTCAAGCTGTCATTGCCCACGTGAGCATTGAAGTCCCCCAGCAGGACAATGGAGTCCCCTGATGGAGCACTATCTAGCACTCGTCCCAGGGACTCCAAAAAGGGTGGGTACTCTGAACTGATATTTGGCCCATAAGCACAAACAACAGTCAGGACCCGTTCCCCGACCCGAAGGCGCAAGGAAGCTACCCTCTTGTCCCCCGGGGTAAACCCCAACACACAGGCAGAGAATCTCGGGGCTAACAAAAAGCCAACCCCAGCCCTCCGCCTCTCACCCGGAGCAACTCCAGCAAAGTAGAGTGTCCAACCCCTCTCCAGGTCTCGGGTTCCAGAGCCAATGCAATGTGTCGAGGTGAGTCCGACTATATCTAGCCGGTACCGCTCAACCTCTGCCACAAGCTCCGGCTCCTTCCCCACCAGCGAGGTGACGTTCCATGTCCCAAAAACTAGTTTCCTTGTCCGGGGATTGGACCGCCAAGGCTCCCGCCTTGGTCTGCCACCCGATTCACATTGCACCGGACCCTTCATGTTCCTCCTGCGGGTGGTGGGTCCACAGTTGGTCATGTGATCATGCTGCATGCAAAGGGATCATTTCCTTTCCAAGCATCTGGAAGGACTGATAATCTCTTATTTTGATAAGCCACTATGTTTTGAGCTTTTTTACCTGAAGAAGAGAAATAAATACGAGTTTCCAAGCTCACTGAATAATTTAGTTCATAATTGACTCAAATAATCACAACAATTATTTTTCCCTACATAACCGAGCTGCCTTCTGTAAAACAGAACAGCTTACCGACTCCCTCACTGTGCTGTAGAATAAAGATTAAATCTAAACCGTCACAATTCTGGCAGAGGTTTGTGGTTTTGCTCGGCCGTTGGTCGTTAAGCTCAGTCTCACGGCAGGAAGAACCGGCCTGTAGGACGAGGCGAAGAGCGGAACTGAGGGCACAAACGCAGCAGCGCCACGACTGGTGCCAAATGGCTAATTAATTCCTGCTTTATTTGTGAACAGGAAACAATGGGCAGTGATGTGCGGGGGCTGGTATAGGGAGGCACATGGGGGGGGGGGCTGAAGTAACAAAGTGCTCAGCCTGCTGATGGCAGCCTCATTAATGCAAGGGTCCGGGCCAAGGAGCTGGAGCTTGACACCCGCCATCATTGAGGGCCCTGTGTCTGTCGTTGAATACATGCCAGGCTAAGCAAAGAGAGCAAAAACGAACACACACACACACACACACACACACACACACACACACACACACACACACACACACACACACACACACACACACACACACACACACACACACACACACACACACACACACACACACACACAGACGTGCTGAGGTTTCACCTGTCAAACACATGAAATGATTAATGATCTTGTTGGAAGTGATGTCTCACGGTGACAGGAACAGACTGAATAAATACAGAAGCAACCTTACTGGGAAATGTAACCATGAATTCAAAGATTCTGACACAGCCTCCGTGGTCTGCTACTGTTGTGAAAACCTCATGACACATCATCTGTTGCTGCAGAAAGGGGTGTGAGTGGGAAGAAAGACAGCGCCGCCGTCTTTTACACTCCACTAAATATCTGTATCGTTTCACTGGAGACAAATCTACCAGAGAAAACCCGGTTTGTGGACGAGTGACATCTAAATATGCTCTCACAATATTAGAAACGCCAGAACATCATGGTAGTTTTACTTTAAGGTCTCATTAAATTATTTCAACAAATCTGCAGTGGTCTCTGGTATGAATTAATGCCTTAAGTTATTTTCTGTGGAAAAAAAGCTCTGGCGCTCCTATTTAAGGGGGGTAGTTTGTCAGAAAAAGGCAGGATTTGGAGTCTTACCCCCAAATTCCGCTCCGGTCCGCCCCCGCCTTCCGCAGCCGCTCGCTTCCGAACTCAATTTTTCTTGGTACCCGCTCTAAAACGGCTCCGCTCCGGTGCGGAGACCTGAGGGGGGCAAACAAGCATGCGCGGGATTTTCGAGATCTTGCGATACAGTCCGAGCAATAAACGCGGAAGTTAGATCCAAACACCCGTTGTGTGGGAGAAGCATCGAAATGAACTGTTTAATCTGCCCATCATTTGTGTTGGGAGATCAGCAGTGTTTGGATCAACAAAGGGTGACTACTTTGATAGTAGAAACTGTATTTATGGCTTACTTTTGTGCATTTAAAGTTCAACCACCATTGATAACTGTTAAAGGTTGTTAAACCTGTGCATATGAAACAAAAAACGCCTTTTGTTTATCGATTTATTGTGAAAAACGGAAGTTGTGCTTGCTCCTTTTCCTGTTGGGCGGTTGTGATTTCTGTCCATTGACTGCGGAGGTGCTCCGGCGTCCGGCAAAAATAGGATAGATTCTATTTTTGCCGGACGCCGGAACAGAGGGCGGCGCACGGCGCCGCACTGCCGGAGCACAGCCGCAGTAGTGGAATTGCTCTGATTGACTACAACGGGACCGATTTAGCTCCGGCGTTCGTGTCGGAGCGGAGCGGAGCGGAGGTAGTGGAATTTGGGGGTTACTAGTTAAAATTCATGATATGCAAATGAATTGGCTCTGACTGATTAAAGCCGGGCGTACACTGTGCGACTTTTTCACTTTTTTGAGCCGATTTTTCACTCGTGAGAGAATCCACGAGATCGGGGCGAGTTTTACGCCGAGCGTCGTGTAGTGTACAGGGGGTTATGAGAGGCGATTAACACCACGTGACCAGCTACAGATCAGCAATCGTGAGCTCGCACGGACTTCTGGAGCGTTTGAAATTTTGCTCGTCCCTCGTGAGGATATCGCACTGTTGAAGTGGCGCTGCGAGCGGCTGCGACCCAAAATGTATCAGAACCGCTCACGGCGCATGCGCAATCCTGCATCAACACCACTCGCCCGCTATTTCCCTAATAACACACGTTGTTCGTTTTTATTTCTACACGTTTTTTTACTCACAAAGATTGTCAAGAAAGCGTGTTTGTCGTGTTCATGTCAAATTAAACTGATCACAAAACACAGATTTACTTTATTTCGTTTTCCTCATCCAACCCCCATAAATCCCAGTGTGTCCTCCTGCAGCACTCCTGAAGGACAACAGGCAAGACAAAAAAGTCTGACGTGTTGAGTAAAAACAGCTATTTTTAGCATATTTTTAGGGCTGACGTGTTGCTACCAGACGTACAGTGTGAGCAGTCAGGTCGCATCCGAGAACTGGGTCGTGCAGTGTGAGCGCATGACTCGTGAGATCTGCCCTGCGAGGAAGTCGTACAGTTTGAGCTGAAGCTGAGTGCTACGAGTGAAAAGGTCGCACAGTGTCCGCCCGGCTTAACAGCAACAAGAGTCTTCCGCTAGCTTTGTCCGCTCTTCTATCTTGGGAATAAATGCTAATGGTTAGCTTCCACTAGCCGATACATGCTCTGCTCTCTCCTGGATGCTAAATCAATACAGCCAAGACCAAGCCAAAGTGGGTGGAGCAACAAATACTAATTTTACTTGTGACATTGAAAAGACTGCTTTTGTTGACTTGATTGTTTTCCCTTCCATTTCCCTTTACCAGCTAAAGATATTGGGGTATGAACAAAGCTGTCCCGTGCAACACGCACATGCACCCCACAGTGAATGATCGTCTTTGAAAAAGAAAAAGTGTTACACGGGTTCTGAACGAGACCTTTAAGCTTTACAAAAAAAAAAAAAACACAAAATCAATGGACACAGACCAACACTAGATTAAGTTAATGATTTCTAGTTAGCTAAATAATCTCACAGCTGTGCTTTCAGAGGGGAAAAGCAAATCACGGCTATAAAATCTACAGTGAAACCAAGATATGGTTGTTTTAAACAGCGCCCTGCAACAGTGGACAAAACTGAGCCATTTGGATTTGTTGTTGATTTAATCTTCCACGTAAGCAAGTGTAGCTCATTAGCATTTCAACCTCTACGTGAGACCTGGATTAGCCTAAGAACTAATAGCATCAAGGGAGAGTTAATAAGGAAAGTGAGGGACGTTTGCTGGTGACTGCTGGTGGCAAGGAGCATATCATCTCTCAGATCTCCAGCTAAGCGTGTTGCCAGGTAGGAAACCGGAGGAAAGAGGCCACTCCGGCCAAACGCTAATTATCCCACTTCTAGTGAGCTGATTGGAATACAAGTGCACAGTCAGCAGGCACTAATTAGGGTTTCTTTTATTCAAACTACTGTTTTTATTGAACAAGGTTTAAGCAGCGGGGAGCAGGAGGCTCGTGCTGCTGTAAATTGCAGTTTTCGCACATGAGCAGGAAATTAGGTCTGAAGGCTTGGCGTCAAATTAGATGTGGGTTTGGTTCCCACATGAAGCCCCCACCTTATACTCTTCTGCAGATTTGAGTGAGCCAATGCTGATAGAGCAACATAACCTTAAAAAACCTACAATGAGAAGAAGAAGAAAAGATGGATTCTGAGAAGTGGCCCATCAGTACTCAGAGAGGAACAAGAGACACTCTGAAGTACTCGAGTCATCCTGAGTGGAAAATGGGCTGTTTTCTTCACTTGATATACTTCTCCGACAGCCTTTACACTTTACACCCGTGATCAGTTAACAGTCACTCGGATGATAAATAGAGCAGTTGCTCTGGCCTTGTCTATGACAGCAACCTGCAAGCTCATAACTTTAAATGACTCCTGTCTACAGATCCACCCGCAAGAGAAAGACTGGCCTGGAAGGAAGTCGGCAGAACTAAGCAAACATATTGGAGCTGAAGGAAAGATAAAAGACTCATCTGGTCATTCTGGTTCTGTTGTCTTGTGTCTTGTGATTATATTTGTTCCTTTCCTCTTCCAGGGGCTTCCTTGTCTGCTGTGTCCTCCCACAGCCTCTTGTCCTCTAATAGTCTACAGCTACTCCTGAAAAAGTCCACTCTTCTCCCTCCAGCTCCTCCAAAATCTCCTGCCTGCTGCATAAATAAAAATAACTACAAATATACTGCCTGTTAAGTCGTTTCTGTGATGACTTGTTAAAGGCTCGTGAATCTCCAGCCATATGAACCTAGTACCTGGTAGAGGATGCAACTCTGGAGACACTGGGCAGTCAGAATAGATAGCATGGGGATGAAGCCTGCTTCTGAACATGTGTGGCAGCACACATCTGCACAAACCACTAATATGAGCTACAGGTGCTGTTGTGGGATCGTACGGGCCACTGAGAGCGGACAGATTTTCCACGGGCTCTTTGATAAAACGATTAACTCAAAATGAAATACAGATCTGTGGCTTTTGATGTAGCACGGCATCTGTTTGAAGAACAGATGAAAAGCAAAAGCATTATGAGGGAATGATAAGGGGGAAGAAAATGGACTAAAATTGCACTTTTAGGAATCATTGCATCTCCTAAATGGATCATAGAAAAACAAAATGATCTCTAGTTGTGGTCTTAGATGTGTCTTGGCGTGTCACACGAAGGAAGAGCGGAGACGGTCTGGATGATGGCTGCACCATGTCACAAGCCTGCCTGAGTGAGGCAACTGCTGCTGGCACCCAGCAGACTCCCTCACACTGGCTGATCTGGGGTTTGGCTGATTACTGTGATTCTGAAATTACAGGCTTGATGAGCGGGAGCATTTCACAAAAAAACTTGGGTAGAAATGGGTCAGGCCAGGACCGAGTTCCCAATCAGAACAACTGAGACAGAAAGGGGAGATTTTTTATTTTTCTGATTAAGTAAAGCTAGCTAACACGATGAGTTGTAATCAGCATCTAGGACCGACTGTGGTACAGCCATGGACAAACGTTTTGAGAATGACTCATATTAATCATCATCAATGTGTCAGTATTTATAATGGCACTTTGCTTTTACTCCAGGGTGTTGTGATAGGTGAACAGAACGAAACAGTTCGCTCGGGCAGCAGTAGCTCAACAGGTTGAGCGGGTTGTCCAGTAATCGGACGGTTGCAGGTTCAATCCCGGCTCCGGACAGAGAATTCTGCTGTTGTGTCCTTGGGCAAAACACTTAACCCATCTTGCCTGCTGGTGGTGGTCGGAGAGACCGGTGGCGCCTGTGCTGAGCAGCCTCGCCTTTGTCAGTGCGCCCCAGGCAAGCTGTGGCTCCATCGTAGCTCATCACCATCAGGGTGTGAATGTGTGTGTGAATGGATGAATGATACACTGTAGTGTAAAGCGCTTTGGAGTCCTTACTCTGAGAGGCGCTGTACAAGTGCGGGTCATTTATCATTTAGTTTCCAAAGGGTCTTCACTAGTAACGGGTACCAGGTTATCGCACCTATTTTATTACCAACTTCAACGTGCTTCCAAGCGTACCAAACCAGGCCAAAAACATGACATCACTAATTGGCTAAGCGGGGGGGGGGGGGGGGGGGGGTCACCCACACTCCGCCTTGCTGCCGGCAGACTTTTCTAGGTCTCTTCTTGTCAAGAGTTTGACACAAAGCTATTGACTAGGCAGAATGTTCAACACTGCCATTATGTGCTCCACTGCTGCATTGTCTTGTGTTTTGGTGTCACGTATAGATCAATTCAAGCTATTATTTTGTGTTCTTATTTGATACAGAGTTGAAAATGTTTTACCTTATTTTGCTAACAGTTCCGGCTACATCCGGTTGCCTTCATCAGAGCTTTGGTGGTGTCACATCCCTTGTTGTTTATCTGTAGGCAGTAGAGGACAATGTCGCCCTCTAAACAGCAACAAATGTAACACCACCAGTCCTGTTTTTCAATTGCAATAGAAAAACACCTGAACTGTGTAAGGCAGAATAAAGCTGTGTTTATTAAATGCTAATGGAAAACGACCCTTAAAGTTTAGTCGAGTCCTCTTTCGATCGTTTCCCTTGGCTGAGCAAAAGTTGTTGACGTTACCACGCTCCAAATACAGATAGAGGAGGGATTGTTTGTGTTTATGTATTTAGCAGACGCTTTTGTCCAAAGCGACTTACAAGTGATAGTCGGCATGTTGCCCTTGAGGCTAACAACAACAATAACAACAACAACTTGACATCAATCATGGAGAGGAGGGAACAAAGGAGTGGACGGCAAAGAGGAGGGAGGGGGGGGGGGGGGGGTGACGGGAAGGTGCTAGTTAAGAAGATGCTCTCTGAAGCACAGGGTCTTCAGGAGTTTCTTGAAAATTGAAAAGGAAGCCGCTGTTCTGGTAGTGCTTGGAAGGTCATTCCACATTTGTGAAACGATGCATGAGAAGAGTCTGGATTGTCCTCAGCGTGGAGTAGGCACTGCTAGCTGAGGATCCTGTGATGACCGGAGCGGCCGGGCCGAGACGTAAGGCTTTGCAAGAGGATTCAGGTAGATGGGAGCCGTACCATCTCTGACTTTGTATGCTAGTGTTAGCAATTTGAATTTGATGCGTGCTGCTAGCGGTAGCCAGTGGAGCTCAATGAACAGAGGGGTGACGTGTGCTCTTTTTAGCTGATTAAAGACCACATGTGCCGCTGCATTCTGGACCATTTGAAGAGGTCTCACAGTACAGCCTGGAAGACCAGTTAGAAGGGCATTGCAGTAATCGAGGAGGGAGATGACAGTAGATTGCATCAGGAGCTGGGTGGCATGTTGTGTTAGGTATGGTCTGATCTTTTGTATGTTATACAGCGCAAAGCAGCATGAACAAGCAACAGAGGCAATATGATCTTTAAAGGTCAGGTGTTCATCAATCACAACACCCAGATTTCGAACTGCCTTTGAAGGAGCCAGAGATAGGAAGTCATTTTGGATTGGGATATTGTGCTGTATGGATGTTTTTTCTGGGATGACAAGTAGATCAGTTTTAGAGAGGTTGAGTTGGAGATGGTGGGATTTCATCCATTTTGAGATGTCAGAGAGACAGTTTGATATTCATGCAGAGACAATGTGGTCGTCCGGTGGAAATGACAGATAGAGCTGGGAGTCGTCTGCATTGCAGTGGTAGGAGAAGCCATGTGATCGAATGATCTCACCCAGTGAGGTGGTGTATATGGCAAAGAGAAGAGGTCCTAGTACAGAGCCCTGGGGGACTCCTGTGGCAAGATGGTGCACGGTAGAGAATTGTCCAAGCCAAGATACACTGAATGATCGTCCTGTGAGGTATGATTCAAACCAGGCGTGTGCTTTCTCTGTGATGCCCATGCTAGAGAGTGTGGACAAAAGGAAGCCATGGTTGACAGAGTCAAATGCAGCCGATAAGTCGAGCAGGATAAGCACTGAGAATTTGCCAGTCACTCTAGCTTCTTTCAAGGATTCCATCACTGCTAACAGAGCAGTTTCAGTGGAGTGGCCCTTTTTGAACCCAGATTGGTAAGGGTCAAGCAGACAGTTTTGTGAGAGGTATTCTGTGATCTGCTTGAAAGCCACCATTGTGCCATCGTGCTCCAGGGCTCATTTTTATTGTTTGGCCTTCCCACAACATGGTTTGTGCCACTAGCTTGAAGTCTTAGTTTTTCCTTTTCTGTCTTTAAATTCTCTCGTCTTTGTTGTTCTTATGATATCTTATAATGTAATTTTATTGTTTGCGATGTTTTATGATGTCTGTCTCTTGCTTTATGCTGTTCTCTGATTAGTGTTCAACACATTAGGCTTCCAGGAAGGTTGTAGAAGGTGCAATACAAAGAAAATTTGATTGGTTTAGTCTGAAAACAGAGATGAATAAAGAATGGTATCTAAACATCCTCCCAGAGGAACTCCTCTAGTTCGTTTTTGAGCAAGACTGATGAAAAAGGCTACGTGTGACAAGGATAGTCAGAACTAATTGTGTTTTCACACCTGCAGTGTTTAGGTAGTTTAAACTAAACTCTGGTTCTGGCTTGGTGCAGCTTGTTGGTGTGAATACAGTAATCTCATCAGACCAACACAACCTCACAGAGACCCTTACCCCTTCTTTCCACCGGCCATGAAAGCAGTCGCATAATGTAATAGCAGTGTTTTACCTGCAAGCTAATTCCCAAACGGGAGCAATTCTGACACAAAAAGAGAGCGAAAATCACGGGAGAATCGCAACACCACGCCTGATTTCAGAAGTCCACACACAATAATAAGCAAGGAGAAAGACAGCTGCATGTATCAAAAAAGGTCTGTGGTTTGTTTTCAGTTTCTTACATTGGCTATAGGGGTTATAACAGGAAATGACAAACATAAATGTGACTTTTATTTTTAAAGTTTCCGGATGTTTTACTCTGCTTTTGTGTTTGACTTCCTGTCTGGTGCAATCCAGACTGCGGAGTTTGATGTGTTTTGGAAGCGCAGTGCATACAAAATTGACTCAAAATGTAATGATAGCATCCCCTTGCTTCTGGGGCACACCCAAAACGTTACACTTCGCTGCCGGTGGAAAGGAACTCATTTGCTATAATGGCAGCTAATTGCAGCGTTGTACGTTTAGCGGCCGTTTTGCAACGCTTTCACTTGCAGTGGAAGGAAGTGGTCTTTGTACGGTTCCAAACAAACTCCAAAGCAGTCTGACACAACTTCTAGGTGTACATGTTTGAGCCAAACGCAGCCATGTATGTTTTATAGGGATGTGTATTTTTGAAATTCTGGCGATACGATACATATCACGATATAGGGGATGTGGTACGATATATCACGATATATTGCGATACATTCAGCCAGACGTTACAAGCTATTTTTTTACTGAATTTTAAGAATGTTCAATAAACAGTCCAAACTGATACGTAACATGTTTAACATGAGGTATCTGAACCATGATGGAGGGATTTACATTTTAGTGGTGGAAACAAAACCCTCTGCACACTGCTGCCAACTAGCGGGTGGCGATTAAATTGTGCAAAACGAAAAGAAAATACACAAATGTTTGCATGTAAATTCTTTCAGGAATTACACGGCTTTTGAATATCGATTTAATAATTGCATGAAAAAATATCACGATATATTGCCATATCGATATTTCCGATACACGGCTTTTGAATATCGATTTAATAATTGCATGAAAAAAATATCACGATATATTGCCATATCGATATTTCTGATACACGGCTTTTGAATATCGATATAATATTGCTGGGGAAAATATCACGATATATTGCCATATCGATATTTTCTTACATCTCTAATGTTTTATGTTTCTGGGATGCTGCACAGTCTACAAATGTAAGTAGCTACTAACTAGCCAAGCAAACCAGTGACAAGATAGCTTGCCTGATTGACATTTGGGCAGATGACTACATTTGTAAACTCCTTCAAACGACTCTTAAAAACAAACGGCAATAGAAAATTTGGAAAACAATATAGCCAAAAACAATTATTTAATGCCTCTTAACAACATTCTAACATAGTATTAATATATTGTGGAGATAATAAAATTAAAAAACTAATAAAGTACTTTTCTAACATTTGTCTAAAAACCTTCACATGTTTCAAAGCAACTATTGGACCATCTGGTTGTCTGTCTCACCGAACTGCTGCTCTTCCTCGGCTCCTTCATTAATGACGCACTCGCATATTTAGCAAAAGAACAACTGGTGTGAGAGGTTTGCGGCTCAATAATTTTAATAATAATAAAAAGAAAAACAATTTGAAGTCACGGACAGCAAAAGACGCATGGACCTAGAAAATGGTGACTGGTGTTTAGCGCTCTCTATTGAAATGTGGGTTTCTGGTTCCGGTGGATGCAGATCCAGAGAAGAGGTGAGTGTTCCATGACCATTTTTGCGTGTAAAACCTAGCTTGTTGGCAGATTTGCTATGACAGCTTTAAGTGTTCAAATTGTTCAGTAATTGGCTGAATTAGAGGGGGTTTGACTATAACAGGTGCAGGATCCGAAATCAACACCTTCCTGTGTTTACAACCTCCTAATATGTCAATAAAATACAGAAAGGAACTGTCACATCCACTGTGACATGCACGTTTATACTGAGGAACATAAAGTACAAGAAGAAAAAGAAACATTTACTTTTACAGTTTTCATTCAATATGTATTAATCTCTGCCACTCACACCAGACAGTTGGTCAGCTTTTGCTGGCATTTGCTGACCTTAATTTTCCCAAACCCCTAAGTGTCTAGTTTGTCGGCAGCTGAGTTGTAGAATTTAAACACATTGAATTCAGTTGGCAAGCACTGGCAAGTCTGCTGTTAAACCAGGGCAGCAGATTGCATCTTAAATTTATTCGCATTACGAGATCAGTGGGGCAAAACTACTCTGCCGCAATCTGTCTGCAAGTCTGACAGTAACTGACTCTTTCCTGATGGTGAAAATTAGGCGAGATGGTTGTGTTTAAAACGCTTGTGAGATGGTGGTGTTCTGCTAAGCACACAGGACCGCGCTGTTGTGACAGACAGATCTTTGGGGGTGACGGCAGAGGGAGGGGAGCTAGTTCATCAGCAAATTAATGGCGCAGTTCATCCTAATTTCCCTTGAAGACAGATTTGTGGTTTTGGAACACTTAGAATATTCTCCATTTCTGGTTTTTTAACACGGAGTTGAAGGAGAGAGTCGGGCCAGGTTTGGCACATGGAATTTTAACAGCTTGGTTCATCGTGTCTTGGTGTGTGTGTGTTCTCTGATCAGTACTTACATTTCTGGAGTCCAGTGTTCATCTGCGTGTGGGGGAGAAGTTGGAGGGGGAGGTCACCTGGCCCTGGCAGACAGGCCAGCATTTCACACAGACACTAATGCAGCATGGGACACACACTTCTTCTCACACTGCAGAGAGAGAGAGAGAGGTCAGATGTAACTGCGAGACAGCACATGGTGCATGGCGATACGGACGCTGGCTCTGGACTAATAGAACTCTGTAGCTGCTCCCTGAAGGCGTGGGGCTGCGGGAGACATAGTTAGCTTTCAATAAGAAACTGATTCACACCTGGAGCATCAGGTAAGGTGACATTTGAAGCCAATAACAACTTCAATTAAACATCAAACAGCTGAAGTAAAAGGAGCAGACTGGGCCTGAGGGACAGGCAGTTTTAAATCGACCCCGGCCCTTGATTGCTCCGGCTCGCCCTGCATGTTTCACACCAAGCTGGACCCCGCCACCCACACTACTCCTCCACCTCCATCACAATAAAGCGGCAGAAATCATCGACTCTACTACATCCTAAAAAGGAAGACTTTTGGTAAACCTGACGAGTCAACGCGGAGCTAAAACAGGCCTTTCTTTTGGAGGACATTAAATGACAGAAACGGCTCAGGATGCAGTGAGAAGCAATTAATAAACACAGCTGCAGCTCCTCTAAACGCTGCCCACATTGTGCAACAACTTGGTGTATGAGAGAATATTTAGCCATGCTCCACTTGGCTTGCTGCTGTATTCAAAACACCACCGATGCTTGCTTAATCAGCACTGAAGAACAGTCAGGGAGCAAATTAAGTCTACGGAGTCCGTGCCCTCCCGGTTTGCTGCGTGGCATCAGAGGAGGGCAGCGAGTGTGTGCAGACAAACAGCTTCTATGAGGGAGGCAATTACCCCACAAAACAACCTTGGCATGCCTGCCTGCCGCAGGGTGACGGCTTAAAAGTATCTTACCCCCTGCAGGGACCACAGACAAGAGGAGGAAAGAGTGACAAAGCAAGAGAGGAAGGTGGAGAGGAGGAGGACGGGTGTGGTGGCGGGGGCTGAGCTCGCTTTAAAAAGCAGGAGCTCAAAAAGGTCAGGATGACAGCTCATTTAAATCCTCCCAGCGAGAGAAGAAAAACAAGGCCTAATGAAGCTGCTGGTGATACACAGACACCCGAGGCAGTAGCACCTCGGGGTGCTGCAGGGCAGAGGGGCACCGGGGGTGGAGAAGTGGGTGGTGGCGCCCCAGTCCAGGAACCAAGGAGCCCGCTGATGCTGCGTCACTTTTTCCCGTTAGCCGGCCTTCCACAGCCGATTCTCCTCCCTCCCTCGCTCCCTGATTTACAGCCTGGACTGCCATATGGCAACACTCCCTGCCCTCGATTCAGCGTGTCGCCATGCATTAACTTTAATTGGCCTGATATGTTATTCTTTTCCCTCTGGCCTTGGAAGGGTTTTAGGTACACAGAGCCTTGATGTCAGCAGGCAAGGTTTCCAGCTCTCTCTCATTTATCAGGTTGCCAAGATTTCACACAAAGATAACGGCAATCTCTCTGACAACACACAGGCTCGAGGTGGAACGACACGTTTGTTTTAAAAGGACTTTCGCAAAGAGTGAGATGATGTCCAGAAAAGAAACAAAATCGTCAACTTGTACACACACATACACACACTACAAGTGAAAAAGGAAGCATCCAGCAGGCCACCCCCTCCCTCTTGCTTCCCCCACAGCGCCACTGAATGTCAGAAAGCTGTGCGGTGGAAAGTGCAACAGCAAAGGTCAGCCTATGGTAATGCCTGAGCGGACATGCTGCTTTACAGCGAAGAGCAGGAGGAGATGAAACCCGACAGACAGAAACCCGACAGACAGAAGCCCGACGTCCGCCGACTCGCCTTTCAGCAGCACCGCCACCGAGACTTCAAATAAAGTATCACACACACCAAACGCTGGCACTTTCAACAAAGCCACCCCCCCCCCCCCCCCCCCCCCCACAGAGGCTTCTTTAACACGTTAGCTATCAGAAGCTGGATTACTCCATCTGACAGTATCAAAGCCAGACAGGACGTGACTGAATCAGGTGAGCGGCTGCTATACCTGCCGGCACACGAGGATCTCTCACGTTGGTCCACAAGCTTTCATGAAACTCCTCCTGGTTTGAGCTGGACCAGGTCTTTGGAGCCCCGTCTACGTTCAGCCAGGCATCTCGCACTATCAGGCCGGCGCAGACAGACACTACGGGGCTCTGAAAGTATTAGCCAGGGCCCCTGTGACTCAGCAAAGTCCCCACCAGCTACTTATAGAGCCGTAATAAAAGTGTGTGAATAACTGTGCCGCTTTCATTTTGGACAAATAAAAAGCCAGCAGACAAAGCGGGACTTGAGAAAGTGATGCACATGGCTTGTGTCACGTGTCAAATTGCTCCCATAAAAGCTGACCTTTATATACATATATGTGTGTTTTTTTTAAATCATTCCTTAGTGGGGAAGGAGAAAAGTGAAAAAGAAATCTGAAAGCACAAAAAATACCTGAAAAGCATGGAAGAGATGGAGGCTATTTTTGTGAATTAGTTTCTGTGTTTGCTCCAGCTTAATCCTTGCATTAGTTATTAGAAAATATCCACCAAATGCATGGAGCTTGTAAAATAAATAATATAATTATAACTAGACATAATAGAAGCGGAACAATAAAGGGGAAAACAAAGGCGAGAACGTGCGCTTGGTTTCTGGTTGAATATTAGTTGATTTTTTTTTTTTTACCAATTATGAGAAAAGGCAATTAGGGGAAGCGAGTCAACGTGCTGTACATGACTTGTGCTTGTGGCTCAGGGAGAGGAGGGAGGAAGAGTGGAGGAGAAAGCAAGCTGCTGTTATTTTAATTGCATGTTTACCCCCAGGTTATGGGTCTGAAATAGAGCCAAGAAAAAATATGTTGCTGCAGACATTCAATGGAACTTCAGTGTGTTGATTCTCTCAGGGACAGAGAGGGTGAAATTACTTTTCTTTGCAAGCCGAGTCCCTGAACAGGAGGTAAAGAAGGGAAAGAAGAAGCAGGAAGATGAGAACAGCCTTTTACCGTCGAATACCAAGCTGGAGCTTTTTGTCAAAAGAAAGAGACGGGAGGAAGAAAAAGCCTTGGCTCTTAAGCACTCCGCAAAAATAATGAAATAAATAAAAAAAACAGCTGGTATGGCCTTCGTTAGGCCTTTACGAACACACCGAAAAAGGTTTTCTGTTGTTGCCGTTTCACATAATGCATTTTGATGACCAAGGCATGTCCCCGAGGCGTTTGGACCGCCGCGTTTGCTTGATCGGATAGCAGAGACCCCCCTCGTCAGCTCAGGCTGTTATCTCAAACCAGAAGAGAGAGGGTGAGACGGTTAGGACTGTGAGCAGAGAGGAAAAAAAAACAGGAAGAAGACATTCCAGCTAAACCAAACTAGCACCTTAATTGAGAGTCAGTCAAAAAATGGTTTCCAAGTTGTGAGACACAGCGTGTCAGGGATAAAACTGTCAAGCAGGGAAACTGCTGCGACGGTGTGGGAAGGAAGAAGACAGCAACTTGAAGCTGCTCCTCTACTTCTTCTTCTAGTGAGGGAGGGGTCCGCGAAGAGGCTGTGTGAACGCTTCGTAACTGACTGATGAAAAAGTGACAGTTCCCAGAGGTGAGGTGGAGGATATGGAGCGGGGAAGAGACAGCGTGCCCCCAGAATACTGCAAAGTCCATGACTGGATCTGCAACATCTCTCCATACGTGTCAAACACAGAAAGTTGGTTTCCACAGTCAAAACGCGCGGCAACAAAACAAAAAGAAAACTTCTCCTCACCAAACTGACCTCGATCTTCCTCTCGTGTTTGCATGGGTAGCTCCGAGTCTCCTCAGAGGACGAGAACCACCCCTCGGGGTAGAGAGGATGACAAACATTGCAGTGAGATGAGATGATGCGAGTTCCGGCTTGACCGCAGCTATGTCACGGTCATTACCCATCTTCCAGCTCTGTGAGGACAGCCGGCCAAGGTTCTTTCTTCAACTGGCGGTCAGCTTCACTAACAGCCACTTAAGCCGGCTCGGCTTCCCAAAGAGCCCCACAAGAGTGGAAGGTAGAGCTGAGTGTGCTCAGTTATGCCGGGGCTAGCCAAGGTCAGGCGGAGGGGGGCAGGCAGTGCCGAGAGTGCGGCGTTGTGAATGCCAAGATGCCAGAGCCCCCTGACTGTGCCGTTTGACAGACGTGTTTACACCTGACAGAAAATGCAGTGCGGACAGCCTGCCAATACAGGGGCGATCCAAAGCGAGGGGTGCCAGCTTAGTTATTTTTTTATCTGCTGCAAATCCATCGAGAGCACAGCCAGAAGCTGGGCATGCCTCAGTGAGGAAGAAGCCAGTCTACGCTGAGACATGACAGACCTAAACCATCTGAGGGAGGGGAAAAAAACAACTGACACACAGGAAAACAAAAGTCCAGATCTCACGAAGCAAATCAGACAACTGGGTTTGATTTACTCGTGTTACCACTCAGAAGTTCGAATAAACAAAATGATAAGATTTATAAACTGGGCTAGACATTATTTTGTCACAAAAAAACAGTAAAAGTCTAGAGAAAAACCTAAATAAAAAGAAAATGGCAGCTTTACCAGGTTTAGTTTCTAATTTTTTGCCTATTAGCCTAAAAAAAAGCCCAAACCTGCAGGCAAGGCTGACCGGTGTCATTTTATTTAACCACTTGGTCATAAATGGGTAAAATAAAGCCCTGGCACTGAGTCAAAACCTTTAGGGATCATCAAAGTTATGGTAATCTGTCCTGCTGGTGATTATCTGATCACACGACCAGAGCAGCGCTGCTCATACATATGTGATCAACTCTGCTTCTTTCATCTCCTCTGTGGTGCCACAGCATCTGTGTTATCTTTGTAGATCCTCACATACCAGCAGACAACAATGTGCTGAGTCGCATGCAATCCGAGTCAAATGCAAGGCTGGAGATGTGGTAGAGAGCAGGAACGCTGTGGTCAGATCCAGATCCGAGGGCAGGAACTGGACTAGTTATGGTTTCTGCAGCAAGTGACTAATGGTTCAAGAAACCTAAAAAAGCAGATATAATGCAAAAGGCTTAGCTTTCAGTGCTCAAAATGATACAAAAATGCAAAACGT